TGTTATTAATTACTAAACTTTATTATTTTTTATTTTTATTTATTTATATTTTAGACAAAAGTTTTGCCTAAGCCTATGGCGGATACTGATTTTTTAGGTGGTATTATGTTAATTATTGAAAGAAAAAAGTATACGAAAGGTACAAATATATAGCACATAGTACCGTATGATCGAAAAAAAATTGGCGCCGGGAGGCACGTATAGCCGCCCATACTTGATATTTTTTTTATCTCAAAAACTGACTGATTTTGATGTTATTACAAATTTTGTTGCAAATATTATTCCTAATCTTAAATTGAAAACCGCGTTTCGCTAGCTACTTAATTTTGGAGTTACGATTTTTTTAAATTTTTAACCTCCTTACCAACCCCCCACCCCCACCAAAAACTAATGGCCAGATTCTCGGGTGCCACAGTATTTTTGTGCCAAATTTGGTTAAAATCTGTTTAACGGTTTTTGAGTTATCGTACTACAGGCGGACAGACAGACAGACGGACAGACAGACACAATGAAAATATTTTGCATTTAGGTCATTTATGACCCAAATAACTCATTTTGAATGAAATTAAAAAAACTTTTTTTGCCGATCTTAATAGCCTACCTACCATCATACCTGTCGGTATGGTCGGCTAAAAAACGGCGTCAAATACGGCTGGGGAATAACAATCGACGATGAATGAATTTTGGCGAGATCAATCCCTAGGTTTAGCTATTCGTCTGATCAGATTTTCTGATTTTCTTTTCAAATATGGAATCCTCAAGAGAGTAAGAACAATTAGTCACTCGGGTATCTATTATGATTAGATATCAAACAGGTGTGAAAATTTCACCGACTTGCCATCATTCCCACGAAAAAAAAAGATCACCCACTATATATAGGTATCAGGTAGCTTTGTTGATGAGAATCGACATACCATAACACAAAAACCAGGCTCTTTAGCTGTTGTTCTAACTAATTAAATTATTATTTACAAGAACAATTAAGTCATTATAACGATAAGGCAACAATTGAACGGCTGCTTTTACCAACCCAGTTCTCAGAGTTGTTTCTGTTTCAAATGGAAACCGAACAATTAATTTTTTTCTAAGGCGTTCGACTGTGTAAATCATAAGATCCTAATTAATAAACTGCAGCACTATGGGTTCAGGGGAACATCTCTCAAATGGTTTAAGTCGTATCTGAGCAACAGAAGTCAACTTGTGAGGGTGGATACCACGTTGTCTTCTAACAAGCCAATAGAATGTGGAGTACCACAAGGCTCAGTACTAGGCCCTATTTTGTTTCTTCTTTTTATTAACGACATTGCTAACATAAACATCAGTGGTAAAATATGTCTTTTTGCGGACGACACTAGCTTCACTTGGAGCAACAAGGACGTCACGGCACTTCATAGGATTATATCAAATGACTTAATCACCATTAAATCTTGGTGCGATTCGAACCTCCTGAGTCTCAACATTTCTAAAACTAAAAGCTTTGTCGTATAAAAACTCGCTGCAGCCTTTTGTACTTAACAACACCACCATTAACGTTGTAAAAGCTGTAAAATTCTTAGGGCTTGTTGTAGAAAATTCTCTAAAATGGGACATGCATATCGACGCTTTGTCGAAAAAATTAAGCTCTGCCTGTTTTGCATTAAGATCTGTTTCTAAGGAGCTTAACTTGTCAGTGGCTAGAACTGTTTATTATGCACTTTTTGAGTTGCACCTCAAATATGCCCTTCCATTCTGGGGTACGTGTTGTGCGACTCAATTTGGGCAAAAACTCACACTTAAAGATAGGCAAAAGATAAAAGATTGTTAACTTTTTCTTCTTATTCAAAGAAATTAGTGGTTTCAATTAGCAGAACGTCAAATTAGTGTTAAGGTTAAAAAAGTTACCAAACTTTTAACCTTTCTACTAATTATACTTCAAAATTTGAGAGGAATGTCATTTTGGGCTTTGATTATCACCCGTCAAGAAAAATTTTGGTTAGAAATCAAAAGTTTATTGTTTTATAAGCTAAATATTATGCTTTCTCTATGGATACAACAAACTACCGCAAGCTGTTGCTAGAATATTTTATTAATTTTAATTGTGTTTTTTAGACATTGTGAATGATCGTAAACTAAAAAGTATAGAGTGTAATTGAAACCACTAATTTATTCCACTAATTGCGATGTTTTGAATGAAGCTTTAATGAAATAATATACATACAGGGTAGTCCATTAGTGCAAGCAATTAATTAACTTACTAAAGAAGTTTCACCCGATCTACTGCATTGTTTTCAGCACGAAAAAGATTTTTTTTCGGCGTACAAGTTCAGTTTCTTGGCGGCCTCTTCTCCGATTTCTTTTTATATTTTTCTATAACCATTAACAACCGGAAGACACTGATCATAGAGGAAAAAGACCCAACACTGCGTTTTTCTAATTCTGGATTAGTTTTGTCTCGATTAGTAGTCCGTTTATACCTGATGCTGCCGTTATACTCAAAAGCAATCGTAACGTTCGCAGGGTGACGTTATAATATGGATACAAGTTTTTATTGTCATAAGTGTAGTGCGGATTTCGCGGTTCAGTTTGTGAGTGCAGAAAATATTCAGGTAAAGTCTGTTCAGCCATCAACGTTACGTCATCATTATTTGTCAAATAATATGCGTTTTAGGGTGTGTCTGAGATCAGTTCATATTGTTTAGAAAATTTTAAGTATGTTCTGATCTTAATTATTAATTGAGTGAGTTCCGTTTTTATTAAATTCATGTAGGAACGTTAGGCCTTCCTTCATTTTGGTTATTTTTCAATTTATATCTTTAGGTGCATATATCAGTTTTTTCCAGAGAAATTGTACCTATTTTAAAAATAAAGTTATGAAAAAGCTTAAGATTCTATACAATAAAACACACTTTGATACTCTAGAAGTTCTTCTTCTTCTTCTCATCGGATCCGTGACCAATAATTTCTTTGGTCTCTGCAAAAAAATCTTTTATGGGTATTTCGCCACTGCAAGAAAATCTACAAAATAAAATATTTTTTGTAAACACTTCTGCGTTAATCCAAACGAAAATTACTTGTCAGAAGTTAGGTTTACAGATATACAAATTTGCCTAACGAACAAGAAAATGCTTAACGTTTCGGAAAGTTCATCTCTTTCCGTCGTCGGAAGCAAAAAAAAATACAAACAATAAAGAAAAAAAGTATTAAAAATATCTAAATTCAACTATTCGAGAACACTTTAGTTTTTTAAAACAGATACGTCTAAAAAACCGTGTTGACGTTCTATTAAAATTACATTATATCAAGTTAAACTTCAAAATTAACAATTACTACCTGATAACAATTACTTAATAAGGTGAAACCAAAAAGCCCCAAACTTTCTGTATGATTCTTTTTAATTTTTACGTATGTTATGTTTATTTATATTATGTTCTATAAAATCAAAGAAGCGATTGTAGAATTCAGAGTCCAGGTCTGAGATGCATAAGTTAAGATCTAGAAGTTCAAGATACCTAATTAAATATACACTGAAAAAAATATAAGTAATTTAAAAAAAAAATATTGAATATATTATAGTATTTTTAATAAGAAACTTGTAAAAATAAGATATTTTTACATAGTTTAACAAAAAAATATAATTTTGCAAAACAGTTTATTAATATTAAATAAAAAAATGTCTATAAGTACATATGTGGCGGATTCATCTCTCCAAAAAATTCTACATGGGTATTTCGCCACTGCAAGAAAATCTACAAAATAAAATAGTTATTTTTTGTAAACACTGCTGCGTTAATCCAAACGGAAACTACCGTATGATCAAATAAAACGGCGTTAGCGATGGCTATGAAATGACGATCGATGACATTTCCCATATAATTTTACATATAAAATGACAGCGATCTTCATTTCATATCCATCGCTGACGCCGTTTTTATTCGATCATACGGTACTTCTCAGCAGTTAGGTTTACAGATATACAAATTTACCTAAAGAACACACAAGAAAGTTTATCTCTTTTCGTCGTCTGAAGCAAAAAAGTACAAAGAATAAAGGAACAAACTATTTAAAATATTTAAATTCAACAGTTTTTTTAAAACAGATACGTCTACAAAAACCGTTGACGTTCTGTTAAAAATTATTTTTTTATAATAAAATTATTTTTAAAGTTATTTTTTTTTACATATCCTTTTAGCTGTGCTTTTAGCCTCCATAATTATAACCCCAAATCAAATTGTGAATCAAATGAAAATGACAGTTACTAAACACAATGTGCAGTAATTTACGAAATGCTGTAATGACGTCACCAATCTCTTTCATCTGGTTCTCAAGTGAAAGAGAGATAATAACGACTTTTGAGGATTCATTTCTTTATCCGGTATGGTCTAGTGGCTAGGATACCTGGCTCTCACCCAGGAGGCTCGGGTTCGATTCCCGGTACCGGAATAACTTTTTTTAATTTTTTTTTACTTTAGAGTCCATTTCACTAGTCCGAAAAAGTAACAAAATAAGTGTTCGGCGTTTAACGTTTTATGTAAAACTGGCTAGGTATTTTACACAAATGAAGAAGGAAATTAAATATAAAGGATTATACTAAGTATATCCGTATAATCAACAATAAGCACATTTTTGGCAACTTCTTTATTTTTAAGGTTTTGATGGTCAAACAAAAATATTGCATGTTTGGACTAAATTTTCTCGAAAATAATTTAATAAATTAAAATTCCGTTACAATACGGAACTAGATTGAAGTTTTGTGATTACAGTGATATATATAAATTATATGGTTTTGTAACAAATTGCTCGCTATTTTATAGCAAATGCTGAAGCTCTTCAAACCTTAATCAAGCCTTAATCAAAGCACGACGTGTTTGGAATTTTGGGTGTGGCTTAACACGACAGGGTCGGGCTAAGCCTGAGGCAGATTTCTGAAATATAATATATATTTCCTTCGGCCACACACCCGCTTTACCCGACCCGAAAGTACAGCGTAATAGACTCTTAACTATTTCTTTTTTAAATTCCAGACTACCATCAAAGTCTACGCCAAATGTCTACGGCCGGACATCGAATACAAAACCCTGAGCATCACGTTCCAAACATCCTGCAAGGAGGTGGTGGCAACCCTGTTGGGAAAGTACAAGATGAAACACAGGGATCCCAAGCTGTTCTACTTGAGTATGGAGGTAACAGTGAGAAAAGCAGGAGTAAGGACGCATTTGGCACTGGACGATGAGGCCAGACCTGCTGTGCTGCAAAGTTGTCATCCCAAAGGCGATTCTAAGTAAGATTTACTTAAAAATAAATTATAGATGGTAGTAATCATAGGACACATTCTCCGCCGGTGCTGCCACGATGCGATCGGAGAATACCGAGAATAGCCTACTAAACAAATACACGGGTTTAAACCTTAGATCTTTTATAAGATCTAAGGTTCCTAGATCATGTATACTTACGTGGATAAGTAAATCACTATAGAAACTGTCGCAAACATATCAACGACTTCCATTTATCTTCTTTTTTTGTTGCACAGGCGGTGCTTCTACTCTATCTATCCTTGTCGAGGACCTATCGAATATTTACCTATATAACGATTGATTGCTTATCATATTTTTTGTCTTCTACAGGTTTTCTCTACAAACGAGAAGAGGAGGATTGATAAAAGTGCACGATTCAGTTTTGAACAGCAATTCCCAATACAAATCGCTGCTTATTAGTGCCAGAACAACAGTAGATGAACTTATAGCCCTTCTCTTGAACTGTTACAACAGCAAAGAACCGGTGGAACAGTTTTCTTTATACGAGGTACGTACGAAACATAAATGATTTTGTAGGGACACCCTGTACAAAACAAAATATTTTTAAGATATTAATGCATCTTTATAAAACAGGCAACGTTTATACAGGGTGGTCCGAACTGTATTCCGAAAATTTCGGCAGTATATTCTGCAGGTAAAAATAAGTAAAAAAGTTCGTATAAACGTATGTCCTAAAATGCTTAGTTCCGTAGATACAGGGTGTAGAAGTTTCATTTTTATTTCGACTTTTTCCACATAATTTCTGAAGTAACGTCAATATTTGGATGAAAATTAATATCTGGGAGTTTTTTTGACATGGCAAATTTCATTTTAATATCAATATGACTCTTACTTATAGAGGGCGCCACCTACATATTTTTTAACTGTTTTGAAGACTAATAACTTTTCGTCCGTATCTGTATAAAACTACTGAGTAAAAAATATACATTTACAAAGTTTTTTTACGTAAAAACGGTCTCTTGGTAAAAATCGGTACGAGTAACGTTTTTCAAGGTATTTTAAACCTAAATTATCAATATCTGTCATCATTGACATAAATTAAACATGTTGACTAATAGTTATTATACTCAAAAATTTGAAATGATTTTGTACCAAAAGTTCAACAAAAACTGTGTTATCATCATTTTTTCGAAGAAAAATTTACGATTAATTTGAAGAAATAAAAAGTTATCTCATTTCAATCAAATAACTATCTAGTCAGCCTATTTTTTTGTCAAAAATGACATGTATTGACTATTTCCATTATAAATATCTTAAGAACGGTTGCTCGTAGCGATTTTTACTAAGAGACATTTTTTACGTAGAAAATCACGGAAATGTATATTTTTTCACTCAGTAGTTTTATACGGGTACGGACGAAAAGTTATTACCTCTCAAAACAGTTAAAACACACATGTAGGTGGCGCCCCCTACGAATAGGAGGGGGCGCCTCATATTGACATCAAAATCAAATTTCTCATGTCAAAAAACTCCCAGACACCAATTTTCATCCAAATATTGACGTTACTTCAGAAATTATTTGGAAAAAATCGAAACAAAAATGAAACTTCTACACCCTGTATCTCAGAAACTAAGCATTTTAGGATATTCATTTATATGAACTTTTTTACTTATTTTATTTGCAGAATATGCTGCCGATGTTTCCGGAATACAGTTCGGACCACCCTGTATAAAACTTTTTTCATATTTTCGTCAATGACCATGATATTGGACTTCCTCGCACTAGTGAGCCACCCTGTATATCACAACATCAAAATTGCTTTATTTCAGCGTTATAAGTTATAAGAGTGTCACCTATATTTGGTGTTCATATTTTTTTTTACTCTTAGGTAAATCCCGAAAGGGAGCAACAGCGGAAACTTCATCCAGATGACAGACCCCTTCAAGTCCAACAATCGTGGCTTCCATCTCATGAGTGTCACTTTTTGATTAGAAGAAATCCAGATTATTTACCTTTATCCCGAAGAAAGGTATGTATATGTATAGTGTATAATATAACTTAAACCGTGTTTAATCATGTTAATCAATGATATGGATGCAAACCAATAACCAATTCTAAAAGCAGTTATTCCATTATCGATTGTTGGTACCTTCAAAATTGCTGGAACCTTTAACCACACAGTTCATTTTTAATATTAGACCTCTCTGTTACAAACTAATTGATTTATTCTTCGCAGATCTTTTGGGTATCAGAGTTACCACCACTGCCGGCCTCGAGACTATTCAGGACATCACCAAGCAGTCACCACAATAAGCTTATGCAACTATCGAAATCTTCCACGTCGCTAGTACCAGTCAAGACTACAGAGGAAAAAACTGCGACCCAACCCAAACCCAAAGAGGCAGCAGTTATAAAGAACTTCGGTACGGAATTGAAAGTGTTTGAACATCAAAATAATCCAACAAAAAAGGGCGGACAAACATCCTCCTATGCGGACTATGAGAATTACTTTTATATTTGAATGTGGCGAAGTTTTAAAAGATATTTCAACAAACATATATAATGATTTATATTTTTGAAAAATGTACGATCACACACATATTTGTGCGTGTGAATGTTTTAAGTTAAGATTATTTTCGGGAAGGGTTTGAATATAACACCCTACACAATACGCTACTTAAATTTTCACAAGTACACACATGGGCAAAATTATTGCATATAACGATATTTTTATTATATTTTGGACCTAATATGATTCTTTTTATATTTTTGGACATATTGGCTTACTACACGACTAACTACTATAAAATTAAAAATCTAAGTGCAACTAGGCTGTTACTATAATTTTATTTCATAATGAGTGAAAATCAACAAAAACAAATTTCATTTTAAACAGAAAATATTGATAACAATTTTAATTATTTCTTACAACTAATAGTCTGTATTGCCTCCTCGAGCCTCAATGCAAGCTGTGAGACGACGTGGCATGCTCTCAATTAAGTTGGCCAGAAGATGTGGAGGAATGGCTTCCCATATGTTTCGCGCGCAGCAATTTTTAATTCATTTAAGGTACGGGGGGGGGGGATCATTCCTTTTGGTAATATGGCGTTTTATCATGTCCCAAGCATGCTCGATCACATTCATATCTGGAGACATCGGTGGCCACCACAGTTTTCTTATACCCTCTTCCTCACAAAACTCGCGAACCGCTAAACTGCGATGGGGAGGAGCATTATCGTCCATGTAAACAAATTCATCCCACACTGCTCCTCGAAATGGACGCACAATAGGCTCTAAAACTTCTCTAAGATATGAGGCACCTGTCATTGTGCCATCAATAAAAACAAGAGGTTTTTGAGGTCCGTGTATTATACCTGCCCATACCATAATGCTTCCCCCTTGAAACGGGACACGGGGTTGAGCTGCATTCAAGCATGCTCGTCTTCCAGATGCTCACCAGACCAAAGTTCGTCACGAGTCTGACACTAGGCCTATTCTTGTTTCATCACTAAACATGACGAAACTCCAATTAGGTCCATTTGCTCTCATCTCTTCAGCCCATTGTAGTCGCGTCATTTTGTGCCGTAAATTAAGCTTCGGAACACGTAGACATTTGGTCTTTCTTGAAACGTTGCTATACAGGGCCTATTTTTCATCTGGTCGGGCCCAAGCAAAAATTCGGGCCCTCTTTTCCAATAAAATTCAAAAATTCTTTTGTTGGTTTGGGTTAAAAAAATAAAACGTTATTTTTAGATTGGGGAATCGCCGGCGCCGGTGTCGGTATCTTTGATATAAATTTATAAATAATTTTAAAAAATGCATTAATTATATCAATCTAAAGCTTATTTTATTTAATTCTATTTTCCTTATCAGAGGTAACTGTTTCTTTTTCTCTGCTGTGTAAATTTACATTTGAATGAATATTTTACAACCCTTAACGGGCCCCCCAGACCACCGGGCCCAAGGCCCGGGCCTTATGGGTCTTATGGTAAAATAGGCCCTGTTGCTATATGGTCTTTCTTGAAACATTTACTCCTTCAAGGCAAGCTAACTTATTTTTAATAGCAGTACTAGAAAGCAGAGGGAATTGCGTCGTGCAATTAGGGATATTTGACGGTCTTGCACAGCAGTTGTAACTCTCTTTCTACCACTTCCAGGCCGGTCTGTACCCTCCCTGATTTTTTTTTAATATTCACGAAACATCGCTTTGGTTAACTCCTACAATTTCAGCTATTGCAATTTGCCGGTAGCCCTGTTGCGACAGTGTTACTATTCTGACTCTATTAAACTGTGAAATAATGTTTCTAGGCATTTTAAGGCCAAAACAATGGTCAAATTTCTTCTGAAACCCAAGAGACCACAAATCGAAATGTGCAAGAATTTGTAATAATATTGAGTCTGAAAGATAAGCATTGTTTACCATATCCATTTTAACAAAAAAAATGTTTATTACAGATTATCAAAGCTATGTACAACGAAAAAAGATTCTTTAAATTCCTTTCCGTATATTTTTAAAAGATAGATGCATTAATTTTGGCCATGTGTGTATTTTAACAAATGATGGGTCCAGGGGTGATAAGCGCCATTTTACTAATTTTACAGGTGAGCACTGGACGACTGGTGGTTATCAGGTTTTTTTCGTGTATCTATTCTATATTTTAGGATTTAGCAACTTATTACTCTGCAAAGTTGATACATTTTCTAGGGACCAGTTAGACCTACTATAATAATTACTATATTATTGAAAAACCATAAAATTAACCTTAACTTGAAACATTCAAATTTGTATCTAAATTGTAATTTTACAGAAATTTTAATAAACCAGTTGATTGAAAAACAACCTGTATTGTTGGTTGTATGCCTACCATACATCTGCATTGAAATATCTTTTGAAATTAAAAAAATATAAACATTTTCTGTAAATTTTTGTATATATAATTTGTGTGGCGTCTAGTTTTTTATTGTGATATTTATTTTATTCTAAATAGTTTGCGACCAAAGAATAATGCAGATGTACTATTCTATTATAGAATGTAAAAAACAATTTATTATAAAACTGTTCTACAGGGTGTTTCAAAAAGCATGTGCCATCTCTCGTGGGGAGATTCCTCACATAAAAATAAGATTTTACGGGCTAAAAGTATTTAGAAAATTATAATAAATCGAAAAAAGAACTTTAACACCCTATAGCCACGAAACAAAGCAGAATCGGACCTATGTCATTATGGAAAATAAATTTTATTTTTACGTAAGAAATCTCCCCACGAGAAATGGCACATGTTTTTGAAACACCCTGTATAGTATCTTGCCGCTTGTGTTTAACATATACCTAGGTGTTAACTTGTTTAAAATCTCACAAATTAGTCCTCTAGGTAAGAACAAGATTGTATTAACTCTAACCAAATACATAGTATTAGAAATTGTGTAACATTTTTTCATTAAAATAATATTGTAACTCTAATTCACTCGACAATATTCAGTACACAATATAATATACCGGGTGGTATATAATATACCAACTGTCCAAATATTGGCTCCCCTGTTGAGTTGACAGCGAAGTCATAAATACGTTATTTGTCAAACGTCACAAAAGTATTATTTTTGCGACGTGATTGACAATATAAAAAAGTCATTTTAACGCCTAGGCATAAAAGTAAAGCACCTTTATGCCTAAGCATAAAAGTACGAAAATATATTATTAAACTGACATGAAGTGTCAAATTCAACGAGCCTAACTATAGTTCAAATATATATAATTACATACAAAAGGATACAAGGTGTGACTTTTAAATATTTTTATATTATTTAGAACGTTTGAAATTGTTTAAAAACTTATTTATGGTGTTTAAAAAAATTGCATGTTCTATCCGACATAAAAATTACTTTTTGTGTCTCGGCTGTATGTCAGACGTACAGCCTCGCCACAAGAAGTGTCATTTTTACTCCCAATAAAACAATAAACTATTTTTAAAGGTCCGCATATGCTGAATACACGTGAAAAAATTGAATAATTCTGAACAAGCCGATTTTAAATAATTTAAGAAAAACTGTATCTATAAACTGGGCAAATTTGGCATGTCTGGGCAATACTTCAGCCATACACAGACCTTTAAAAAAACTATCTACGACTTGGCTGTAAAATGAACAGGAGACAATATTTGGACAGTTTAACATGTTCATAGGATTTCCTGCTTCCAACGACGATGCACCACCCGGTATAATAAACAAAACAAAAATAGTATTTTAAATTATAAGTATAAAATGATTTGTATGTAATACTGTGACTTGTGCAATGTGTTCGGTGTCTAGGAAAATAAGAAAGAAAATTACCATTAGTATGTACTAAATATTATATAGACCAAAGATTTTTAGTTTTAAGTATAGAGTGAATGTATCTATTTGTAATTGTCAAGACATCTATTACAAAATAAAGTTATTTAAAAAAAATGATTGGGATATTTATTGCCTAACCACTACCAAAGAGCTACTACATAAAAATAATACCGTATCATAAAAAAAACGGCGTCCACATGGCTAGAATCGGCTGATCGATGACATTCCCCATATAATTTTACATGTAAAATGACAGCGATTTCCATTTCACAGCTATCGCTAACGCTGTTTTTTTTTTCGATCATATTATATCAAGTTATTAGTTTCTCTCTGCATCAAACGCAACTGTGTTATATACCGGGTGCGTCTCAAAAGTGGCTCACCCCTATAACTTTTGGTATGTTTGTATATGACATAAATTAAGATTGATTGGAGTATTCAATTGGTTTGGTCACTTTTCCTGTTTCACCGGAAATTACTACATCTTGTGATATTTAAATGACACCCTATCGGTAAGTTTTTACATGGTTTTTAATTTCTTCGATAGAAAATGACACTCTGAATAGAATGACATTTCATATGTCACCTTTTGACATTTTCGGCATATGGTTTATTTAAAATTGTAACAAGCGGTTCATAACAACAATTTGACTCGAAATATTATGTGTGTGGTACCAAATTATTCGTAAAAATATGCTTTTTCCAAATATGCTAAAGAGCCAACCTTGTTCCATTTGAAAAAATTGAGATATAATTAAAAATATGATTTGGACATCTTTTATAGATGACAAGACACGAAAAATCTTTGACGATCAAATCTATTTTTCCAAGGCTCCAAACCAAACCAAAAACTAAACCAAATCAAAAATTAGTATTTTTAACACAGCCATGGCATCCTGCTAGATTGAGATTTAAAATACGATTGGTTTTTAAAAGTTATAAGAGTGAGCCCCTTAAAACGCACCCGGTATAAGAATAAAAAAAAGAATAAAATTTTTAATCTATTTATTGATTATACAGGGGACTCGGCGTTCTGAAAATTCCCCTCAGTTTACTATGTATTATTAGGTATATTATTATACAGGGTGTCCCAGAAATAAGTGCAAGTATTCTAACTGGTATAGTATAGTTCAACCCCAGAAACACGCCCAAGAAGTTTTTTTCGCGAAAAAAATTTTTTTGGAATTTTTTTTAGTTTTTAGTTAATAAACATAATTTCTTGATAATATGGCAACATATTATGTATTAGATTAAATTTACAAGAAAGAAAATCCAGAAAAGATCAAGTGATTCTCAAAATTTTAGAAAAAAAGGATTTTTATTTTTGGAAATTTTCAAAGTAAAATAACTCCGTTATTTTGAACTTATTTGAAAAACGACAAAGAGAAAATATGTATCGATATCTACCACCCCTTAAAATACTTAGCACAATCTGGGACACCCTGTATAGGTATTATTATAATAAATGCACATTTTGTCTAACATGTAGTAGGTTGCTTCAGGATTTATAAACAATGGAAATAGTTAATATGGTTAACGAATCATTTTTATATTACAAAAAATTCTGACTATATCAAACTTATGTTTCAGCGTTATGATAGTAATCAAGAATAATGAAATGCTATATCAAGCCTCGGTAGCGCAGTAGGCAGCGCGTAAGTCTCATAATCTTAAGGTCGTGAGTTCGATCCTCACCCGGGGCAATACTTTTTTATTTTTAAGACACCTAAAAGCATAGAATTACCGTACTTTAAGATGAATTTAAATTATTTTTGCAAGAACCACACAAGTATATTTAATTTTTTTTTCATATTATAGGAATGTTAATTATTAAAATGCATGTTCATATTATACAACATGTCCCCGAATTGTCTTTACAAGAGGAAAAACTTTTTTATTATTGACATTTTGAGAAAAATGCATTTTTTTATAAAAATGTTTGCTTGTCCTAAAATTGTTAATCCCGTTTATACTTTTCGAAATTTCCATACTGGTTGGAATTTTGGTTTTTAGGTTGAAGTCGTTAGTATATTCTGTCGGTTGAAGAACTACAGTTAATCCGTAGATTTACGGATTTCGGATATATTCTACGGACGTACGGATTTTTTCTAATAATACGGATTTTCTGTTATTGAACAATTTAACATAACGATTAAAAAAGAACGGCGTCACAGTTGCCTTGAAAATGAAAATCGCTGTTATTTCATATGTAAAATGATATGGTAAATGTTCATTTCCAAGCCCAGTAAACAACTTTTATCATACGAAATATGCGGTACCCATACCCATAAAAGAATATTTGAAAATTAAAAATTTTATCTATTACCATCGATTAATCGACAATACTAACAGCGCTTTCAGGTGGGGCGGACCGTCCGCGCGGATATTTTTTCAAGATAGCCGTCGACGAACTCATCCGGATGGAGCATACGCGACCCATGTGAAATTGTTCATATAAACTCCATAATATCCTAATCCTAACATACTTGCTCGAAGTCGCGGACGCTCCGCTCCATCTAACAGCGCTTTCAGATGGAGTGGACCACGGACGGATTGAAAAAACAACCGCGCGGACGCTCCGCGCGGACTGTCCACTCCATCTGAAAGCGCTGTCATTATACAAAGAAATAACGGATATATTTTGCCCATTGGATCATATTTTTATAATAAAAAATTGTATTGGTTTGCAATATTTGAATTGAAGAGTAGTAATATTTTGTTATTTTTAAAATGTTTATTTATGTTATTTATTTTATGTTTAAAATGAATTAATGATCAATAAAATACAGGGTGAGTCTCAAATAAGTACAAATATTTTCAGGGGTGGTAGACCTCGATAAAATATTTTCTCTTTACCGTTTTTCAAATAAGTCCAAAATAACCGAGTTATTTTACTTTGAACATTTCCAAAAAAATGATTTTTTTGCTAAAATTTTGAGAACCACTGGATCTTTTCTGGATTTTCTTTCTTGCAAATTTAATCTACTACCCTACTACCTATGTTGTCATATTATGAAGAAATTAAGTTTTTTAACTAAAAACTAAAAAATCCATTCTTTTAAATATTTTATGAGAAAAATATTTCTAAAAATGCTCATTTTTTGGTGCTAGCTATGGCTGTTTTGAGGTAAAGAAATCAAATCATAGATACTCTCCAGAGGACAAAATATTTCAGGCTACATTTAGATCTGAAATCAGAGGTAGGTATGGGTTTGAGGATATCATATAAATGGAGTATTAATATGGAGGAAAAAAACGACATTTAAAAAGATTTACATATTTATTATTTCATGTATCTTAATATTTTCCAAATTATGTAAATAAATATTTGCTTGTAGGTCATTTCCTTAAAAATTAATTGGTAAATTCTAGGAATAGTAAAACATACAAAACTCTATAAGTAAATCACAGTTAATTTACGAGACTGCCAGCTAATAATAAATATCCTTACTACGTTCTACCTCGAGTATTACCCTATCGGCACTCAATAAATCGGTATCTTCTTTGTGATCGTCTTGCGACACATGTGGCACGTCTTCAACGTGTCCGCGCACTTTTGACAAGTACCGTGACCGCAAAGAAACACCACGTTCCTTTTCCTCTCCATGCATATGCTGCACGCGTGGCTCTCCTCAATTTCCGCTATTTTACACTCCAAGTAGCGCATCCTCTCCGCGCTGGGCTGCCTGCTTTTAGCGGGCACCGACCTGCCATCTTTCGTCACCCTTTTCTGAACAAACTCGCCGCAAATCAAGCATTTCTTCATGCGCGCGGAGCAGTCTTCACAGGCCGGCTTGTGATTGCACGGTTCTAACGTGACGTTTTCGTCGGAAATGTCCGAACACACCAAGCACTCGATCGGATTTGTCAGGATCACTTCGTTTTGGTAAGGATGGTTCTTGTGAGTGGGGGAATTGTCTTGTGATGTGCCACCTACGTCAATAACTTTGTCGATTTGTAGCCTTGACCTTCTCGTACTCTTCAAATCGTCGACTAACAACTGTTTGGCAGGGCTGTTTTCAGTCAGGTTGTAGTTATCTACCCTAGCTTCGCTGAGAGATAGATTGTCCACGTTTGGAAGCTCTTGAGGGTTCAGTTCTGTTGGATTATTGTCGATAATCGGCACGTAGCCTCTGAGCAACTCTTCCAGAGTCGCGTCCTGTAGTAAGCTGAGTGCTGTTTGGCCTTTGCTGTTACCTATGTCTATGTTGATGCCTTGTTGTATTAAGTAGCAGGCAATAGCTACTCCTAATCTTCCGTCGGATATATTACTAATGTTTTGGTATATAGCGTAGATAGCGGGACTCGAAGTTTCAGTAATTTCTGTTTTTAAGTGATTTTTCTTCATGATTATGATGTGCAAGGCAGTGTCGCCATCCTCATCAGTGGCATTCAGGTTGGCGTTCAGTTTTAACAGCAGTTCAATCACACCACAATGACCTAAAAATTAGAACTATTAGCCAATCTTTACTAAAACAGTTAAAACAAGATGTCTCTTAAACAATTGCAAGTATTTTAATATGTGATAGAGAAAAGTATAAAAGTATATACAGGGTGGCGCCTCTCATACGCCGCGGAAGCTCCAAGAAGAACGGTAGTTTATATCGAAATGAAATTTTGCCAGCATATGTAGGTTAACTGAAAGCATTTTATAAAAATATATAGAATTACACATGGTGTCCCCAAAAAAAGTTACACATCAAAGTTGAGTTTTTTCTAATAGAACACCCTATATATTAATTGATTTTCGGATTCTAGGAAAAAAATAAAGGTAAGTTTTATTAAAAAAGCATATACCTAAAATCTAAGGATTTTGACATATTTCACATTCTGTGAAAATAAAGAGTAAATTTCGATAACAGCTACCTAAATTTTAGTTGACTTGAATTATAGCCTGATATTTAATTACAGTAACCATTGTATGTTAAACCAAATTGAAATTTGACTCGAAAAGTTATACGGGGTGAGACAAAATTAATATGGAACATTAATCACTTTTAAAAGCAAGTTACTCCTTTATTTTAAATGGAACACCCGGTATATTATTCCCGTGTTCAATGGGGAATTTATATATCTTTTAAAATATTATTAAGGTTGCCTACCCCTCAGACAAAGATTTTCCTAGATATTTTAATTTTTATGATTTTGCGCCAGTAGATCTTTATTATTTGAAAAAAAAATCTAGGGTGGCTGTGATATACCTTTGTTAATTTAACAAAAATTAAAGATTGTAGAGTAAAATACTCAACGGTAATAAAAAGATACACATTTAAAACATATTTTAATTATTACACCCAATTTTAAAGTTGGACTAATTAGACAGCTATATTGCAGTAACATCAGACATATCACAGCCAGCTAGATTTTATCAAATAACAAAGATCTACACAAATCAAATCATGTCAAACCATGTCAAACCAAACCAAACTAAACCAAACCTTATTAGTATTTTGAAGAGACATGAATTCTCTATTGGATATCGGAATAACATACTAGGTGTTCCATTTAAAATAAAAGAGTAACATGCTATGTGTTACTCTTTTATTTTACTCTTTTAATTTTTTGGTGACCAATATTAATTTTGTCTCACCATGTATAACTTTTTGAATCAAATTTTAATTTGATTTAAAGTACGTACAATAGTTAATTTAACTACATATTAGTAAATTCCAATTTAGGTAGCTTTTACTATAATTTAAAAATTGTTCTTTATTTCTAGAAAATGTTAAGTATGCCAAAAACCTTACATTTTAGTCACATACTTCTGTTATAAAACTAACCTTTATTTTTCTCCCAGAATCCGAAAATCAATTAATATATAGGGTGTTCCATTACAAAAAACACAACTTTGAAATGTAACTTTTTTTGGGGACATCCTGTAGAACTCTTTATATTTTTAAAAAGTGCTCTGAATTAGCCTACATATGCTCAGAAAATTTCATTTCAATACAAACTGTCGTTCTTCTTGGAGCGGCGTATGAGAGGCGCCACCCTGTATATTTTTGAAGTATAATTGAAACCACTAATTTATTCCAATCATTTCGAGGCTCCAAATGAACCTTTATACACGACACAAACCTTGACTGACAGCAAGCAATAAAGCCGTCTGGTTCCTGTTATTGCGTAAGTCGATCTCAGCCTGACCCCTTCTTACCAAAGTCTCCACCACATCCATGTGGCCGTTGAGGGCGGCCAAATGAAGGGCCGAAAACCCGTCGTCCTTTTTCACGTCCACCAGTTGCCTGGCGAAACTCAACAGTTTCTGGGTAGCTAGGTTTTTGCCCTTCAGCGCGGCGTGATGCAAAACGTTAAAGCCCCTTTTGTTGCGCAAAGTAAAATCAGTCCCTGGAAAAATAGACCAATCTTAAATACAACTTAAAAGGGCCCTACACTACACGCAATTGAAATTTTAAATTTTAATTTTGACATTGATCAACGCCCTTCAATAAAATAATAAACCCATATCAAATAACAAAAAACAATGTGCAGTAATTTGCGAAATGAAGCTGACAATCATCTTGACTATCAAACTCTTCCATCTGACTGTCAAGTGAAAGAGAGAGTGCACAACAAAATACTTCATAACTTTGAATGATAACCTAACCTAACCTAACAGCCTTACCTGGAGCTACGCATAGGGCGTCTATAACTTGATAGCAATCCTTCCCAATGGCATCATGCAAAGCAGTGTCGCCATAAAAGTCTACGACATTTGGATTAGCGCCTGCGCTGAGTAGAAGTTGCGCACAGCGCGCCGGCTGTTTGTGAGCTGCCACATGGAGAGCAGTACAACCGCTGCGATTGGAAGCGTTCAGTTCAGCACCAGATTTGATCAACAAATCTATTATCTACAGATAAAATAACAATCGTAAGATATATCTATTATAGAAAATGTTATACGGTTATAGATTCAAGAATGAATTGGTAACAACTTAGATCCTTTTCAATATGAATGGAAGAAAGATCAAAAAGGCAATCTGACACTTATTCAATCAACAGAAGATGTGGCGCCTCCTGACCTACTGAAATTAATCTTTTGCAATTGCAAAGAGAGTCAGTGCTTTAAAAATTGCTCTTGTAGAAAACTGGGTCTTAAATGTTCTTCAAAGTGTGGTGAGTGCTACGGAATCAGTTGCACAAACTTTTGTATTTTAGTTGAGGAAGAAAATGACGCTTGACGTAATAGCAGATTTTATTTAATAACTTTAATATAATAATAATTTTTTTAACAATAATTTAATTTAATAAATAATATTTAAACGTTATTTTTAATTGTTTTAATGCTTAAATTTATACTTGGTTTATCTGTATTAACACTATACTGTTTTAAAAAACTGGAAAATTTATAAAACGCATAGTAAAGAATTGCTCTCTCTCTCTCTATTACTATTTATTTTAGAAAAAAAATGATCGAAGGTAAAATATTCTAAATTTAATTCTCTACAAAAAACATATCTTTAGTTTTTTTTCGAAAAAAGTTATGCAAACGGACATATTTGAAAAAAACGAAAAACTCCAAGATGGTGGCGGTTTTTTTCAAACTTCCCCCCCACTGGGACCGAATGGGACTTTTGAAGGGTTAGATAGGAGATCATTATCTACACATTCCCGTTGAGACTGGTTGGTTACTAATTTTTTCCACCTTTACATATAAAACTCGGCTACGTTTACTGGCCTAATAGTCCACTGACCTCTGGCTGGTTGCCGAAAGCGGCGTAATGCAGACAAGTGTCTCCGTCGGTGTCACTGGCGTTGATGCAGGCTCCGGCTCTGAGCAGCAACTTGACGATGGCGGCGTGTCCCTGGTGCGAGGCCACCTGCAGGGCTGTCTTGCCGTTGCTCCGCGCGTTCGCTTGGCGCGGCGCCTCCTCCAGAAGGCGCTGCACCGCCTCCAGGTTGCCCTGCGCCGCCGCCCGTACGAACTGGTCCGCGCCGGCATTGGCGGACGCGTCCGCGTTGGCCTGATTGTGGACGGCAGGATGCCACTGAACTAAGACAGTATGTTAGGCTTTAGTGCGGGTTTACATGCATCCGTTAGGGGTCGTCTGTCGTTCCGTCAATCCAATCACATTTAAGTATGAGCATAGAAAAATGAAACAAGTTTAGATTGGAAAGTGCCCATAACATGTATGAAATACCTATGAAATATTGGAAACCGACGGTATGCCACCATCCACGATGGTTTTTGCAGTCCACAGTTCACAGCACAGCTTTTTAAGTTTTTAATGCCACTTTTTCACAATTATCACGGATTTTAGCAAATAAAATTTAAATTAAACCCACCAGATAGCAAGTTACTTTGAAAATTGACGCTTTAAACACTTTTCAATATTTTTTCAATGAGAGGGGTTTAAATTTTGAAAGATTTGATAATTTTTGAAGATTCTGACTTTGACAAGAGAAAATTATTTCTCTTTTTGTTTGCGGTTATTCTTAGTAAGGCGGTAACCGCTATAGCAGCGCCAGATCGCTTACAACGGTCGCGACTCAAAACAATTATATATTTTGACAGGCATTCCAATCCAAATTTATTTCCTTTATCTATGAATATGAGCTGTCATTTTTGAACTAAATCAATAAAATTCCATAAAATCAACGACGAACGATGCAAAATGGATGCATACAAACCCACACTAACCAAGTGTTCAAACTTCATTCCAACATTTAATAAGATATTCAAATGATGCTAAAAAATAAACTTACTTGTTGGTTCTTGTCTTTGGTTCTGGTTAGCGTGCATGGTGTTGGCAAGTTCGGCCGCACTACCAGGCACCGTTTTGACACACTGAGGATTCAAAGTCCAGGCATGACCATCCAACTGGACCCTCAAGTCGCCGTCAGAATAAACCTTTAGCACTTTACCCAATTTTCCCAAAGACTAAACAAGCAAATAAATGAGGTTAGGAAATAACACATAAAACAATCTGTCTATGGTAATGGGTAATTATAATAATTACTAACGTTTTTCATTATTTCTATCCATTCTCCATGACCTTTCTGCAACTCTTTGACCTTCTCAACATCTGTTATGAGAGTGACAACGTCCCCAACGCTGAAGCTGTTCACCTTTCTTAAACTAATCGGATTAAAGGTCCAGCGATTGTTGCAACCTTCATATTGAACCCTTATATCGCCCTTATCTGTTACACGATGTACAGTACCAATTTTTCCAATGTACTAGAAATGTAAAAAAGAGCAATTCTCATTTGAAATTCAGTTTGATCTATTTCAATTAAAAATATATCCCTAAAAATTGAACTTACCTCTGCCATTCTAGGATTCCAACCACCGTGCCCTTGCTGCATTAATTTTAGCTCTTCCACAGAAACAGATACTTGTACTTTGTCTCCAACTCCGAAAGGTAATGGACCCAATCTAGCCGGTCTAACCAGAGGCAGTTCTACATGTTGACCTAGGTACATCAACTTGTAAACATGTTTTCAAAAAAGACCAGAAACAAAAAGAACATCGAAAAATTTGAATATTTTCCAAAAAAAATCATGACTCTTTCAACCCTAATTATATGAATTATTGTTACAAATTTTAGAGATAAAAAAAAATAAAAACCTATACCTAATACAGGAAGATGGTCTGGATAATATCTGCCTCCCGAGGACGGTTCCACAAATTTTATATCACATATTCCTTTATGGCCCAATCTGTAAACGTTCGTCGATCCAGAAAACCAGCGAACATTAGCCACAGACCTATTTGTTTCATTATCCCAGCCGCGTATATCCTGAACCTTACCCATTTTTCCTTAAAATAAATGAGAACATAAAGAATGGGAGCTTTTACATGGTTACACAGTTATTTTACCATCGCCTCCATCTTGGTTTCCCCACTCCCAGTTGTACCCCCTCACAACAATAGCACCAACAAAAATACCCCTCAATTCACATTTTCTCGCTTTTAATCTTGGTGGCAAATCATAGCTATTAAAACAAAAAAATATTAACTATTTTGCATTTAGGGGTAACAATTTAGAAGACGGATTTTTGGTATTTTTCTCTTTACAGTAGTCTCAGGTCCTGTAAGTTTTTCTGGTATAAAATAAAAATAAACTTTTTTAATAACAAAAAACCGTTTTATATATTGTTACCCTTTTAGGAAATGTTTGCTTGTTAACTATACCCTAAAGAAGCTGCTGAGTCAAATCTTTTAAAAGGATGAGAAAGATCGTGCTTATCACTATGGTAACATAAATAACAGAGGTCATAATCATAACATATTGTGCATTTATAGCGCATCCCACTGATTCCTTGGCTGTCACAACCATCACAAACAATATTAGGATGTTTAACACCTAAATTAAAAGAAATATTTCAATAGTACAAGGTCCTAATTTTTATAACTGGTGTATATTATTAACTAGCATATTACTACTAAATGAGTTTTTTTTTTGATTACTTATTTCAGTTTTTCCTTACCAATTTGGGCATTATCAATCACACTCAAATCGTATTTTCCTGTATACCCTACACGGTAATTTGTTCTCGTACCATTATCCCATTGGACCACTACAGTTTTGTCTGGTGATCCTGCAGAACCTCCCATACCACATTTCCCTATTTCACACACTGTACCAATGTAGCCTTCACCACCATCTATAACAAATACTTTGGTTTTGTGTGGACTCTGCCATGGAATTCTACCCATACTTATTTCATTAATTAAATACTTTCATTACAATGTTTGTAAATCATTAAACATTCTAATGAAAGAATACACTACATAATATGAAATAACTTATCAAATGAGTATCAAACAAAGAATTTTAAAGTTTTTTTTTAATTGATAGCTAGTTTATCTATAACATACCTTGATCGTTCCAGCTCCAATCGGGTCCTCGGACAATTCTAACACCCGGTGTTAACATTCTAAGATATTTTTATTATTAAGTTAAACTTGTACTAGGTATTGTATTTTATTATAATGGACTGGAAGAGTACATCACAATTTAAGTCATCAACATAAAAATGTGGTCACCACCAATAAAAATACTTATAGCTTAATCATCTAAACACAATAATATTGTTATAAGATCAATTATACATCGTTTTTTAACAGTATACTTAAAGTGAAAACATATTACAAACTAGTGAACATTGAAAAACCATTATTTTATATTCATTTTATTTACATCTAATTTTAGATGTCATTTTAATTTAGTGACAGGTGACAGATAACATTAGTTCTAGATTTAGCCATAAGAGGGCAGCACAATATTTTTCTTCTTTTTGAAAAAATTAACACGTAAGTGCCGGGACTATTCGGCCAGCCTTCTAAATAATTTTAATTACTACAATCTATAGCCATCATATATAAAAATCATATATAAATATTTTTTAAATACCTATGTCTATAGCAATTGTCTATAGTCTATAATCCATGGATGTCTTTTGTTTATAGGTTAGTTTTTATTTTTTTTTAGTGGAATGAGCCAGAGATTTTATTTGTTAATATCAAATATGTAATTTAGCTACTCAAATATGCAAATGTGATAAGCATTACTTAAAATGCACCTCCAGTAGTCAATAACATGATAACAAGATGTGTTCGAATTATTTGTGCTTTAGTTATCTGCGTTGCCGTATATTTTCCGGCAAGACACGCACGACATTACGAATATATCCCTTTAAAAAAGGTAATTCAAGAATTAACTTTCGTCGATGGTACACCGCATTCTGAGAATCATTTAAGAAATTGCTCGTATGAAGATCTCATTTTGAAAAGCAAAGAAGTTCCAGTAAGTGATATAACAAAACCAAAAAAATTTGAACTACCTTTACGTGGTGGAGAGTATATTCCAAGACAGTGTAATTCAATAATTAAAACAGCTATCGTCGTGCCATATAGAAACAGGTCAGAGCAACTACAAATATTTTTAAATTATATGCATTCGTTTCTGCAGCAGCAAAGTATCCATTATAAACTTTTTGTAGTTGAACAAAACAATTCTTTACCTTTTAATAGAGCGCAAATGATCAACTATGGCGCCAGTGTTGCTATAAGCCTGAATTATCCCTGTCTTGTTTTACATGATGTGGATCTGATTCCTTTATCTACAGGAAATATATATGCATGTTCTGAAAGACCTAGACATATGTCCAGCAGTTTGGACACCTTTAGATACAACTTACCATATCTAACGCTATTTGGAGGAGCAATTGCCATTTTATCTCAACAGTACGAAGAAGTTAATGGAATGTCAAATTTATTTTTCGGATGGGGCGGCGAAGATGACGATTTTTACACTCGACTCATATCACACAACTTGTTTCCTTATAGATTCGACCCGGAAATTAGTCGATATTCAATGTTGTTTCATAGAAAACAGCCAAAGAACGAAGAGAGATACGAAACGTTAAAAAAATCGCTAAAAGAAAATAAAAATGACGGTTTGAATAATCTTCACAGGAAATATTACATTGTACAGGAAGATCTGTTTACTCGAATTGTTGTTTTTTAGATAGGAGTTATTTATTTTATATTTTTAAGCTTTTTAAAATTTCCTAAAGGCCAATTGTACTTTTATGTTTTTTTTTTCTGTGATCAATTTAGTTTCTATATCAGTGATATGATTAAACCAAAAATTTTCTATTTATAAAGTGTTTATTAAATATGTAAAGCACCGTTTACACTGGAAGTTTTACCTGGGATTGTGTAAATTATAGCATTGTATTTAGTGAAGTTGAATAGAAATTGTTTAAATTTAATTCCTAAACAGCTCACTTCAATTCAGTTCAAGTGAAACGTCCGATTTTTCGTCTTCACACAAGGTTTTACTTGATGAATTTTGACTGAACAGGGGTAAAACCAACAGATAAAACGTGATGTGTAGACTTGGCTTAACAAGTCGCCTGTACACAAGGACAAGAAAACTGACATAACTCAAAATTACCGGTTTTACAGGAGAAAAAAGTTAAAGTTTCTCCAGATGGTTTAAATTTTTTATAATTTGTAAAATATGGAACATTTTTTGGTTTCACCAATTCTATTTCTGATAAAAATACCTACATATCCATTGGACTCATTTTATATCAAAATTGATAAAAGTGACTTTTTTGAGTTGTATCGCATTTCTTCTGTACAGGCGAAGTATGATTTTTGTGAAGTGTGGTTAAATGAACTAAAATCCGCCATATTAACCCCCCATCGTGCTAAATTTGTTGATATGTTCCTTCCCTTAGTCTTTTTATTCATAAAATTAAAACAAAACCTGTTCAAATTATAAGATCTGATCGGTAAGCGGTAACATCAAATTAGAGGGTTCTCATATTAAATTATGTTAAACATAGTTATCATTTTGTGATTCATCTTATTTATTTCATCTTGTGTAAAGTCTGTCCGACGTGAGATTTCGACAGACGACATCCGACATCCAAAAATGACAGAAAATTAATTTTACTCGCGAATTAAAATGACTGTCTTATATCTCGGACAGATTTCGATAATAGTTTAAGTAATTAGCAAATAAAAACTATTGTTTTGCATCAAAACTATTTATGTAGACTTGAATTTGTTTATAATGCTCAATTAGATAATACTGTTTACATCAGTTGAGTCACGAATTGTAGATAGTTACAACAAAATTAAAACGATGATGTATTAAGAAAATTGTTTTATTTATATTCTTATTTTTTTCCATACTTAAATAAATCACATAAGAATAAGAGTGACCAGACGTTCATTATATGAACATAGGAATTACATGCATCAGTTCTATTACAGTAGGTGCCCGCCTGCGCCCGTCATTGAATGACTTAACTCTGGTCACTTTATATGTTCCTTAATTAACTTAACAATAAAATAAATATCAGTCAGCTTCAATAACACCGAATGTACCTTGTAACAGTTTGCCAGAAAGATTCTGTTTGAAATGTTCTTTGTCGGCTACATAGGCAAAGGGCAGTCTCATAATCCAATACGCCGACTGAGTCAGTTTGGTGGGTTCATCTGTTGTGCTTACAAATATGGGAGCGCCAGCTGCTGGCTGAACCTATACAAAAAGTACCATTAGATTACACGTTCATATTGGCACTGCTCCGATCCATGGTACAAAGAATACAAGGTATGATATTGCGCAGGTTGGTCGCTACGTCACAGGTGATAACAGGCGCTATTGGTCAGTACGCTCCGCGCGCCAGTTCAAATCGTTAAGATATTGTTATAAACCTGTTTTTTTGTTTATATACCGTCATTGAATTGTCGCTAAGCAAGTTACTGTGGAGCAGTGCGTAAGGAGTCGGGCTAGAAAGCGAGAGACCGGAGTTCGAATCTCAGCCGGGACATAACTTTTTATTTATTTTTTTAAATACTGTTGTATTCTATAGTTTATTTTTGTAGTATAAAAAAATTCTTCTTTGACACGTCTATATCCATTAAATTAATAAATGTCTTTATTGTCAAAAAATTTTACAATTTGTACACAAAGGTAAAGTAAACAAACAAACAAAAGAGAATACAAATTACATTGTCAGTCTTTTTGTTTAAAATAAACATTTATAAAAGTTTACAATGTCAAAGAATAAAAAAATAAAAATAAGATTCAAAAATATTTAGTAAGTTTATAGTAAATATCAATGACCTCTAAATAAATTCATTTCGATGTCATTGGTAAATATAGTAATAGCAAACATTAGACCAGTGTTTACAAGATCAAATTCGATTATCAAAATATAAGTCATTTACGGCGTAGAAAGCCTTGTCTAGTAAATAAGATTTCAATGCTTTGCGAAATGAAGAAAATAATGTTAAGGATTTGATTTCAAATGGCAGTTAATATTTTTAATTTTTTAAAAAAGTCCTGGCAATGAGTTCTGCTATTTAGTCCCAGTGAATATCGAACAGCTCTCTTCTGGAGCTTGAAAATGCGATCAAATTGATTAAAATAGAATAAAATGTCCGAACGGTAGCAGAGACTCCAAATTCAAGCAGGCTGAAAGCTCGAGCAGCGCAGCGCAACGCAATACCTTTTCGGCAATGTGAACACTCTCATTTGAAATCTACAGCTTAAATTATTAAGCGGCATTTATTTCAGGAACTAAGAGGACTAGAAAAACTGTGTGTGTAGCATCTTTAGTTTCGTAAAAAAGTAGCGAGTAATGTGAAAAAACCATCTTTGTACCGCTACTCATAAACGAGTAACCCTGTAAAACACACGAAAATGGGACACCGTCGTTTTAAAGGCGCTGTATTATATAAAAATAATAGTTACCCTAGGATTTAAAGTACAGTAAACTGGAGCTTTCGGAGTTACGACGTGCAGCCGCATTAACTGTGCTATTTTTCCCGCCCTGCAGGAACAAGGATAATACAAAGGCATATCAGATTCGGCTATTTTATGTCCCGTATCTTTCACTATGCTTCCCGGTGCGGCTTTCAACATTTTATCCGGAGCTGACAACATAAACCTATAAAAATCTTTTTTTTAAGTTGTATAATACGAGGATAGTCTGGAAGTTTCCGACAACGCAACGATACAAAACATGTTGACTTCACAGGTCAGATAATATACCGGGCTGGCAACTCTTACTTTTGGGTTGGTATTTACATGTATGGAAGTAAATCGCATAGGGATCTTATTAAGTCGGAGTGAGAGAAATGCGATGGTGTGCTGTTGCCGCGCTGTCACATTTCTCCGGTACGCCTTTCCCTATCGAGTAAAGTAAAATCACGATCGCAAACCGCTTATTTTTAAAAGACTTTTATTTTCGAAAAGATAACTAGATAAAATCATTAGATATGTTTCTGAGCATCTGAAATGGAATTATCAGAATATCGTTAAGGTGTCCATATTTTTTATAACGAGAAAACGTCAGTAATCGCAATATTTTAAAAATTCAACTTTTTAACGCATAACACGCGATAACTCAAAAACCACTTTAGATATTGAAACTTTTTTTTGAAGTTCGGATCTTTTACAATATGTTCAAATGAGAAAAATTCGATAGGCTTGTTTTTTTTTCATTCAAAAATTTTAAAAAATTCGTCCATCATGTAACTTTTTTATTTATAAAGATTTTCACATACTGTCTGCGGACAAAAAATAGCAGAAATATTAAGAAAGTTTTTGAAAAAAAACTACAATGAATTGTTTCTAATGGATTTCGAGATATCGATTTTTGAATTCAGAGTTTTAATAGCGCGACCAAACCAAACAGGCACGAATCACAAATTGACAAGCTATTAAAGGAAAATTAGGACTCGTTAATAAATAAACAAATAAAGTAACACGAGACGTAATTAAATCGTGAAGCTGAACGCATGATGTACACACTTTCCTAGAATTTTAAGTACTGATTGGGTCGACCGCGATGAATCTGCTATATACCCTTCCACGTCTCTTAGCAATGTGCACAGTTTCTCGGTTTATTTCATACGTTTTGCAACGCTTTTACTGTTCTCTCTGTTCAGTACATTATAAACGCATTGTACTCTTCTTACATACGGAAACCTCGACCCAAGATTAATCTTTGCCAGCCCTTAGTAGGAGTATTACTTATACGACTACCGTACACATGATGATATCGGAAACTTTTCAAACTACCATCGTAGAACAATCAAGAGAATAATCGCGGATTACCTATGGCCAGAAGAACACTCGTACTCAACTCCAATAAAAACTTTAACCGTTTGCGGCATGATACTGCTGGTAGGTCTTCCCCTCCTGCCTCTATTGGAATATTTTCCTACAGCCGGCCAAGCTTTTTTCGACTTAGAGCCCACCGTAACGTCCCACGGTAGCAGATAGTTTGTGGAACTCAAAAAGCCCGGATGATATTGTTCTGACAATCCTGCAAAATTAATATCAGAATGTGTTTAACGGTGTTAGACAATGTTTCGTTTGAAATAAAACTGTTTGATTAACTTTCATTGTGTGTAATAATCACAAACAAAATTACTTTTTAATTCTATACTCTGTTCTTCTCAGGTAAGATTTCGACAGACGATGACAGAAGAAAAACAGATGACGTCCCATACCAATCGATTTATTTAACTAAAAAAAGTCTCTAATATTTTTTAAGTTAACTATGGATGGGTTTAAATATAAATCCGTCATACGTCGCCTCTTGTTGTTTTTAAACAGTTTTATTGGTTTATTTCAAAAATGACAGATCATATTTCAATTTTATTGGTTTGACGAAACGATGAACGACAAACGGACGCCGATGTGTGGGTATGAACTCGCCTTTAGATTTTTGAGGCTTGTCAAAGTCTTGCCAAATTATAGGTTATAATTTTGTGTCAACTTATGTCAAATATCTGCGTTTTGGAAGATTCGTGTTATTACGTGTGTTTTGTGTCTTTTGAAGTCAAGTGGAGGAAAAATCGAGGGAACCAACGGACCAACAATGGAGTACCAACTTATTTCTTTGTAAAATAAAATAAACTACTTTGAAATTAAAATGACAGACACATCTATCACTGTCAAGGATTTTGTCGTTGGACAGACTAAAACTTACCCAAGTTGTGGCTGTACAGCGACGAAGCTCCTAGACATACAAGAGACCAGCTGGAAAATACCGGAAGCAGACCGGGCGGCGAATTCAAAGTCAACATGCCGGGCAAGTATTCAGTCGTGCTGGGTTGCCTAACAACTCCCTTTTCCCCAACCTCGGGCGTGAGCTGTTGGATACTCCTATCCGACATGGTCATCTGAAATAAAAGCATCGACATGGGGTCTTCTGGTTCGTGTTGGCCGTTATGCAGCGTTGCCGCTTTATACTCTTGAATCGACGGTTCGAAAATGGGAAATTCGATTCTCTCCAGTTTGGAGCACTGGCAGTCCTTGCCTATCTGTTGGTAAAAAATATAGTTGGCTTGCATTGGCGTGTACGGATCGTCTCTCGGACCGATTTTTCTTCCGCAATCGCAGGCAGCTGAAATAAACGAATTAAGGTTGATTCTCACTATACCTTCCGTTTCCATTCCATATCCGTCCGTATTTTAGTTTAATTTACCACAGCCTTATGAATAGATAAAAAATATAAAACTTTAAAAACAGTGTGAAATAAAATATTTATAATTAATGAAATACAATAATAACTATAAAGTAAAATAATTATTTATGGTAATGGCAACACAATTTCCGATGCACGTGATCAACTTTGAGTGTTGACAACCGATGGCGACAGCGCTGCCAGATTGTGATGGATTTATGAGATGAATCTTAATTTAAAATTGACAAACAACATAATATTTATTATATCATTTTTTAAAGAGTTTTACGTTTTATTTTTAATTTAATAACTAATATTTTACTGATTAATTGATTTATTTGTTTTATAGCTTATTTTACTTATTACATATTGACAAAAACTAGTCCATTATAAAGATTATTATAAGCATTATTATGGGTTATTTATTTATTAATGTACATCTTACAACGTAAGTGGTAGTAACAAGTAAGAGGGTGCTATTAATGCACAAACTAATAATCACAGAATTTAATAAAAACTAACTTTGAAAGTGGTATAATGTGCTTATCAATCAAACTTACTTTTCTGACTGCAGTCAAGAGTAATAAAGGATCTTTATTGTCACGTTCTCGTTCAAAATAGTTTTAAAAAAACAGGGAAGCTACAAGCTCTTTGCTTCGACTGTTTAAATGCTTCGGCGTATTTTCAACACACAATTTCAAGAAATGCAATACAAAAACTCGAAAATTTAGTTCTTAAAAGAACTGTTTGTGCTTAGAAGTGCAATTTAAAAAAACTACTATGAAAAAAGGAAAAAAAAACGAGAATTACCCACAAAGATTCAACAACACGATATTATACAAAATAATGACTGACACTAGGATAATTGTCAAATAATAAAGGACAACATTGCTCAACACGGCGCAATGTGACCAACATAGCGATAATAAAATTCGGTTTAAACTAATGTTTGCAGCTTTAATCTAAATAAAATATCTGTTACAATCATTTGCTCTATAAAGAAAAATGAAGAGCTGCTAGGTATCTTAAATTATACAACAAATTTAAACATTTTTGCCAAAATTTCATTTAGTCAGGTTTATGTCAAAGACTTTAGTGTCAATGCCGATATGTGATTTTCGTTAATAAACTTTTTAAATAAATAGGTTTGTATATATTGGGTACCTTCCTTTTGTACAGTAAGGATTGTCTATTTATATTATTTATCTGAGCTTACCAGAGTTAAAAAAAAGTTCACCTACATTTATACATAAATCCACTCATGTGTTCTTGATCAGGCGTATGCTTCGGTAATTTACAAGGATTTCCCGTCATTGAAGCTGCTTCACACTGTTGCCTACCGTTCTCCCAATGTGCTTGGCATTCAACCTCCAACTTCAACTGATACTGTGGATATTTCGGACCTCTTGCTTGGGCTCTTATAACAAAAAGCACTATAAGTATACGGGGATTTGCACACAACCCATTTTTTAATTTTTTAACGTCTACTTTAGATAAAAACCTTAGATCATATAAACTTCGTGGATAAAACTAAATCATAAATTATTATACATTCATTGACGTCAATTTTTACGATTTTTCTTTACCTTTTCAAAATTAACAAAATTCACTCCGAACTAAAATGACTTTCAATGTCATGCGTCCTCTAGTTGTACAAACTATAACTTTAAATATAAGTTTAAAATATAGGCACCTGAATAAGGCTAATGCCATGGCTAATCTAGCTTCGTGTTCGGCTTTAGCATAGTGAGAAGGCAATCCTTCTTGATACCTAGCAACAGCCAAGGGCAACACTTTCAGGCATCTCTGTTCGGAAAACCTCGTGTCGGTACACAAAAATGAGATCGGCTTGTCTTTCTGCACTACTAGTTCGTAGAGGGACTTGCTTGCCTCGACCCAGTGCTCCAAAACTGGAAGCTGCAGAAGTAAAAATAATTAAAATTATGCCGGTTGTTTATTTTTACGTTTATTACAAAGTGAATAAATCTGAAGACACGCCATTTATTTAGTATCAGTCAAAAATAAGAGACGACAGAAATAATTACATCAATTTCATATCAATTTTACTGAACTAAGTTGTATCGCTAACACTTGAGAACCAATAAGAGAGAGGGCAAAAAGTAGGTTGTAAACCTTTAGACGATCAGTTCAGTTCGAATATAACTATACAGGGTGAGTCTTAAATAAGTGCAAATACTTTCAGGGGTGATATATTTCGACCCCAGGAACACGTTATGAGGTTTTTTTTGCAAAAAAAAGATGTTAAAAATCGTGCATTTTCTTTTAAATTTCCTTGTATATTTTTCAAAAACTTTTTAGAACTGCCTGTTCACCGCAAATTTTCCCACGGAATAATTTCTTTATCTCTTATATTACCAATGACTAAAGAATCCAAGGACAAATAACACCCGAGAGCAAATTGTGACGATGTCACCAAACAGTGCCGTGGCACATATTTTTCTTAACCTAGCTGTTTGAAGCAATATTTATATTTTTTGATAATTGTTTTGACTACGCTTATGGTGTATCATATCCTAATTAATTACGAAAAAAACGTATTAAAATATTAACAAAAGGTACAAAACTAGTATCGCCATATAGCACATATCAAGTACATATAGATGTTAATTGAAATTGAAGAATAATTATCGAATTCAATAAGAAAACGCTAAAAAGTTGGAGTGGACTGTTTATTTACTTATGAAACGTAACTCCTGACCCTTTCTTATCGCTGCTGCTTTTACACTGAAAGCTGAACAACTAATCACCATTGTAATAAAGTTTATACAAAGTTTAGTACATACAAACTATTAAAAATCGCTAACATTGTCGCTGGTGACCAAATGATGACTCACTGTTTGCCACCAAAACAAAAAAAAGGTCACAAATTCTGCTGCAGCCCGTATAGGGGCGTTACATGTCCTTATATTCTTTAGTCATTGGATATTACCATAGTTACGGCTTAACTCTATGGTTACAGCACTAAAAGGGATGCAAATACAGAAAAAATCCGGTGGCTCTCAAAATGTTTTCAAAAAAAATCAATTTTTATTTAAATTTTCAAACTTAAATAACTCGATTATTTTGGACTTATCTGAAAAATGGTAAAGAAAAAATTTTTCTTTTATCGAGATCTACCAGCCCTGAAAATATTTGCACTTATTTAAGACTCACCCTGTATAAGATAATGCTACTAAAACAGGTAAATCAAATTAACGTATCTAAATTCTTTGACATCTAATCTTTTATACTCGTCAAACTTACGCGTTAAGGCAAGACTTACACATGTATATTGTCTAGTCACTTACTAGCAAAAAGTTATTCCATTACTTCCCTCAATTTCTGACCGAGATCTACCGCACGCTATACAACCAACTATTTTTACAGTCTTTTTCGATAAATCGGAATAGTTAATTTAAGTTCTGCCACAAAAAATACCCTCTAGATTTACTACCTTTAAACAGCTATCAGTAAAACATAAAATAATCACAGTAAAGACTGATAAATCCATAAAATTTCAATCATATTCAGATGTGTCAAATGAACCGTCAAATAGAACTGTGAATGATCCCCACCCTAGGGCCCTCTCTGTGTTTACAATGCATTAATTCATGGATAGCATTATACTCCTTCCTTTATCTTTTTATTAAAAGAGCATATCAATAAACATATCAATAACACAATCTTGTTAACTACCTCAAAATAAGATGGAGGATGCTGATGGCGACTGGAACTAACAGAGTCGTCGAATCCTTTAGTTCTGGCCTGTTGAATGTGAACTTGCAAAAACCTCATAAAATCCTTTTCTACATAGGGCTGACTGGAAAATGGGGCTTGGACTTGCATCGCGCCACCCGGCTGACAGTCCTGAATGAGCCCTTTAACTGCTTCACTCAGTCGGTCTTTCGGTCTCACTTCGGACACGTAAACAAATTCATCGTTTGGAGGAATAGCAAACAATGAAGATCTGAAACATGACAGAAAAATATGTTTTAAATCATTCAATTCTACAGTAGTGATAAACGATATATGAGTGGTTCAGAAGTGAACTGGATCAAGTCCTAGAAGATAATTATGGAGAAAATAAGAGTTAAAGTTTTTTAATGTTACTTAATTAAAATAAAACAAGCTGGGGGAAAAAACTTGACACAACATGCTTTATTATATGTTAAATTGTATAATTGCAGACTAAAGTAACTCAAAATACAAATATGGTCATTTTTAAGAATGTTTGTTTATACTATTTTGGACTTGAACCATTTTATCCCTGAAAATATTTGAAATATATATCGTCGGTGAAATGTGATAACCTGTTAACTCCATTATTCCTAATTTTAGAGGAGAGAAAAGAAACAATACAAAAAAATATGTACATACATATTTAGCAAGTATATTCATTCGTTATTGATATACAGATAATAATAAAATTTGTTACGGAACAATAAAACTCAATATTTCGTTAAAAATTTCATGTAAAAATGATGTATTAAATGTATTATTTACTTAAAATAAAAAATGGAGTTAGCAGGTTATCACGACGATATTATATCAATAAGGTCCTATACATAGAACCTACCCTGAAGTTGATATAAGCCTGGTTTTCTTCAATATGTGATAAATTCTGTCTTCTAAATTATGTTCTAATTTCTTTATACTAATATTGTTCAATGGTCTTGGTGTTCTTTCAAAGTAAAATATAATTCTCGGCGTACAAACTCTACCATTTGCAATCCAGTCAGAATTTAGCATATTCAACAATCCTAACTGACTGCATATTTTATTAAAATATTTTTTACTACAAAAATATGTTGTATAATGAGATTTCGCTGAAAAATAGCCTAAAAAGTACCTTAACAAATCAAGTGCCTTAAAATACTGAACATAATTTGTATCAAAACTTGAGCCTGGATGGGACAAAACTACAATATGACTAACGTAAAGTAAATACAAAAAGTATCTACAGAATGAACTTTTAACATCGTCATATGTAGCCAGAAAATCTTCTTCGATTATGCTACTGTCATTAAAAGCACCTATTTTTTCCATGAATACATCCGTATCAAGCAAACTGTACAAATGGAGATATAAAGTTTGATTTTCTTCATCATACGAACCTTTTATAACACTCTAAATAGATGAGTATACTATTTAACTTTGTGCTAAAAAAAATGTGTTTACTTACTTCACTCGATACACGATTTTCAAATGGAAAAATCCGTCCAATGCTTTTTACTTTTAAACCAGAAGTGTTTAGTGAACTCTTGCCTATAACGGAGACAATAACAATTTTATCTGAAGATATTCCAGGATCTCTAGAAAACATTTCAATATAAAATGCAACTGGATACTGGATAAATCTTCGACTCACAGTAGTTGTTCAAAGTTTGGTATATGAAAAATATTTTTAGTTTTCATTATTAGAACTATTCATATAAATATAAACAAGATATAAACAGAAAATCACGGAAAATTTTCAGTCTAAATAGGGTTATTGTTTAACGTAAATGACGTCTTCTTTTTCCTTAAATATTGTGGCTTAGAAAAGTTAAGCACTCTGGACGGGGTATACTTAAGTCCGCGGAATCCGAATCGCGGTCCTCAACACGAGCTTCACAGTCGTATATAATTTTAATCATATATAAAAATGATATATATCCCTTTATGACATATGACAGCAGAGATCAAGACAGCTGTTTTTGACAATTGATATTGTGTGTACTTGTCAAAGTAAACAAATTTATTAACATGATGGCTTTTAATCACTTTATAATAATTTAAGTGTTTGATACGGAAATAATTTTTCTTAAATCCGTTTAGTAATGGCATATTTCCATTACCGTTGTGGAGAAAGGATCACTTTAATTAATGAAAACACCACAGCAATAAGGAATGATAGCGAATTCGATCATGGATTAGTAATTTCGGCAGAGCCTCTCATTAATGATATTCTTTTCGAAGTTATAATTGATAGAAAGGTTTGTTATTTGATCTTCTAAGCTATGTTACTTTCTTGTGAGTCGTGAATTTAATAAAGACATTTATTTAATAATATAGGTAAATTCTTGGTCAGGAAATTTAGAAATTGGAGTTGTAGATGTTGATCCATTGCATTTTGACTTTCCTCCGTGTGCTTCAAAAATTCAATCTTCGTCATGGGTAAGTTTTGTTATATATTTTCTGTTGACCATACTTAACCATATTATTATTCTATAGCCCATACAAATATAATATATATGATATACAAAGTTTTTACACGGTGTTAAAAATAAGTTTTGTATTTCAAATATACCATAATTTATAATATAGTATATAATCTATACAAGCAATTTTTGAAATATATACAGTGTGGTAAAGATAAAAATAAGTAAAAAAGTTTGTATAAACTGGGTGTGAATTATTTTGAAAAAACTAAAATACAAATGAAACTTCTATACCCCGTATCTCCAAAATGAAGGTTTTAGAACATATATTTATACAAACATTTTTACTTTTTTTGAAGTGAAACTTCTTTACGCGCGTTGGAAGTAAAAATTGAAGGCCGTGACACACGAGAGACGTCACTAAAAAGTGGTAATGATCGAAAAAGTTGTAAGCCAATGAGTAAGTTGAAATGGGTCTTTGGAGCGTCGTAACTCGGGCCCTATGTGAGCTAGGGGGCTGAAACTCGGAATGTAGATGTGGCTTGAAGAGCCCCATCTTTTCATGATATTTTGACGACGTTTCGTGCACTACGAAACCCCATTATCAATTAATCAAATCAAAAAATCGTCCGATTTAAATGAAATTTGGTTGATAGTTTCGACCAAAGGTTTGGACTAAGGCTAACTTAACCGTGTACGACACACGTCACTGTGACAGTTAGTTTTGACGTAAGGAACATCAAAAGTTGATGTCGTCCGATCGCGACCAAATTTGGTGGGTAGGCTATGTGAGCGACAGCGCACACGGTCCCACCCTGCAAAGTTGGATACGACGTTTCGTTTACATCTTCATCAGGGTAGGACTAAGGATTTGATATTGAAGAAAAATGTGGGTCGATTTCAGCATAATTGGGGACGGGCTACAGGATGACGCCCTTGACATTTCGAACCGATACCTCTGGATGGACGAAATCATCAGGATTTTTCTTAATCATGGGTCGATTGGAACCAAACTCGGCACGTGTATAGAGGTATGGAGTCCTCAGACGGAGAGACGGTCGTTTTAATACAAATTTTGTGAAAGCGAATCAGATTATTAATTTTTAATTTATTACTTTTTCAATATTTCAAACTACGCTTTTGCGAATATATGTTCTTCAAATCCTTCAATTTAATAGCTGTTAATAAGAAGTTTCACTTCAAATATGCGCACATAGTGCACACACAATTTTTTTTCTGTATAATATGTTTACCCGATTATAATTCGGACCACCCTGTATATTTGATTAAATTTTCCGCATATTTAAAGTTGTTTCAAAATTAAAAAGAAAATCCTTGTATGTATTAAATTTTAGATTATGTCAGGCACGGCAGTTTTCAAGAATGGCAATTGTCTAATAGAAAGGTACGGGTTCGATTTAGACAAATTAAACCAATTCGACAGAGTGGGATTAGTAAAAACGTCCGAGGTAAAAATATCAATTTCTCTCCTTTTATCACGAAACCTATAGTCTAAGAGCAGCAACGTTTTCGAGAAAGTATTTTAAGAAAGCTGGCTCTTTAATATATCTTTTGCTATGCTCTCTGGAACAGCGTGCGAGTCGTCTGGCTGCCGATTTTTGTATTTTGTATTTTACTAAGAGTGAGTCCCAGGTGGGACCCTCCACTGAGGCCGCGAGGGCCTATTGTGGCTCAGTTTCTACAAGCTCTTTAATAGAAAAAGAGCATTAAAGTTCGCCCTCAAGACCCAGCCTTTTAACATAGGCCGTTATGTCCGAGGGTGATATGTCTTCTAGGTCTGATAAGTCTAGCGTGGGTTTGCCAAACACCTCAAACCTGGTCCTGCCCCCAGCGGGGCAGGTACACATAACGTGCTTCATTGTTTCGTCATCTTCCATACAGAGTCGGCATTCGGCGTCTTCCACCAGTCCCATCCTCTGTAGGTGTGATCTCAGCCGGCAGTGGCCCGTCTGGCTGCCGATAGACGTTGCGTTCACTACTGCACATTGAAAGAAAACCCAATTTTTTTTTATTTAGTCCGTTAAATTCTAGTATTGAATAAAAATCGAACAAGTCTCCATAGCGCGGCGAGAAAACGTTCAGCCTATAAAGCGATAAGTTCAGAGTTCAATGTTGGCTCGGGGTGAACTCTTTTTTTATTTATTTTCATTTATATTCTGATAGTAAAGTATTAAATAATTATTTTTTTTATTCACCAAAATTATTTAATACTTGTTAGAATATCAACGAAAATAAAATAAAAAAAAAAGTTTACACCGGGCCGGCATTGAACTCTGAACCTCTCGCTTTATAGGCTGAATGTTTTTTGTTCGCTTTATATTCAACTAGCGTGTACCCGCGACTTCGTTCGCCTCGAATTAATCATTTGTAATGGTGATGATAAAGCAAAGCAAGAATTTCCATTAACATACTAACTGGATAAAATTTTCTAACGTTTATGTCAACATTAGAAAAAACAATATGGCGATATTATTATTGTATAACTTGGTAATATTTGAGGGGTAGTTTCATCTCGTTGGAATTTGACTTCGAAGAAAAATTCGTTTGCCAAAAATAAGCTTTATACGTCAAGCAGTTTAAGCAGAATCGTGGTTAATCAATTACCCAACTTTTTGGAACACCCTGTATGATTTATTTCAAGCGTTTTTCCGAAAGACTAACCGTTTTTTAAATAACAAATATTTTAATATTTGAGGGACGTTTTCACCCTCTTGGAATTTGAGATTCGAGAAACCCCTCCTTATCGAACCTCTACACCCTACAGTCAATCCGTTTGCTAAAAATCAGCTTTAAACGTCAAGCAGTTTAAGCAGAACCGTGATTACTCAATGGTCATATTTTATGAAACACCCTGTATAAATTTTTAAAAATCTTAAAATATGTAAAACAACAAAATAAAATATACGTGTTTAAGAGTTTTTCCGAAAAAGTCACCGATTTTTAAATAAGAAATATTCTAATATTTAGTGGTTTCACCCCCTTAGAATTCGAGTTTCGAAAAATCCCTTCTTATCGAACATTTAACACCCTCACTAAAGTCAACCCGTTTTCCAAAAATCAGCTTTTTACGTCAAGCGCTTTAAGCAGGATCGTGATTAATCAATAACCATATATTTCGAAACACCCTGTATACATTTTTAAATAATAAAATACAAATCTTAAAATATGTAAAAAAAACAAAATAGAATATACTTAATTAAAAAAGGTAGAAAAAAGACTCAAAGTCTCGGTCTCAACGTTTATACAATGTTAAACTGTTACACGTGTTTCGCTCATAGAATATACTTGTTTAAGCGTTTTTTCGGAAATTTGACCGTTTTTTAAATAAAAAATATTGTAATATTTGAGGGGTGGTTTCACCCCCTTGGAACTGGAATTTCGAAAAATCTCTTCTTATCGAACTTCTACATCCTAGAATCAACCTGTATGCCAAAATTGAGGTTCTTACTTTGAGTGGTTTGAGCAGGATCGTGATTAATCAGTGAGTCACTTAAGGATTTTATATATTAGTATAGATACTAGTATTTAAAGGACTAAATAAAAATAAGAACTTCTTTCAATGCGCAGTGGTGAACGCAACGTTTATCGGCAGCCAGACGACTCGCACGCTGTCCCAGAGAGCATAGTAAAAGATATATCAAAGAGCCAGCTTTCTTAAAATACTTGTTTTCCAGACGTTGCTAGCTTTCGTACTACTATACCTATTCTTGTTAGGGTGATTTAATATTCTACATAAACGGGGAATCCCAAGGAGTCGCCGCCGAAGCTTTACCGAACGTAGTCTACGCCCTCGTCGATTTGTACGGCAAGTGCGTACAAGTCAGCATCACGAGTCCTACCTTTAGAGAGCATAATAACGACGATTGTCTCAGCGGCAGCTCGGTACTAGCCATAGAAAACGACGTGCTAAACGTGACCTTAGGCGGAGACCTCAGCGAACTGAGTTTGAGCAGCAGTAACAGTCTGGACATAAGGATGGATATGAATGTTAGTATAAATATACCGGAAGATGGTGCTAGACTGGATAAAATGCGGTTTCACGAGCGCTGCGGATCCCTTGTTAAGCTGTCAAACGTCAATAGGACAGCGGAAAGAAGAAGACCTCTGGACGAGTTCAATAACGGGGTGGTTATGACGAACAGACCTCTTCGAGATTCGGAACTGTTCGAAATAAGAATCGATCGTTTAGTTGACAAATGGAGTGGCAGTATTGAAGTACGTATATTTATAATAAGTACCATACAATCAAAAAAAACCGCGTCGAGGAAGGCTGGGAATGGCAATAGTTGATAATTTTGGCGAGGTCAAGCCCTAAACGTCGTTACTTCATCCGTATTCTTCTTTATTTTTTTAGTGGCGTTTACTGCCAGTTAGCCTTAAGAGTCCATTTCACTAGTCCGAAAAAGTAGCAAAATAAGCGTTCGGCATTTAACATTTTATGTAAAACTGGCTAGGTATTTTTACACAAATGAAGAAGGAAATTAAATATAAAGGATTATACTATATCCGTATTGTAGCACATTTTTAGACAACTTCTTTATTTTTAAGATTTTAATGGTCAAACATCAACAAATTATTCCTTATATTTGGACTAAATTTTCTCGAAAATAAAGACATAATTTCAAATTCCGTTTCAATACGGAAATAGATTGAAGTTTTGTGATTACAGTGATATATAATTTATATGGTTTTGTAACAAATTGCTCGCTATTTTATGGCAAATGCTGAAGCTCTGCAAACCTTAATCAAGCCTTATCCAAGCACGTGTGTTTGGAATTTTGGGTGTGGCTTAACACGACAGGATCGGGCTAAGCTTTAGGCAGATTTCTGAAATATAATATATATTTCCTTCAGCCGCACACCCGCTTTACCCGACCCCTGAGAGCAACCCAAACAGTACAGCGTAATAGACTCTTAAGAAGGGTGCAATTTATTTTTATATTGAGTAAAAATGATTTTTAAATGGTGTAGTTTAAAATTCGAAAAAATATTTTTTTGAAAGTAGATTTGTGTGTCTGGAAACGTTTATAATGTTTTAAAGTTTCTAGAATTAGTGTTAAATTTTGACAATTTTTATCTCAATTTTTAGTACATGACCTCTAGAGATTGACTCTGCCAAAATTATTATCGATTATCATTCCCAGCCGTCTTTGACGCCGTTTTTTTTTCGATCCTACAGTATATATAAAACTAATAGTATGGCTAACAATCTAACTATCTTGAGACCAATAAATATATTAACATTGTTGTATATTTAATCAAATTTATAAAAGCTGATAAAAAGAATGGGCATTTGTGATATATTTTTGAAATCAGATAAAATTATACTATCCAATATATCTTTAGTATGCAGGGTATCCCATTTAAAACAAAGTTCATATCAATAACTGTGACATTTGACAGCGTAAGACATTTTTTGTAATACGCCATAAACTGCACTTTAATTTTTTAATGTATGTTCTCTCCAAGAACAAAAAAGTTATACTCAGTTAACAGTGCACAGTGGTTCCCAGATAGGTCATTAGTTAGAAATATTAATTTCAAAATGTTTGCATGAAACTGTTGCTAATACTTTTCTTATATTCCCCTGTAAACGATACATAATAAATAACAAAATTAAGTAAGCCTAGTGTACCGCTTTTTTTATTAGAAATATCACATTTTTGCTACTGGTATCAAGCTGACATAAACAGTTTTCAGATAACGCCAATTAATTACTTATTTTATTAAAATTGACAAAAGCTGTTGCCTTTTCTGTAATGGACGTTCGAAAAGAAAGTAAAAAGAACTGTTTTTTCTTTTTTGCACTTAGTTAAACCTAAGTAATATTAGTTTATGGCAATTTATTTGAAGGCAACAAAAATAGTATTTTTACATTTTTGCTTGTCACTCTTTAAGACTTTTAACTGCTTTTCCCTTTCAAATCCTCTTAAATGGCATGAAAATTCTTGTTGCTTAAAGTATATTACATATAAATTAATTGCCACTGGCTGTCGCGAATTACCGCCGGATCTTATACCGGGTGGTTAAAGATTGACTTTTTGTCTTAAAATAAAAGTAACTTATTTTTTCCTCTTCGTGTCAACTTATTTCGTGGACACACTGTATATCAATTGACAATAAACTTGTATTTATAAAATGAAACAACTGTCTCTTTTATTTTTTCAACATTTAAAATAAATTTGACCTCTTCAATATGAAAAAAACATGTACATTGTGTAAACATAATCTGTATACCTTTCTGAATAGTTAGAACTTAAAATGCAGGCCCCATTTTTTTAATACATATTACATTAAGTTTTTCATATACATTTAATTAGCATTTGTTATCAATTTCTATTAAAAAAGATGTAGTCAAGCTATATCTAGATATCTAACAGTTATGACCGCGCAGCTAATTAAGGGGAACCACTGTGCAGTGGGCCAAAAATAAAATGAAAGCACTGCCCGTTTTTAATATTTTAGATGGGTATAACAACTCATAATCCAAATTCCCTGGTTTTTCCTGCGACCATGACTAACATGCGTAGCGGTACGATTATGATGTCAGGCTGCGGTATCCTAACCAACGGTAAAGGAACGAGAAGGGAATATGGCGATTTTAATTTGGACGAACTGAGCGAAGGAGATCGTGTGGGAATGATGCGAAAACCCGACGGAAACCTGCATTATTTCATCAACGGTCTGGATCAGGGAGTTGCAGCTCAGAGGGTGCCTTCAACTGTTTGGGGTGTTATTGACCTGTACGGCATGACTATTAAGGTATTCTTGTCCGACGATACGATGATACGATATTAATTTTATTGATTGAATTTAAAGACTTCGATGGGTTAAAAAATTACGGAGTTTTTAAATTTATCGCATTTTCGTGCCTCCGTTCATCGAATATACGAATTGCTTGTGATTGGTATCATTTTATATTTTCTTTTCCATAATGATTTTGCTGTTTTACTTATAGTCTGAGAGCTAGCAATGTTTTCGAGAGAGAATTTTAAGAAAGCTGGTTCTTTAATATATCTTTTGTTATGCTCCCCTGAACAGAGTGCGGACCGTTTGGCTGCCGGTAGACGTTGCGTTTACTACTGCGCATCATATCTGTATTCAACATCTGTTCACTACTGCGCGTCACAATTTCGCCCTGTATTTCAGGAACTAAGGAGGCTAGAACAAACCTACGTGTAGCATATTTAGTCTCATAAAAAAGTAGCAAAGTAATGTGAATATAGGCTTGGTGCATTCTCCGCCGGTGCTGCCACCATCGGAGAATATCGTAAACAATCAATATATACAAATATACAGGTTTAAATAGCGAGTATACGAAAATTTTATTATTTAATTATTCTGAAAGTGTTAGGAAGTATAATTTGTGAAAATTCTAAAAATAAAAATAAAAAAGTAAATAATTTGATATCTTCAGAAGGTCTAACTTTATTATAATTTATTATTCCAGTTAAAAAAACTTTTTAGACGAGTTAAACTACGGTAGCGAGCATAATTTTAATCACCGGTTTTGCTAGTGAGGCATAATTGGGGCTATTTCGGCTATAACTGTATTTTTTAAAGGTACATAATTATAATTTTAGAAGATGTTTGTAAAACATTTAATCACTAGTTGGTTAGAAAATGTATACCATTATTATTGCAAATTATATTTTATCGTCTCATAGTATATGTTTATTTAATTTTTTGATTATGTAACGAGCACTTTGTTTACTCAGTTGTTTCGTCGAACTGTTTGAATTCATTTTTGCTTTTGATCAAATCTGTGTTAGAAACTATGAAGCTATTAAATGTTGTTTCGGGAGAGTTGAATATCCGGGAAAGTTGAGTTATTGAATGTTATTGCACCCAACAACGCCCTAATTACGCTCTCCTTTACGTGTTAACATTATTAACATTAGAAATTGTCACACTGCAACACAACACGACGCCTAGTTCGAATTCTTTTTCACTTATTTTTTACTACCCGAAACAGCGTTACATCACACAAACCTCGTACCTGAGTGTTTTATAGTTTCAATAACTGCACTAGCAAAAATCCAAAATACTTAAATTTTATGACAAAACCAGGATTTCAATATTATTTTAATGCGATCAACATGACGGCGCCGGCGGCGTGAGCTATATATTGATAATTTCAGATCTTTTCCGCAGAAGCGCTGCGGACGGAATTTGTTGAAATTAACTGAAATTCACCAAGCAGTCCATCTCAAAAATTTGGTTTCAATTTCTGTTCCTTATTAGCAATATAGTCTTTTAATATATTTGACCAAGCCTATAGCAACCGACAAGTTGATTGCTCTATTATCGTAGTATTACTTCCTCTAACTTAACAGGTATCTATCGTGGAAAGGGACGAGAGGGAGGAACAGAATTTAATAACGAGAAAAAACACCAGGGACCAGCACAGTATCGCTCCCGATCCCCAGCCCCTGCCCGATTACTACGACCGGCTGACGTTTCACTCGAACTGCGGCACCCACGCCGAAGTGATCAACAATGGCAGGACAGCGCACCGGCCTAACGCCTCCGACGACTTCAACAACGGCGTCGTTCTGACCGCGAGGCCCTTGAAGACGGGCGAATTCTTCGAGGTTAGGTTGGACAAGGTGGTGACGAAATGGGCGGGGTCGATCGAGATCGGCGTCACCACCCACAGTCCGGTGGATTTGGAATTCCCGTTTACCATGACAAACGTGCGGTAAGCAGAAAAATATCATATACAGGTTCCTAGTTATACTGGTTTTCAAATATCTATTAGCGGGTAATAGATTTAAGTATACAGGGTCGGTCATAAAGTCGTGGCACAGCAAAGTTTATTTTTTTAAATGGACTCCCCTGTATATTAATGCATATTTCAGTTCTTCCTTCAATTGTAAGTAAAAATCGTGATACACACAATGTACCTCAAACCAACCATTTCCGAATTATTGACTTTTGAAAATATCACTTAAACCATTCGATTTAATTAATTTCGATGTGTTCGGTTTCATTTGACGATGCCATTATATTAATAATATTTGACATTAGTTTCCAAGTTACCATTTATATAGATGTATAAAATGAGATTATACTAAGTCTGGAAATTACGAAATTTTCGTTTAACATTTCAAAATCAAAACTTCATAATTCAAGTTTTTATTATCGAACATTTATTAAACAGTGTATCAATATCTACTTCTTTTAATTCTAAAATTTCTAAGATTTTAATTAATTCCTGGAAAAAAACTGTTTTTAAATTCAAGAATCAATTTTACAATTTTACTGTTTAATAAAAACGTATGTACAAATACAAATTTGTAATATTCCACAGGAATAAATAAAACAACATAAATAAAACAAACGATTTTATTAATAATAACACTTACTAAATTTTATATCTTAAAGGTTGATTAATTAACTTTAATCTTAATTGTCACTACCACTACACTTCTACCACTGAATCAGTACCTTTTGACATTATTTTTCTGCAGTACTAAAGTCCATTATTTACCTATCGTGTGATGTCGATGTTATACAGCTACTCCATTAGTATATGTTTAGTACGATCCTTGTAGCATATACGAGATGCACTTATCTACGAGATGGTAAGGTAACTTTATTGGTGTATAAGACTTTCTGCATGGGCAGCGGGTATTAACTATAAACTGTGCTCTGGGTCTACAGTTAATTTTCCCTCGATTTTTCCTCCACTTGACTTCAAAAGACACAAAACATACGTAATAACACGAATCAAAATGCATCATCTTCTAAAACGCAGATATTTGACATAAGTGGATACAAAATTTTAACCTATAATTTGGCAAGACTTTGACAAGCCTCAAAAATCTAAAGGCGATTTCATGCGCATCGGCGTCCGTTTGTCGTTCATCGTTCCATCAAACTAATAAAATTGAAATATGATCTGTCATTTTTTAAATAAACCAATAAAACTGGTTAAAAAAAATCAAGAGACGACGCATGACGGACTTATATTTAAACCCATCCATAGTTAACTTAAAAAATATTAGAAACTTTTTTTAGTAAAATAAATAGATTGGTATGGGACGTCATCTGCTTTTCTTCTGTCATCGTCTGTCGAAATCTTACCTGAGAAAAAAAACAGAGTATATATTATATGGTTTTCACCTACAGGTTGCGCTAAAAAATTGCAACAAATGTGATTTTTTAATTGTTACTATATTGATTTGTGGAATATCTTCAACTTACCCAGGCTGTATTCTGAACTGAACTTAGGTCGGGTACGTGGATGATGACTGGCAGCGGTATCATGCATAATGGTACGATCATACAAGAACAGTACGGGGTCAATTTGGACAGACTTCAAGTTGGCGATAGGGTTGGACTTGTCAGAAAAGAAAACGGACAGTTGCATTTCTTTGTCAATGGAATTGATCAGGGCAGTGCTGCCAATAATGTACCAGAGAAGGTTTATGGTGTAGTAGGTTAGTAGTTAAAAATTATTTTTTTTAAATTTATTTTTATTTTTTCTTTGTGCACCTAACACAATAGTAGGTTTGTTCCAACCCGCCACAGAACCGTCACCGAACGATCACGCTCGTGCGCAGTAATTCAAATGTGTTCCAACCGAGATTTGACGGTTATCGGACGATCCTATTTGCATACCAACCTACCTTGGGATTGTTTAGTTACGATTTCAGAACGGTAATTTTGGTACATGGTCCAAATTGAGAACTGTTTGGGTTGACTTGCACATTAAAGCATATTGGCAGGGATTATCGATTCTTAACAGCTGATTCTGGTGCGCCGTCCGGCTGATGCTTCTGTCTTGGATAATTTTACGAATTCGAATACGTGTGCGTTATACGTTTGCTTGTGAGTTTGTGTGGAGTAAATCGTTCTGAAATTTTAATTCATTTTTTATTTATAAAATAGTGTTCAAAGATTCTACCACTGCAATGAAATAACAGGAAACTACGCATAACAGGATCATAAAAGAGAGGATAGGTAAGTGAGTTAATGAGTATACAGTTGAAACAACACTTACCAACAATTACTGGATTCTGATTCTCCATTTCAAGAACAATAATTATTATTGCAAATTGCAAACAAAAATAATAGGGTTATGTTATGAAATTCTAAACAAAAAGTCAAAAAAAAGTCCGCGCATGCTAACAAAGTACAAGAAAACCGATTCTAGTACGATTTCGAAACGATCCCGAAATGCTGGTTGGAACAAACCTAATAATAACATTGAATTAGTTCTTATATCAATATTTTTTGTTTCTATAGACTTATACGGCCAAGCTGTTGGTGTTACAATCATAGATATGTACGATTATGCTTCTCCTGATACCATTAATTCTGGTTTGTCCAATGCAACACTCTACAGGTAATTAAAAAAAATTGTTTTCCCCTTATTATCTCGTTGATTTCTTGCCATCTCTATTTTGAAGTTTACGATCTTTTCGCAGCGATTTAAGATTTCACCACGTCCATGGTAAGAACGCGCGAATAGTGAACAACGGCTTGACAGCCCTACGACCGCGACCTCTAGCGGAATTCAACGACGCCATCGTGTTCTCGAACAGGCCTCTGAAAGACGGCGAATTGTTCGAAGTTGTGTTGGACAGTATCGTGGAACGCTGGTCAGGAAGTATTGAATTGGGTAAAGATAATATAAATTCAGTTTTTTTTTATAAAATCTTTCTAGAGAGAGAATATATGATTTCGACAGGCAACAGCATAAAAATATTCTAGTTTTTGACTAAGACGAGGTATAACTGTCGCTGTCGTATATTCTTTTGCTGGGCAAACTATGCATGGTTTTTCGCATAACTGATTTATTAAAAGAAACAATGTTTCTAGTTAGAGTATAACCAACCCAACACACTATATATTTTTTGATTTTTAAATTCTGCATGAAATTCTAAACCTCTCATAAGACGACACGGAGGCTTCAAGAAGAACAACAGTTGGTACTGAAATGAAATATTGTAAAGATATATGTAGGATAATTTAGAGGATTTTTTATAAATATCTGGAGTTCTACAGAATGTCTCCATAAAAAGTTATACCTCAAAGTTATGTTTCTTGTAATGGAACACCCTATATACAGGGTGGTCCAAGCTGTATTCCGGAAACTTTGGCAGCATATTCTGCAGATAGAAATAAGTAAAAAAGTTCGTATAAATGTATCTCCTAAGATACTTAGTTTCGGAGATACAGGGTGTAGAAGTTTAATTTTTATTTCGATTTTTTCCAAATAATTTCGGAAGTAACGTCAATATTTGGATGAAAATTAGTGTCTGGGAATTTTTTGACATGAGAAATTTGATTTTGATGTCATTATGACTCCTACTAGTAGATGGCGCCACCTACATATTTTTAACTGGTTTGAAGAGTAATAACTTTTCGTCCGTACCTGTATAAAACTACTGAGTAAAAAAATATACATTTATGAAGTTTTTTACGTGCAAAAAGGTCTCTTGGTAAAAATCGCTACGAGTAATGGTTTTCGAGATATTTGGAATCGAAATTATCAATATCTGTCATCATTGACACAAATTATTTATGTCAATGACAACATGTTGACTAAATAGTTATTAGACTGAAATCATAAATTTGAAATGTTTTTGTGCCAAAAGTTCAACAGAAACTGTTTTATCATCATTTTTTGCAGAAAAATTTATGATTAATTTAAAAAAATAAAAATTTCCCAAATTTATTATTTCAGTGAAATAACTATCTACTCAACGTGTTTATTTTTCGTCAATAATGACATGTATTGTCTATTTCCATTTTAAATATCTTAAGAACGGTTGCTCGTAGCGATTTTTACAAAGAGACATTTTTTACGTAAAAAGTCACAGAGATGTATATTTTTTCGTTCGGTAGTTTTATACAGGTACGGACAAAAAGTTATTACGCTTCAAAACAGTTAAAACACATGTAGGTGGCGCCCTTTACTAGTAGGAGCTTTGAATAAGAAGACTAAGGAAGGAGCATAATGCTATCCATGTATTCATGCATGGTGGGCGAAAAAAGCGCCATAAAAGCACTCTAGGGTGGGGATCCTTGACAGTTCTGTTTGACGATTCATTTGACACATTTGAATTTGATTTGAAATTTTGTGGATTTGTCAGTCTTTACGGAGCTTATTTTATGTTATTTATTATTTATTCTACTACTAATAGTTGTATAAAGGTAGTAAATCTAGATGAAAATTGTGGCAGCACTTAAATTAACAGTGACACTATCGCGATTTATCGAAAAAGACTCTAAAATAGTTGGTTGTGTAGCGTGCGGTAGATCTCGGCAAAAATTGAGTGAAATAATGGAACAACTTTTCGCTAGTAAGTGACTATATAATATACATACTTGTAGTAAACCGATCATTTATGAAATTCACTTAAATTAACTAAATTATATATTTTTCTTGCATTTTAGCTTTTATTTATTACTTGTCAAAGATTAGATGTCAAAGAATTTAGATACGTTAATTTGACTTACCTGCTTCAGTAGCGTATCGGATGTTTGTGGTAATAAATACTTATTATAACTTATCTATTTTTATTAGAATTATATATTTTTATAACAATTTTAATAACTACCAACATTTATTCACAACGTAAAAATAAAACAACAAATTATTGAGTCTACCCCACGTCTACCCTACATCATAGTTTTACATTTTTTAAATAAAATTAGAACGACACTGATAAACCGGAATTTAAATCGGCCATATTTGAGGCCCATCGCGGTGTACCTAAGATTTTTGATATGCTCCTTCCTTAGTCTTCTTATTCAAAGAGTAGGAGTCATATTGACACCAAAATCAAATTTCTCATGTCAAAAAACTCCCAGACACCAATTTTCATCCAAATATTGACGTTACTTCAGAAATTATTTAGAAAAAATCGAAATAAAAATGAAACTTCTACACCCTGTATCTACTGAAAGTAAACATTTTAGGACATATGTTTATACGAATTTTTTTACTTATTTTTATCTGCAGAATATGCTGCCGAATTTTCCGGAATACAGTTTGGACCACCCAGTATAATTGATTTACTGATTCTAGTAAAAAAATAAATGTAAATTTTATTAGAGAACCATAATATGATTAAAATGTAACGTTTCTGACATATTTCACATTTTCTAAAAATTAAAAATAAATTTTAAATTTCAATAAAAACTACCTAAATTGGAATTTATCCGGTATAGCCTTATATGTAGTTAAAATAATCACTGTACTGTAAATCAAATTTAAACTTGATCAGAAAAGTTATACATATACAAGGTGAGACAAAATTAATATTGAACACTGGTCACCTTTAAAAGCAAGTTACTCTTTTAAAATTTCATCTTTAGTGTGTTTATTTAAGTTCTTTCAATTAATAGAATGCTTAAGTGCTCTTGATTCATCTAGTCTGGACTTTTTTGTGGAAATATGTTAAAGACAGTGTTTACGAAATTCCACCATCTACTGTCGACAACATGAAATAACGAATTGTGTCTACTACTAAGTATAACTCCACATGTGCTATCAATTATTACATAGGGTGTTTTATTAAAAAACACAACTTTGATGTGTAACTGTTTGAGTTAACCTACATATGCTCACAAAATTTTATTTGGAGCTTCGTGTCCGAGATGTATAAGAGGCGCCACCCTGTATAATAACGTGTTTCAAATAATCCCAATAATCTCAAATATTTTCAACATCAATGCATATTTTTCATAAATTTATGTTAATTGTCTTTTAAAAAATGTTTTACCCTACTTAAATTTTAACAATAATTTTTCAAATATCGTACAGGGTGCTCATAACCAAATTGAATAGGAAAATTTAAAAAATTCTCGTAGACATATTTATGGGGTCGAAATGTTGGTACTTATTTAATAAACACCTTGTATATTTTATTTAAATTAGGTGTCACCGCGGTAAGGCCCGATGATATAGAACTGCCCAGTACCGCTACTGATTTGAACAAAGACACCTGGATGCTTAGCGGTTCTTCCATTATGATTAATGGAAAAACTACCCAAAACAACTATCCCTGTGATTTGGACACTTTAATATCAGGAATAAGGTTTGTTTTCCTAATTAAACAATTATAAATTTATGAAAAGTACACTGTGTCTCGTATAAGAATGCACATTACAGTGATCTCGTACATCAGAGGGGATACAAAGATGACCAAATTAGAGAAAAGTTGTGCCTTGCTGAACCATAACGTCATGTGAATATAGTAATATTTAGTAATGTTACGTTTTTTTCGTCGGTTCCGTGTGGATAGAAAGTCACAATTTATTTAAACACAATTTATTTACACTAAGTAACAAACAATAATGATTAAAAGACTTAAAGAACTATATAACAAACTATTTATAATTATTTATCTAGAAAGAATTTATTTTGAATTTAGCGCGACAACTGTACTCGTCTATTTATTTCTGTCTTCCTCAGGCCCCAGCCGTGGGATTTTTTACCCACAGCTAAAGAGTTCTCGAATAATCCATAGATCATTACCTACTAGATCAGGCGCGTTGTACAGTGTTCCTAGGCATGTCTCAGCTTTGTTCCAGCGTTCATTTTCCTATAATGCGGTCCGAGTTTACAATGATATTTCCAACGATATCGGACACCCATCTGGCATTCAGTCTTTTAAAAAGAGAGTGAAGGGCTATGTGATGTGAGAACGTGTGTTGAAAGACTAATATTTAAACTTATGTTCAATTTTTTTTCTCACTTCTTTCATATTACCTTATTTTTTATATATATTTTGTAATTAATTATTGAATAATGTAGGTCTTTTATCATATTTCTGTAATAACTTGATTATTAATTTTACTACTCTTTTCTTACATATTTTTTTTTGATGGTTGCGTGGAAGAGCACCAATGTGAACGTCGCCATCGTTATTATTTTAATTTGTAGACAATTGTTTATATACCTAATAAAGACATTTTGAATTGCATTGAATTGAATCATTAGGTGCATAGAAAAGGTTTCTCGTATGTACTACTCCATTCCAGTGGAATTCGATTGTTCTCGAACGTTCGAATGAATCATTACGGTGTCTATTCTTTAATGCGATATTAAGGTCATCTGGGGGCGGGACATATAGTTAGGTTAGGTCGAGTCCACACGGGTCCGCAACAGTAATATAATAATAATGTGGCACAAATCAAGTTTTCAGTATAGAATACAATACAATAACACCGTTACTGAACATTTCAATACCAGTCAATATTTTCACTATTTCCAGAGAGTGGCTTAAAATTGGGGATAGCACTAGCCAATAGGAACACGTTAGACGCATGACTCCCGTCTTGCAACGAAACGTACGGGAATCTCCACCAATCAGGTTGGTTGAATCCAGGATGTCGTGATGAATTTTTTCAGCATTGCCAGCATATGATATCTTTAGGAAATCAGTTAATTAAATAAATACCGGGTGCATCTCAAAAGTTCTTACCTCTACAACTTTTTTATTTTTTCAGATAAAAAACGAGATTTGGTATGTTAAAATATGACATAAATTAGGATTGATTGACTGTTTTACCGGAAATTACTACAACTTTTGATTTTTAAATGGCACCCTCGGTATTTTTTTACTTTATTCGATAGAGAATGACACTCTGAATAGAATGATATATTATATGTCAACTTTTAACATTTTCTCATATGACTTATTTGAAATTGTAACATGCGGTTCATAACGACAGTTTGACTCGAAATACCAAGTGTGTGGTACCAAATTATTCGTAAAAAAATGCTTTTTCCAAATATATTCTAACTCACCCTCGTTCCATTTAAAAAATGAGATATGATTAAAAATACGATTTGGGCATCTTTTTGACCGGCAAGGTTTTTTTTTAATATTTTTTTCTGGTGTACGAGATTGCGTGCCTGTAGCGTGCTTTCCTATATGGGACATCGTGTACAACTAAATAAGTTATAGTTTTATTATTTTAAAGGCTTGGTGTTATGCGCTCCGCCGACAAGTCTTTGGAGTTCTTTAAGGATGGAGTGTCGCAAGGATCGGCTTGTGTGGTGCCTCACGGCAACATATATGCCGTCGTCGATTTGTACGGCCAGTGTGCAAGAGTCAGTATTCCTTGCGCGTCTCCTTTGGCGCCGCTCGCATCTGCCGGAGTAGATACTTGTCCCAGGTAATAAATTAGGTAGTAAATTATTTTTTTTAATTTGCTTTGTTTAAAATATTGTTACGGATTCCGTGGGTCCACTATTTAAACTCACGATAAAATACTTAACGAATTTATTTGTCTCACTCTGTACACACAACTTATACTATTTACAACACAATTTATGCAACTACTATTACTCTAACGGTATTTCACAATTTAAAGCGCGGTATTATCAAACTTCCGACTGGCCCAACTGTCAAAGCGCGGGCCTTATATACCCCCTGGCGATTGTTTCTGGAATTTTCTAAAGAATTCTGTAATTTTCTTTTACTTTCTGGCGAATTCGCCAGGTTTCTCAATGCACGTTGCGGTTATGTAGCAGTAATGCAGTTATGTAACCAGTAATACACCTTGACCTTGACAATATTTATCAGTTAACACAACACGTTTTATCGTAGCACGTGTTGTCTACACAACACGTTTTATCGTAGCGCATTTTGAGTGAGTTAAGAGCTTCTTAACTCACGCATTTTCATTACTGCACTCCTTGTTTAGATGACTACCAAAGAGAAAAAAATATTTTGTAAAATATTTATTTTGCACAAAATACCTACTAAATACAAATAAACTGTTCTATTGATAATAATTATAAAAATATGAAAACTTATTTATTATAAATGTTAATGATACAGTTTGAACAATCTTTCAAATAAATGCCTGATGAAGCATATATATTCATTTTAATAGATATCATAGTACGTATCATTGAATAGAAAGCCCAAAGAGACGGAGGCTTATAAGTAGCGGATAAATTGGAAAAATATGTTATGAGTACCTTTTCATTTCCATAGTTGTGTACTTTTTTTCGGTGCACCATTTTTCATACTTAGAGTATGTATATCCATACTTGTGTTTCGATCTTGCTGGAAGCAATCCAGAAATGGCTCTGAATGCCTCTTCTTCAATGTCATAGGGAATACTTTCCGAATCGCTCATTTTTTAAACTAGTGACATCAATATTATTTACTGTCATATTGACATTGCCATGCATGGTGTTATTTGGACAAAGGTATTAAGGTAAATGATTTTTAGGATAGATATATAATTAAGTATAATAATTTTTAAAATTCATTGTGTCTTTTTATAGTTAGACGTAGATAAAATATTGTACAACACACGCGAGTTAACTCCATTGCTGATGCTGTTAACTCACTTGTATCATAAATATCTATTATAGATCTGATACGTCTGTGTCGCTACAAGGAACTAGCGTTCTACATCCGAACGCCGAAATCGACCTGCACAGGTTTTCCGATTGTCACGACAAGGGTGTCATACTGAGCGAAAACGGCAGAGTGGCGACAAGATCCAAAGAGTACAACAACAGCGTCGTTTTCAGCAGTACCGCTCTAACGAAGGACGAAATATTCGAAGTGTCTATATTGGGTTTATGGAAACATATGGCCGGTACTTTGTCAGTTGGCATTACTGAAACGTCTCCGAATGTCGGAAGTAGTTGCTTGCCGGCCGATTGCTGTTATTTAACAGGTTAGATTTTTGTGTGATAGTCCACCCAAAACAATTTGTCATAGGCTTAAACATATAGAGAAATCAATAAAAGTTTTGCGTGCATGTCATCAAACACGGCGAAACTATTAGCAAATTAAATTTCTAATAAATAAAAATTTGTTTGAAACTTCGCTCTTTTTTCTGTTTCTTATAATCTTAATATCCTAGTTAAAAAAAGTCAGCACGCTGCCGCATCAATTAAACGAATTGACCAATAAAAAAGGCTTTATGTCGGTAGTCATGGCAAATGTTGCCGGTTGTCATGAGATTTTTCTGTCGTTAAACTGCATTAGAGAGGTAAAAACTGGTATTGTTGCTTAAGGTTTGCAGATTTTATTAAAAATATGTAGATCTTTCAGCGTGTTTTAGCTTATTAGCACCAGTTGTATACAGATGCAGATGTATAGTCTCAGATATTTAGATTTAGAATTGCTGTTTATCTGTTATTTTAGCTTCAGAGGTGTTTTTTTTCAGGCAATGAATTAAAATACAAAAATCAGCTGATGCAGTTCTTTACTCCTAGCTTTAACTGGTTGTCTGTGGGCGATCGAGTTGGTATTTTACAAACTCAAGACTGCGCTATAAAAGTAAGAAAATAACTATAAGCGATACCAATTAAACTTTTAGTTACATAATCGAGGGTGCGATTTTTAAATTCATTGTTTTCAACCATGGACATATTCGGCGCCGGGATGACTAACTGGAAGTTAAATTTCCCGCTGGAGATTCAGGTGGTAGCTTTGCTGTAAAAAATGTTATATTTATTTATTTCCTAACATTGTCATTCGTTTTAACACTTTAGTTTTGTATTACGAGTTTTTGGTTTAAATGAATAGTGTTGTTGTGGCATTTTAAGCTTAAAATTTTTTACTAGCAGAGCTTGCAGTTGAACATTGTTCTTTTTAGAACCTCTTTTAGTGCGAAGTGTACAAGATAGCTTAATAGCAGTCGCAAAAAACTCATCGCAACCTTATTAGAATATTTTGAATGGGAAAGAGGTAGTAATTTTGGAAACGGTTGGCTGGAAACGGTTGGCTCTTTATGTCGTGTACAGTTAGGCAGATGAGTTTTGACTGTTTATATATTTATAATTAATTTATTTTTGTTTCCTAAAATATTTTGATTAAAAGGAGATATATAAAAGTGGACAACGCTGTGCCGGTCAAGCTTAATCACGTGACTAAAAGTTTATTTGGTATGAACTATATGTTAAAGTGTATTTGGAAATAGTTTAGAGCATACAACCTCACCTATACAAAAAAGCATACTACAGGGATCTCGATAGTTTCATAGTTGTCGATTTTCGAAAGAAATCAGTACATGTATAATATTTCGTATATTTTTCATTTTATTGATTTTATGGAAAGCACTGTTCATTACTATGTTATAGGCCATGTTTCTCTCTACAATTTCCGGTCTCACAATGTACCGTTTGTGTCCAGGAAGGGTTCATAGTTTCATAGTTGTCGATTTTCGAAAGAAATCAGTACATGTATATTATTTCGTATATTTTTCATTTTATTGATTATATGGAAAGCACTGTTCATTAAAATGTTGTATCCTATGTTATAGGGCTTGATTCTCTCTACAATTTCTTGTTTCACAATGTAACGTTTGTGTCGGGGAAGGGATCATAGTTTCATAGTTTCTAGTAATATACATGTACTGATTTCTTTCGAAAATCGACAACTATGAAACTATGATCCCTTCCCCGACACAAACGTTACATTGTGAAACAAGAAATTATAGAGAGAATCAAGCCCTATAACATAGGATACAACATTTTAATGAACAGTGCTTTCCATATAATCAATAAAATGAAAAATATACGAAATAATATACATGTACTGATTTCTTTCGAAAATCGACAACTATGAAACTATGATCCCTTCCCCGACACAAACGGTACATTGTGAGACAGGAAATTGTAGAGAGAAACAAGCCCTATAACATAGGATACAATATTTTAATGAACAGTGCTTTCCATATCGACACAAACGGTACATTGTGAGACAGGAAATTGTAGAGAGAAACAAGCCCTATAACATAGGATACAACATTTTAATGAACAGTGTACAAGTGTACAAAAATATATACAAATGTTGTACCCTATAACATAGGATACAACATTTTAAGTGATGTTTTCAAAAGTCAATAACTCGGAAACGGTTGGTTTGAAGTACATTGTGTGTATTTCGATTTTTGTTTAGAATTGAAGGAAGAATTGCAATATGTAATAATATACAGGGGGTTCTATTTAAAAAAATGAAACTTTTATATGCTACGACTTTATGACCCTGTATATGTTATATCTGTATACGTAAATTTATTACTCGCCAATAGACATACCCTATAACTTTTGTATAACTGTTTGCGGTACCTCCTATATTTTACCTAATAATCGACCGTTTCCATACATAAAAGCGACCCTGTATATTAAAAATACATTTTTTGTAGATTTTTATAAATGGGGAAGAACTTCCTCTGCATTTTCCTTCGATGGGTGAAAACGTTTGGGCTCTGTTCGAGCTAAAAGGCCAATGTTATGAACTGTCTGTTACCAGTCATAAGGCACCACCAGTATCACCAATGAATAGGTTAGATCGCCGACCTATATATATTTTTAATTTTTTGTTACTTATTATTAAACATTTTAGCGCTCGTTTACAAGATAGTCTGGAAATAGTCCTGGATCAAGAGCAGGCACCCGTAGAGTTAGAAGAGTGCAATGCTATCGTTGGAGATGAAGCTTCATCAGGTTAGTACTGTCAAAATAAGTAATATTTTTTTTTATGGTTCCGTACCTCAAAAGAAAAAAAAACGGAACCCTTATAGGATCACTTTGTTGTGTGTCCGTTCGTCCGATTTTTTTCCCATTTTGAACAAAAAAGCTAATATTGAAATTAAAGTCTCCATATAATATAGAGTATAATTACCTCCATTTCGACTCCATTTTGAGACGGGAAATTTCAAAATATTAGACGTATTTCACTCAACGCTAATTTTATGGAGCGACCAACAATGATTGAAATAGTTGGCAATACTGTGTTAAGAGGATTTTACAGTTAACGATTAATACTGATGCTCAAATAAATTATCGATCGATAACGTCTAAATTTATTGCCAACAAAAGGAGCAAAATCAGAACAGCAGAATCTATTTCAATAATTGTTGGTTGCACCATACTTCCCCTTGATTTCAGCTAGTATACGTCGATACGAATTTCACGAGAACCACGGTCGCAACATTGAACTATTATCGGACAAAACGATCGCCCGACGTGTAGCTTCTTACAACCAGGGAGTGGTCGCCGTCGTACCGCCTTTAGAGCCCAACAAAGCGGTCCAAGTGGTACTGGAACACCTGGACACGCACTGGCAGTCGTCTATAATAGTCGGAGTGGTGGCGGGACCTTTGGAAAGGTTGAGCTTGCCGGTGAACGCGTTGGCCATTAAGGGACCAAGTTGTATCATTGCAAACGACTGGATTTCTATCAACGGTGTCAAGGTATTTATCCACCTAAATAATAGCGGGCTGGCAAGTCTTACTTTTGGGTCTGTATTATAAGGATATCGTTAGGGTGTCCATATTATTTATAAAGAGGAAACGTCCGTAATCGCGATAATTTAAAAAATCAACTTTTTAACACATAACACGCAATAACTCAAGAACCACTTTAGATATTGAAACTTTTTTTATTTTGAAGTTCGGATCATTTACAAGATGTTTACGTGGGAAAAATTCGATAGGCTTGTTTTTTTTTTCATTCAAATATTTAAAAAAACCCGTCCATTTACTTTTAGTGCATAGCAGTTTTCAGCAATCGTGTAACTTTTTTATTTGTAAAGATGTTTACATTCTGTCTGAGAAGAAAATATAGTAGAAATATTAAGAAAGTTTTTGGGAAAAAAAACTACAATCAATTATTTCTATTGGATTTCGAGATATCGATTTTTGAATTCAGAGTTCTAATAGCGCGACCACTGTCGAACACCAACTTCCACTTATGTTTACCAAAAGTGCAAGCGTTTCTAACTTAACACTTAAAAAATTACAAGCTATAGGGAAAATTACAACGACCCGTTAATGAATAAACAAATAAAGTATCACGAGACGTAATTAAATCGTAAAGCTGAACGCATGATAACGCTGCTTCCCTAGAATTTTAAGTACTAATTGGGTCTACCGGTCGACCGCGACGAATCTGCTCTATCTCCTTCCACATCTCTTAGCAATGTGTACAGATTCTCGGTTTATTTCGTACGTTTGGCAACGTTTTTACTGTTCTCTCTTTGTTCAGTACATTATAAACGCATTGTACTCTCCTTATATATGGAAATCTCAACCCAAAACTAACCTTTGCCAGTCTTTAGTATACAGAGTATCACTTTTATTTTATTATCTTTTTATTAGGGAAGATCAAACTATGGTCAGGTACTGAACACTTTGACACAAGGTGACTCTATAGGAGTGATGATCACAGATTCAAAGTATTTTAAACTAATCGTTAATGGAATTGAAGAACAAAGCTTTCCGTGGTCTTATCCGTTAGGACAGTCAGTGTATGCTGTTTTTGATTTGTATGGACAGTGCCAAAAGGTAAAATAGTAATAACGCTTACTTTTTGCCACTCCACCAAAAAGAAAATAACATTTCGAATTTGCCTATTACACTCATTTCCTACACAAGGACAAACTTTTGTGCATGAACCATGCAACCTCGATATTCTGTCCTTCAGTAACTTCCTTTTACTGTTCTCACTTTTTTAGATAAGTATAATAAACGAGAGTTCGAAGTCTAGCGAGATTTTGTCTTCTAATATGGAGTGCGAAAAGGCTGATTTGGAACTATGCGAAAAAGAGCGTACAGAAAATAACCTCACACTGCCGATTCCAAGTACGAGCCTAACAAACTCGAACGTTGTTCTCAAAGCATCGCCCACTACCAGTCCGTTGGTGTTGTGCATGTTTAAAGAAGAATGCGAGAATTTTAAAAAGAAGCTACTTTTACCAGGTAATTCGTCAGAAAATCCGTTTAAATTCTAGATCATAATATACCGGGTGGTGCATCGTTATTGGAAACATGGGGAATCCCATGCAAATTTTGAACTGTCCACATATTGGCTCCCCTGTTAATTTTATACCTAAGTCGTAAATAGTTTTTTAAACGTTGATATGTGTGTGTTGAATACACATGCCAAATTTGAACAATTTTGAACAAGCAGATTTTAAGTAATTGAAGAAAAACTGCATCTATTTTTAAATCAAAACTGAACAGGTCACAGTACAAAACCAGTCAAATGTCAATATACCTTAAGTTGTCAACCTATGATTTTATCATTGTCATATACAGGGTTGCGCACCTCATTCGCCTCGGTTCATTATACGAAAACGGAAAGATGTAGAAACAAAATATTTTATGGGTATATGCATTAACTCCTATAATACCAAAGACAAAGTGCTGCCGCGTGACGTCATCGACCGTCGGCCTACGAGTTCTAAATGGTTCTAAGGGGTTTTGTGTAGTTTTCTACGTTTGAAGTCGATTTATACGATTTAGGTATAGCTTTAGGGATTAATGTAATAATAAATCTAAACATATAATAACAGCAAGGATCTATAAAAAAAACACAAACAATTTAAATGGTAGTTAAGTACGTAAGCAGGTATAGGTAACAAATATATGTACGTGCACTTAACTGTTCGAAATACACTAGGTAGAATCTAAATTTAAGAATGCTTATTTTTGGAATTCTCAGACAGCAAGATACCATAACATTAATAAATTATATTTAGTAAGGCATCATGCAATTCATGATTGAATTTTTCGAATCAAATTTTAATTTTCCGAAGTTTGCATCTATAGTAGTTAGCTAACTCTATACTCTATACATTGATTTTAAGTAGGTTTTAATTTTTTTCTTATTACCCTTACCTAAGCGGTCATTTTTTTACCACAGTAGTTTTTAATTAGTGTATTGGAAATACAACAATATGGATAAGCCATTCTCGTTAATAATGAAAAACCAACCAAGTTAAAAGACTGAAATAATGGTTTAAGTTCCTCAAAAGTTGTAAAACTCGTAAGTTTCTTATGTGTTAAATATTCTTGTTTGCTTTGTTCAATTGCTTGCTGAAAACGAATTTAAATTAATTAATTAATTTACTTGGTACGCTAGTTTCTTTTAATCGGGGCAAAGTTAAATTAACTGAAACGATCTCACCGGTTTTTGTATCCTGTTGGGAAATTTCATAAATAAAATCCTCCTTTTCAAAATGGCACTCACCATCTCACACACCCGATTATTGTTATTCTGCCCAAATTTTCGCGAGGAATTGCAGTTAACCATTTTTTGCGAAGTTTTTTGTCTCTGGGAAACCGAAACACCCACACTTTTGTACCGCTAACATAAAATTACAACCTGGGACACAATTATGGAACAACATATAAAACACTACAAACACTACACTATCTAAATTTGTTAAAAGTACAAAAAACACATCAAATAGTCCGTTCAATAATACCTAATGTACCTAATCGATAAAATCGAGCGAATTCATTGACCCAACAAAAACAAACGCGGCGTCTATCTAGACAAGGAAAGAGAGCCTCTCTTTCCTTCTCTAAGGACAAAATACCCGGAAGCTGAACCGCGCAACCGCGGTTTACGTCAAACTCAGCTGAACTTTACCGCTGATGGGCTTTTATAAATATCAGAGTAAATTATACATTTCTGTATTTTTAAATCATACAAAAAATACTCATTAAGTTCAAAGAATTATTCATAATGTTCAAAATTCCCACAAAGCGCTTCTCGCCGAACAAAACCGAACTCTCCGTGTAGGATCCGAATGCTTCCGACGTTTTCGTGATTGCGGTTGCGCGTTTCAGCTTTCGAGTATTTCGTTAAACATTCATTAAACAAGGAAAGAGAAAAGCTCTTTCTTTGTCTTGCCGAATTCGTGTTAGAATCGCTAGGCCCACAGACCGTGACGTCAGCATCATTTTTAATTTAAGCACTTTGTCTTTTTTGTAGGAGTTAATGGTATATGTGGGAAGGCAATGTGCATAATTTAAAATTATTTTAAAATGTACAGGGTGTACAGTACGTCTGTCCGTTCTATAGCTACGGGGTATCCGTGAGAGGGGAAACGATATTCTCTCGATGTTTTGATGAGACGACGCGTCTCATCAATAAAAATTCGACAAATTTGCAAGTAGCCAATAAAATGAATGGGCGGAGCGATTTGCGGTGACGTACTCGTCAAGTCGACATATAAAATATATTGTTGTTTATTTAAATGTTTTTTGTCCGCATTCCTTTCGTAGACACAGATCCAGCAGACGTACAGTATAAGAACTAAGATCCATACCAAAGTTATATTTTTTCTTATGGAACATCCGGTGTTTTATATCATTTTTGGATTCTTGGGCATAAAATAAGGCATTTATTATAAGGGTTTAATATGTTTAAATGCTTTGGTTTTTAAGATATTTAAAGATATTTAAATATGCATGCTATAATAAAAAAGTTTGTCAACACCCTGTACATTACTTTTCAGAGTTAATTCTTGTGCTCACTTTGAAGCCAGAGAAATAAACTTTACTAAAAAACTGTATTGCTTCCTTAAATGTATACAGGGGTATCAAAAATTGCTGGTCTATTTTAAATATTTATTTTACATAAAAACTTCGTTATTTTAAATGCAACACTGTGTATTTTTAAATAAGTCGAAGCAGATTTAAATGCTCTTTCAAACTATATTAGGGTTTCCTATACCTATCTAGCTCAGATTTTCAATAAAAAGTTGTTTTTCAATAAAATGGCAATCAAGATGGCTGGTGTTGCCATGGCAATATGCTAGTGACAGTTAGTAGCTATTTTCAAAATCGACATTAGTTTATGGACTTTATTTAAATTTATAACAGTTTACTTTTATTTAATTTTCCTACAAATAGTTTAATAAGTAAGTATTTATTATTTTATCAAGATAAAGAAGTAGTTCTTTTTGATTTATATTACGATGACTTGTAGACATATTGGTTTTTCTATAAAAGAACCAATTAAGGCAAATTCATTTTCTTAACTTCCGACGACAGGTTTCTGCCTAATAGGTTTTTCATATACCATACTATCAGCTCTGCGAAATAGAAAAAATAGTTTTTCAAAGGAAAAATTCCTATTTGGATATCTTTGAGCATAAACCCTTCATCCTTCATGCCACGTAAAATATGTGTCCTCATAAAATGTTTGTGTGTTCTCACAAAATAAAATCACTAGTAACATATCCATTCCTTCGGCCAGCAGATACTGCTTCATTTTTCTTGATAAAATAATAAAAACTTACTTATTAACCTTATTGTAGGTAAATTGAACAAAAATAAACTGTTATATAAATTTAAATAAAGTCCATAAACTAATGTCGATTTTGAAAATAGCTACTAAGTGTCACTAGAAAATTTCCATGGAGACACCCGCCTAGATAGGTATTGGAAAGCCTAATATAGTTTGAAAGAGCATTTAAACCTGCTTCGACTTATTTAAAAAAATACATAGTTTTGCATTTGAAATAACAAAGTTTTTATGTAAAATAAATATTTAAAATAGACCAGCAATTTTTGATACCCCTGTATACATTTAAGGAAGCAATCTTTTTTTTAGTAAGGTTTATTTTTCTGGCTTGAAACTGAGCACAAGAATTAACTCTGAAAAGTAATGTACAAGGTGTTGACAAACTTTTTTATTATAGTATTCGTATTTAAATATCTTCTTATTCATATCAAACCAAAGCTTTTAAACATATTAAACCCTTATAATAAATGCCATATTTTATATCCAAGAATACAAAAATGAAATAAAATACCGGGTGTTCCATAAGAAAAAATATAACTTTGATATAGATCTTAATTCTGACACACCCTGTACATTTCAAAATAATTTTAAATTATACACATTGCCTTCCCACGTATACCCATATTATGTTTTGTTTCTACATCTTTCCGTTTTCGTATAATCAACCGAGGCGAATGAGGTGCGCCACCCTGTATAATTTTTTGTGCAGTCTAAACTACGTTATAGGCTTTGTGCATCTCAGTAATTTTTGCAATTTAAAACTGGTTTGAATGGGGCAAAAGCCTAACGTTTAGAAATATATTATAATATAATAATTTTATGAAATAAAAAAATATTTCTTTAGATAAAAAAATTATACTTCTTTTTTTATTAGATTACTATTTCTCGTCGGAAGAAGCCGTGTGCTACTGCCAGAATTGCTATAGATATAGAAGTCAGACAGATGAGAAAGACGCCAAAGAAGACAAAGATAACGTGCCGATGGGCTGGGTGAGGTTCGCGTTGAAAAATTTGACGAATATTAGCACTGACAAGTGGCACGTGGCATATTATCCCACCAAGATTGGCGCAGTGAGGTGTATTTTGGACAGAGGACAGCCTTTGACAAAAGGTACAATTGAACTACTGGCAATACTTATCTTGTGTTAATAAATAATTAAATAATATTTATACCAGTGAATAAAAAAATCAACAAAATTAGCACGATCTCGAAGGTACATACAGGGTGTCCTAAGCTGAGCGTGCATTAGAAATTTCTAGAGAACTACAATACCTAGGTTGCACATCATTGTTTCACAACGAGATCTATCGATTAAAAATATTTTCAATATGGCGGCACTTCCGGAAATACCGGGAGTTCGTCACAAACTTTCTTATTTTAAATGGGTGCCCCCATTTTTTATTACATACTTAAATTTTCTGTAAAATTTTATGAATTTTGATATCAAACACTATATACCTAACATTAACCGTTTTTGAGAAAAAAAATATTTAAAATTTTTGGACGAAAAAAACTGCCTGTCAAAAATATGTGTGTAGCCTAAACGTCAAATTTAGTGTTACCACAGCCACTGTGCAATAAAGAGAAGACATGTAGCTATCTATTTCAAAAATTAAATTGTTCGAATGTCATATAATAATGGCCGCAGCGGTCATGGAATTGAGCGATTAAAAAATTATTATAAATCTTTTTTTTTTCAAATGGAAGCCCACTTTTTTATTTCACTATTGAAAAGGCTTCTCAATTCGTTTTTTTGTCGTTTCCATTTGAAAAAAAAGATTTATGATAATTTTTTAATCGCTCAATTCCATGACAGCTACCGCCATTATTATAATAATATGACATCTGAGCAATTTAATTTTTGAAATAGATAGTCACGTGTCTTCTCTTTATGGCACAGTGGCTGTGGTAATCACTAAATTTGACTTTTAGGCTATACATATTTTTTTGACAGGTACTTTTTTTCGTCCAAAAATTTTTTTTCTCAAAAACGCTTAATGTTAGGTATAGAGTGTTTAACATCAATATTCATAGAATTTTACAGAGAATTTAAGTATGAAATAAAAAATGGGGGCACCCTTTTAACTTCTGTACTCCTGTATACGAAGCAATGTTTTTCGAGATTTGTAAAAATATTCGATATAGATTTGTTTTCTTTTTTTTTAATAAAAACATTAAAAAAAGTAATCACAGTATAAATTATTTGACAAAAAACTGAACGTCGATTTTAAAATATTTTAGTTTATTTGTTCAAAAATATTGTTTTCAATCAATTTTATTTGTATTTCAGGACAATCGCAATGGTGTAACTTCACTGGTCAAAAGGGCGACGACGTACAAGTCGTATTTTACCCATCTTTAGAATCCTGCACAGCAACACCGTTTGATATCGGCCACAATAAGAAAATCTCTGCGACGTTCCAAATTTACGTCAAACCAGGGGCGTACTCAATAGTTAGGGAATCGGAAGTGATAGAATGGAGCACCAAGGAATCCGGAGCGTTGGTACTAAACTCGCTACTCCTTCAAATAAAATAAATCTGTCATAATTATTTCTTTTTTTACTGTGATCTTTTTGTTACTAGTCAATGCGGATTTCTCAAATGGTTTGTATAGAATTCTTTTCATAGAGTATGCACAAGGGTGGATTATTTACAAAATGTTTAAGGAAACCTGTTATAGTCTGTAAAACCGTCGTTCATCGTTACGTCATACTCTTTATTTTAGTTGAAAACGGGATGAAATAGGTTGTGAACGGTTTTACGATATTTTCTAAATTATTATATTTAGCGTATTGTTTCTAAAGCCTGTCCAACGAAGCATGGAAGACTTCGACAGACGACATTCAAAAAATGACAGAGAAAATGCAATTTACCTGTGAATTAAAAGGACAGATAAGTTCAGACAACAACTGTCACTGTCATGTATTGTCTCGTTGGACAGACTTTAGTAACTGTCATTTCATGTTTGTGATTATGTTCCTGTTGACGGATATCGATCAGTGTCAAAATAAGATATCAACTGCTCTGTCAAACAGTTGTTTGTTACTAAAATATTTATTAATAAGTAGCTTCATCCATTACACAAAAACATTATACATACATATATATAAAAATAAACCTATGTATATGCTATCACGGCACTGCGACGTCATACTGGAGACAAAAATAAAATTCTTCATTCAAGTGACATTTTCAACATTTGTTTAAAAACACAAATATTCCTAAAATTCATTGCGAATTTTGCTATTATATGAACTACATAAATAAAAGGCGATTTTATTTTGGCATTCCCAATTCGCATTTCGTAATTCGCGTGTGTATGAACCTACCTTAAGATAAGGAAAATTTATTAGTTTTAGAATAATCTTTGGTAGAATTTTATACAGATCTATAGAGACAACTTGTAACTATTTGTATGTCCTATGCGTTTAAGGGATCTCTGTTAAGTATATTTTTATTTGGAACAAGCTGTATATACTTCATTAATAAATAAATGCATGATAATAATGTGTACAAAAATATCATCGGTCACATTTTTATCCAGCACGTTTTTGGTCCAATATAATGTAATATACTTGAACTCTCAATATAATAATAAACATCTAAAAATAATTATTCATTCAAGATTACTATATTAGCAATCTTTATAGCTTTATATTTTTTAGTATCTGAAATTATTATATTTATTACCATTTTATAGATACAGTACAATACCTATCATATATTCATGACGTACGTCAAAAAAATATTAAATTTTGTAACGTATGTCATGAATATATGATAGGTGCAATGTGAATTTTGTTTTATATTTTTCTTTAACGGAGTATAGATATAATAAAATAAAATAGTAATATAAATCAATATTTTATTATATATTATTTCTGAAACACTTAGGTAACTACTCAAATATAGTTAAAGAAATATGTAGTTTACATAAATAAAAACAAATTTATCTTTATAACACAGTTTTGATACCCACGATCCATTCCATTTTGTTTTCTATTTTCGACTACATTTTTTGAATATATCGTTCAGGTTTAATTAATTTCAATAACAAGTTTTGTTATCGTTAATAGATTTCGTTGTATGTAGTTTTAAAGCGCTCTGTATATTTTGCAGTAAATCAACCCCATACTCTGACGTTTTGGTCCCAGCTGCAGGTAGATATAGCTAATCCGTTCGCTGCAACTGAAAGTGACGTAACTCGATTTTCGTGGCCAGATAGCATCCCTGAAATATAATAATAAAATTATACAGGGTTTAAAATGTCCCGTTTTGGTTAAAATTGAGGTTTATCTGGCCACAAAACAGTCGGTGACCAACAAATCTCCAGAATGATGGAAGTTCAATTGGTATGGAATGGAATATACTATAAGGGCTGGCAAAGGTTAGTCTTGGGTCGAGATTTCCGTATGTAAGAAGAGTACAATGCGTTTATAATGTACTGAACAAAGAGAGGACAGTAAATACGTTGCCAAACGTATGAAATAAACCGAGAAACAGTGCGCATCGCTAAGAGACGTGGAAGGGGATATAGCAGATTTATTTGTCGCAGTTGACCGGTCGACCCAATCAATACCTCTGTCAGTACTTAAAGTTCTAGGGAAAGGTGTACGTCATGCGATTTAATTACGTCTCTTGATACTTAATTTGTTTATTTATTAACGAGTCGTTGTAATTTTCCTTATAGCTTGATTTTTTTAAGTGCAAGCTAGAAACACTTGCATTTTAGTAAAAATAAGTGGAATTGAGTGGGTGTTCGATAGTGGTCGCGCTATTAGAACTCTGAATTCAAAAATCGATATCTCGAAATCTATTAGAAATAATAGATTGTAATTTTTTCAAGAACTTCGTTAATATTTCAGCTGTATTTTCTTTGTAGACAGTATGTAAAAATCTTTTTATCAATAAAAAAATTACACGATTGCTGAAAATTGCTATGCTGTAAAAGTAAATGGATGGATTGTTTACAATTTTTGAATGGAAGAAACAACCTTATCGAATTTTTCTCATGTAAACATATTGTTAAATATCCGATCTTGAAAATTAAAAAAAGTTTCAATATCTAATGTGGTTCTTGAGTTATGGTCTGTTATGTGTTAAAAAGTTGAGTTTTTAAATTAACGCGATTACTGACGTTTTCTCGTTATAAAAAAAATGACACCCTAACGATATTCCATTTCAGCTGCTCAGAAACATGTCTAATGATTTTATCTAGTTACCTCTTGAAAAAAGTCTTTTAAATATAAGCGGTTTGCGATCGTGATTTTACTTTACTTGATAGGGAAAGGCGTACCGGCAACGCCGCAACAGCACACCGTCGCATTTCTCTCACTCCGACTTAATAAAATCCCTATGCGATTTCCTTCCACACATGTAAATGCCGACCCAAAAGTAACAGTTGCCGGCACGGTATTGTACCCACAATAAAATTATTGACTAATAATTGTAAATATACTAAAAGTACAACATTTTAGGCTTAGTAGGGCTGCTTTAAATTTTTTGAGTGAGTTTAATTTTTCCCATTAGAATATGGAGATATAACCTGTGATTTTTTTTTAATTACCATTATGAGTAGTCTTAAGGGTGTCCCACATGTGTACGTTATTGTCATCCGATCCGCAGAATAATATTCTGCCGCTGAGCGACAGTCCGCACGATGTGAAGCCGCTATTAGCTGGGGGTTTGTATTGAGCTATTTGCTGATCGCTTCTTATGTCAAACATACGAGCCGATTTGTCTTCTGAGCCTGTGGCGAAGGCGTGGCTGCTTGGATGAAACTAGAAAAAAGTCATGTACAGGGTGTGACAAAAAGTGTGACCATAAATAGGGAAAAATATTTTTAATTACTTTTACTTTAACTTTTTTATTTTTTTTCAGATAAAAGTACGAAATTTGGCTTATTAGTATATGACATAAATCTGGATCGATTGACATATATTCAGTTAGTTTCGGTCACTTCCTATTTCACCGGAATTAACTACAACCTTTGATTTTCAAATGGTATTCTCGGTATTTTTTTACTTTATGTGGTAGAAAATTATATTCTGAATAGAGTGACGTATCATATGTCAACTTTTGACATTTTCAATTAAAAAATATATAATTTTAAATTTCAACCTAGAGTGGCTGTGTTAAAACCATTAATTTTTAATCAAGGAGCTTTTGAAAAATAGATTTGATCGTCTAGTGTTATACCTGGCCGGTCGAAAGATGCCCAAATCGTATTTTTAATCATAAATAATTTTTTTTCAAATGGAACGAGAGTGGCTCATTAACGTATTTGGAAAATGCATTTTGTAACAATAATTTGGTACATATTTGTTATTCAAATTCAGTCAAATTGTCGTTACATTCTTAGCCGTCGCACTCTAGATTGAAATTTAAAATACTATTTTTTCTTTAAGTGAAAATGTCAAAAGTTGACATATGATAAGTCATTCTAATCAGAATGCCATTTTCTATCAAACAGAGCAAAAAAATTCCAGGGTACTACTTGAAAATTAAAAGTTGTAGTCATTTCCGGTGAAACAGGAAGTGACCGAAACTAACTGAATACGTCAATCAATCCTCATTTATTGGTATATGCTGATATACCAAATCTCGTTGGTTTATCTGAAATAATAAAAAAGTTATACAGGGTGAGTTTTCTACGATGTTCTCTATGGGTATCTTGGAAACTACTGGAGATAGGGAGTCGGTTAAATGGGTAAAGAATTGCAGTTTTGTGGGGTCATAAATATGCGCCTTTCAAATTTTTGAAAAAGTTACTAGATAATGGCTTAAAATTACTAGATATTTCGAAAAAGACAAATTTCGGCGATTTTAAAAATTGTCCCTAATTTCACTATAATCTATTTTAGACAAAAAGATTTCAAATAAAAGTTGTAGATAATCACATCCTTAATCAGATTGTGTCCTCCGTTGTTTTCTAAAGCCTGTCATTTTTGACATATGACACAAACATAGTTTTTTTTAATGGAAACCATAGTTGGCCATGACTTCATAAAAAGCTCCATTTTTAAGCTTTTCAGCGATATAAGCTATATCTTTTTTTCGAAAAATTGCTGAGTTACTACCAATTCTTATCATTTTTAAACAATTTTACTTAGCCATGAAAAAACAAGTTCAATTGTCGTTGCTCTCAGAAATGTGTGAAACTGTCACATCCAAACTTTGTAAATTAAAATAAACAAAAATTGTAAATATGAATTTTTCAAATGAAAAAAAAGCGTGTAGGATTATTGGTTCAACTTTTCTTGGCCCTACATTTTCGAGGATACGTTGACCGGTGAACGTTACTTACGTTTTTTACAGAACGGTTTTCAAGACATGTTAAAATAACTTAAAAGTGTATGTAGTGATATTATTTGTTTAAGTTTTAGTTTGTGTAATGTAAATTGTAAAGAACCGTTTAATAATATATTCTGTCTTTTTATAAGTTATAAATCATAACAGAATAAGAATACCATACCAACTAAGTGAAATTAGTCAAGAAAGATAAGAATAACTTGATAATTTTTCGAAAAAAACATATTATAGCTTATATCGCTGAAAAGCTTAAAAAAATGGCGCTTTTTATGAACTCATGGTCAACTATGGATTTATGGAAAAAAAAACATATGTTTGTGTCAAATGTCAAAAATTACAGGCTTTAGAAAAAATCGGGGAACACAAACTCATTAAGGATGTGATTATCTACAACATTTATCTGAAAACTTTTTATCTAAAATAGATTATAATGGGATTAGGGACACTTTTTAAAATAGCCAAAATTTGTTTTTTTTTCGAAATATCTAGTAAGCCATAAACTTTTTCAAAAATCTGAAAGGCGCATATTTATGGATCCACAAAACTACAATTCTTTCTTCATTTAAACGACTCTCTATCTCCAGTAGTTTCCGAGATACCCATAGAGAACATCGTAGGAAACTCACCCTGTATAAAGGTGCGCCACTTTTGAAAATCACGCGATATACAGTGTGGTTAAAATAAAATGTTTTTACTACACTTACACAAACTGAATTAACATCAGCCGTATGGCCAAAAAACGTCTGTTTTGGCTTGGTTTCTCTAATGTCCCATAACCTACATGTCTTATCCACGCTTCCGGTGACGAAACTGTTCCCATCGGGCGACAAACTTATGGAGACTACGTCACCGTTGTGGGCGATAAAATCCGATATTTTTCGTCCTGTTTCTAAATCCCATTGACATCTACATTATTTAATATTAAAGGTAATGTTCAACTGGACCATATAACTCACATTTTCATGTCTCCTGAGCCGGTGATTATGGTTTTGTCGTCCAGAAATCTACAGGAACTTAAAAATCCATCGTATCCGGCTAATTCTCTGGCCATTTTCGCTACGCCTGAAGAGTCTCTGTTGTTCAGGTCGTAGACTGTGCACATGTTATCCATACCACCACAAGCTGGAAAAAATAATACAAATATTTAACTATAGCACATATTTTTCCTACATAGGTGCACTCTTTCTCTTGGTTTGATGATTCCGGTTTTTTTTGTTAGGACACTTATAAAAAAAACTGTTTAAATATTTTTTGTTATAGAGGACCAATTAATATGATCCCAGTATTCAAACTACATTAACTGACTGTTTACGTTGATTAATACTAATTGCTCCAAATACTAAAAAACTGAATTTTGTATGTGTATTAGACAGTGTGGTAAAAAGGTATTTGTGGTAAAAAATTTTGACGAATACTTATTTATAACAACAGAGACGTTCATTTTCAACTTATTATTATATTGATTTCTGAGTCAAATCCGCATTTATCTACCGTTTGATCGAAAAAAAACGGCGTCCAGTTGGCTTGGAAATGACGATCGATGACATTTCCCATATAATTTTACATATAAAATGACAGCGATCTTCATTTCATAGCCATCGTTGACGCCGTTTTTATTCGATCATACGGTAGAATAATTTATTAATTAAAACAATTATTAAGTATGTAATTAACTAATTTCTGGGTGGAAATAATTGTGGTATACTTAATTGGTATACTCTTTACAAAGGTTTAAATAGTTTTCTTTTTGTAAACGAATGGGCTAGCAATATTATTATTTTTATCACCTGTACATTTTGTACATATGTTGCTTTAATAAATCTAAAATGTCAATATTCCACGGGTATAGCGTTAAATGAGATCTAAATTATAAGAAAATGCATTTTCTATGAAAACTTGAAGAGATAGGTAAAAATGGTATAATACAGATTGATAGACAATTAAATTGTGCATCTGATTTACATAAAAATATAGGGTGTTAAATTTAAATTAATCAAGTTATTGCCGTTTAAAGCTAGTAATTATTTAATATAAATTTTTGGACACTCTGTATAAGGTACTATAATTTGTATTATTGCAACACAATATCTGATCAATAAATAATCTTCAGTAAATATTTAGTATTAACTTTGATACCCTAGGAGAAATAAAGCCTTCAAATTTTTACTTCAATTTCACAAAATTGAAAATATTTCAGAAACGTAAGGTTTGGTTTGGTTTGGTTGTGATAAACCTTAATCAAATTTACCTTTATTTTAATCGTAGAAACCGTTGAAAAAAATACAACTTTGATATTTTTATTTATTTGGGACACTCTGTATCTTGTAAAAACATTTTTAAATTGTAGCTCTAATAGCCCTTCAACGAACCCAAAACTTACAATTTGTAAAAATCTAATCGTTTAGCTACAATACTCCGTGTGGTATGTGGTGAACAATGCAGTATTCCTAGTATTGATTCGCCAAGAAAGAGAGAGAGAGAGAGAGAGAGAGAGAGAGGGGGGGGGGAGAGCATCCTCCCCAGGCTGGCTCACCAGTGAGTCAGACTTGCAATAGGATACAATCACAGAGAACATATAATGTTCTCTGCGATACAATCTTGTCGAGGGATTTTGCAGAGTAACCATTCTGAAGCAAATCGGGTTTATTACTTAGTTCAGAATTCAGAGATTCTTGGTCCCTGCATATAGTGATTGTACACGTTTAAATAAACTTATTTGGCGATTGCTCTATGGCATAATGTTTTAACTATACCTCTTTTGGCTGCTTCAGATTCAGAATGGTTCGACTTGACCACAATGTCAATTACTAAAAGCATTTAATCTATTGTAACGTTGAGCTGTCGCCGAACAAAGATTTAAATATTATCTTGTGAAGATATTATGCTTACCTACGAAATTTCCAGATGGCGCGTATGCCACGCTCATGACCCATGCCGACCTCAGCGGTATAATTTGGACTTTGTTTCCAGTATAGGTGTCCCAAATGATCAATTTCCCATCCAAAGATCCAGTGACGCAGTGCCGACTGTCTCCGCTGTAATGTACCGAGTTCACTTTGTTCAGATGGCCCTTCATCATTTTTCTGGTGATGAGCTTGATTTTGGGCACGTCCGCAATGCTTTCGCAGGCACTGGTCAGGGTTGTGTCGGCACATTGTTGTTGCTTTTCCTACAGCAACATAAAAATACTTAATAGCCCAGTCAAATTAGACAAATCGATGAAAAAAATCCTACAGTTTTGAAAATGGTTTAATCTACAACAATGTCATTATGACACATTTAACATTGTCATTTGGATGTCCATTATGGCTTTCATAATATCACTAGTGCTATTATGAATTCATCATAAAACGCAAATTTTAAAATAAGAAACAAGCAAAAAAAGGTACCTAAATACGTTTATTTATTGTAAACATTAATTATAATATCAGTACAATTGGTTAAATTAATTCCAGACGATGACAGGTGAGTTGAATTTTTAGAAAGTAAATTTATTTGAGTGCTTGAACTTGTTGAAAATCCATCATTGCCAGAAATGTTACCCAAAATATTAAATGACACTTTTTTCTTATTTTCTTTGGAATTTTCTATATAGCTCTATGCCACTGTGTTAGAGCGCCAATCACCATGTCTTTTAACATTTAATAAATCCACTCCTAAATCTGCAAGCAACGAGGCAGACGATCTACGGAAACAATGTCCAGTGTATTGTTGTGGATTTGGAAGACAATGCTATTTTATACGGCATTTTGGAACAATGCTATTTTATACGGCATTTTCTCTAAAATATTAATGCCAACGGGTTGCTTAATATATTTTTTATTTCTGTATCCCACAAAAAATCGAGTTAGCTCTGTGTTGCTTGGCCGCATAGCTATATATCTTTGAACCATTTCCACCATATTTATTCCTTCAACGTTCCCTTTCGTTATAAAAAAATCTCGTGATATCTTTGTTTTCGTAAATGGAATAATGACATGAATGCATTTTCCTTCATCTATAACATTTTGCAGCTGCAGATTTGTCAACTCGATACGCCGCCGCCGCCAGGCTCCCGCAAGTCCCACTATCAATGAAACTTTTGTCAGGAAATAAGTTTTATCATCGGCTTCCACACAAAAAACGAGTTATGTCTTCTTTTCTTAAAATTCTCGATTTTTTTGACCGAAATCCTTCCGATTTTCTTTTTAGAAATGCAATTAAATGTACGTACTTACTAATATCTGTATTTTTCTTCACTGATATAACGCTAAGCTTAATAATAAGCTTTCCTATGTTTTGAAATAAGCCTTCCTATGTTCAAAATATGCCAGGAGAACCTTTTCGTTACTACTATTCTTGATTCCTTTCCCTTTACACCAATCTTCAAGTTTTACATAGGCTTGCTCGTACGTTTTGTCTTGATTTTTCGGGTAGGGAATCGACAACGTTTTGCGCAATGCCTTCAATATCCGAAGGGACACTTTCAGAATCAGAATCATCCATATTAATATTATTTTTTGCTTTTTGCTAAAACTGAACGTTTAAGACAAAATTGAACATCAATAATTGAGTTGTCAAAGTCAAAATGGAAACAATCAACAAGCACGATTACCACGGCGTCGACTAATATGGGCACCTGATAATTTTGAATTTTAATTTTTATGAGGATATCTCTGATATTTTAAATTAAATCAAATCTCTTTGGATCGTCCTTCGTGTCGCGTCGTAGATTAAATTTTGAATGATACACGTTCGATACGAACTTTTTAATGAAACTTGTGTAACTAAGCCACTCGGCTAACGCCTCTTGGCTTAACGTTACACGCGTTTCATTATGATGTTCGTATCGAACTTGTATCATAAATAACTATTAAATGATTCCTCTAGACTTGGGCTGATATGTGTCATAAGTCCCCGAAGATAGATGAAGAGCTCGCAGAGAGGGGAGGGGTTAAATGTCACTTTTATGATTTTTTAGCTTATACTAAGTATATAAAAAATTGAAGCTCAGAAAATTCTCTACAAAATTGATTGAATGCATTTTTCATAGCTCTCACCTTTTAAGAGTTACAGGGTTGGCAAAATTAACTCCATTTCTCATATTGTATTTTATTTTTCTTTTAATAGATGGACGGCCTTCTAAACAATGAACATTTTTTGTATTTAGAGCATTTCAAAATTTTTAACGGCTTTGCACATTCTCGCGGTATTATTTCATATTTTTGGCTCTTTCAACGGTAAAATACGAGAATACTCATTGGGTCGCTTTGATAAAAATTTACTGTGGAAAATCCCATATGAAATGTAAAACGGCGAATATCTCCGAAACCGTTAAAATTTTTGAGATACTCTAAATACAAAAAATATCCATTTTTTAATTCTCCATCTATTAAAAAAATAATATACAGGGTGATGCATTTAAAAAAAACACGAAAAAATATTTTATATTTTATAAAGTTAGGCGTAGAATTTTGAACACCCTGTATAATTTAAAATTACGGTATTTATGGCAAAGTAAGTACAGAAGATTTAAAGTAAATACCTAATATAGTTTTGATTTCAGAACAGTTCTTGTATTTGTAATATTTTTTTAAGAAAGGCTAAAAAATATATATTTTTTATTTATTAATATCTCATGAATTAGGATTATGTAAAGTGATCTGAAAGGAAGCCAAAAATACAATAATATACAGATAGTGTTCCATTTAAAAAATCATCCCGTTCCACTCGCACTTTTTTGAACCACCCTGTAGAAATTAAAATATTTTTCTGAAATACATCCTAGTACATACTTTAGGTTTGCACAAAAACAAAATTCCCAATTTTTTTATTCTAGGAGCTACAGATGCCCGACGCACCATTGCCGGACCCTTGTATCACAGTTTAAAGAATCTTTAAACTGTGCTTGTATACTTTTGTCCATTGGCGTAACTACAGGGGTGCCCGGGAGTGCCGCCCCCCCCCTCCCCAGGTACTATTGGGCACCCCCCAGAAAAATCCTAAATTATGACTCTTGGCTATGTATTCATTTTTATTTGTTTGTGTTGCAGTAAAAATGACGTTTCCTAGTTTTGTTTAGTTAATATTATTTTGTTGTGTTCAAAAAATGTGTTAATTTTTATTTTTTTAGAAAATCTGTAGGTATTTAAGTAATCTACGGGGGGAACACGGTTTGATAACCACGTCTATGAAATTTATTGATAGAAAAAAATTCATGTAAAACGTTTTATTCAAAAAATGTGTTTTTTAAAATTATTTTTCATTTTTAAAAAAACAAAAGCCCTAGGCCCACCCCAAGATAAATTGCTAGTTACGCTAATGCTTTTGTCTAGCCGTACCTGTAAACTTTTATACAATTCTTCCACTTCTTTTCTCAGCGCTGCCGTTTCGGGATCACTTTTTGGGCCCATGATTCAACAAGTTCCAATAGAACTACACTGACCCTATTACTACTTCATCCATTAATTCCGTTTTTTTAGCCGAAAAGTCAAACGAAAAAAAAAACGACGCCAGTAGCGTTGTTGGAACAGGGGGATAATCTTATTAAGGTCCTAATTTAATAAAAGAGATCAGTTTAAACGGGAATCCTTACGGCGATCTGTTTAACCCAATTCTGTATATTGATTGGAGGCTTGTTTTGTCTGTGTACGATGTAATAAGGCTCTGTTATCTATAGTTAGCTTATATTTATGCGTTAATAGTTTAGTTAATAGTTAGGCAATAACTGACTATCCAGTCCACAAAAATTTAGAAAACTATAGTCTATTTCTAAAAGCTTGATAGCACAAGACAAGACCTTCATTATTAGGGTTTCCGGAACCGGAGCTGTTTTTCGGAACTGGGAATTTCGGTACCGCGCCTCTTAGGAACCGGGATTTTCCGGTTTTTTCGGTACTGACTAATTTTTGTTCAATGGTGGTGCATTTCAGCAATCAGAAAGCAAGGGATGGTTTTTCAAAGTAAAATTGATAAAAAATTGAGATTTTTAATGAAAATAATATCACATTATTAAGTAATCAGTCATGAAAAAATTAACATGAATACAAGTAAAGAAAAAAGCAAGATTAACTGAATTTGAGACAAAAGCCCTAAAATATTGAATTAAAAATGCAAATAAATATCTATTAAAACATAACATAATAAATATTATAGGAACTTCAAAAGAGAAAAGAAGCAAAAACAATAAGAAATAGCATCATTACTTATTTAGAAGAGTTTGATTTCGACCGCTAGAAAGTATCAAAGGATTTTCTCACGTAACAAAAAAATAATTTTTTAATTATTGTTACCGAGGCCCGGTTCTGTGATGGCCAAAAAGATCTGAACCTTAAATGGTAGTATTGGTATTAATTAGAGTTTCCAGAACCGTACTAAAATATTTTCATTTAACGATTGTAGAGTTTGTCAATTAGCAAGCAAGTGATGGTTCTCAAAAGAAAAACCGATAAAAAATTGAGTTTCAAATGAAAATAATATCAAATTTTTAAGCCATGAGAAAGTGAACATGAACACAAACGAAAAAAAAAAAAGATTAACTAAATTAAAAAATAACTTAACATTTTCAATTAAAGATGCAATAAATGCCTATAAATACACAAAAAAATATAACTAATACATTCAGCAATATTATACTAAATAATAAAATAACATTTTTAAACTTCAATAATTGCTAATAAACATTATAGACACTTCAGAAGTAAGAACAGTAAGAGATAGCATCACTACTTTTTTAGAAGAGTTTGATGTCGACCGCTAGAAAGTATCAAAAGTTTTTCGCACGTAACAAAAAATATGTTTTTAATTATTACTACCGAGTCCCGAAAGTACCGAAAGAACCGGGAATTAATAATTTCGAGTCCCGGTTCTTTGATGTCTCAAAAGAACCAGGAATTCCTGGTACTTTCGGTACCAGGATTTCCCCGGTAAAAAAAACTTAATTAAAATGGGACCATTGCCTGGAAACTTATATGGTGAAATTTTGATAAAATAATTTAGTACTCATTGGTACTCACTAAAAACACGGTATGTCGCTAGTGGTAGGAAAAATAATTTTTAGAGGTTACTAGTTTATTTGGTTGCCTAGTTTATTTGGTTGCCTGTGCATATACAGGGTGTTTTCTAATTAATCTAAAAAATAAAAAATCGTTAGAAAACGGCTTAAGGCGGGCTCTTAATAAGTATATTTATTTTTTTCTCGGCAACCGTTTGATGAACAAGAAAAACTCAAAAGATCAATTTTGTTGAAAAAGGATGGCCAGTCAAGAAAAACATATATTTTCTTTGAAAAAGCAGTAGTGTACCATTTATGTTAAGCAAAATATCGATTTTTTTTAAATTTTTAACACCCTGTAGATCAGAAAGGTAGTACTTTAGACCTAATGGTTATATAAAAATTGTTTTAAGAACACATGAGGAATCACACCACAATTTTTTAGACTAATTAGAAAACACCCTGTATATTGTCAACTTGACAATGATTGTTGATAAATCAAAAAATACCTTTTCCGTGAATAAAGCCCGATTTTCGCAGGAAAAATTTTGGTTTTTATTGAATTTGGGCCTGCGTCTGCAAATACCGGTATGTTTTTTAATATTCTATCTATCTAAATTTTAAATATCATAGTCAGAAATAGTTTTATTATTTATTAACTATAAAAATGGTATACTTATAAGTTTTATCAAATATTGTGATTTACTTTCTACCTTCTAGTCAAAATTTATATTTAATAAACTGTCAAATATATGTATTCTTATGTTTTATTAAAATTAACTCTGATATACTAATATATCAGTGTAACTTTAAAACTAAATCCTTTGAAATCAAATATAAACATAAAAAATATTTACTGCAGAAAAGGCGAAGGCGCTGGGTTAAACGTAGTCTCTACTAAGAACACGGAGGGGCGCTTTGACCCAAAATTTTACTATTAAGTTTCATATCTATCTTAATAGAAGATTATTTTCTTTTATCTATGAATGGGACATAAGAAAGGCACATATAGACTAAATTTAAATATACATCGACATATTACCGATACTTTATCCACTCCCTCGTTTATTTAGAATATATACTACCTGTTAAGGCTGAACTGCGACTTTATTAGTCCAGTATGCGACTACTCGAACTACTCCATCTTAATCTCCAAAACAACAAAGTGAAAGTGAAAGTATATATAGTAAAAATATTTCAATATTTGAGAGATAGTTTTACCCCCTTAGAATTCGAGTTTCGAAAAATCCCTTCTTATCGAACCTCAACACCCTAAAGTCAATCTGTTTTGCAAAAATCAGCTATTTATGTCAAGCGCTTTAAGCAGGACCGTGATTAATCAATGACCAGATTTTTCGAAACACCCTGTATACATTTTTAAAAAATCTTAAAATATGTAAAAAAACAAAATAAAATATACGTGTTTAGGCGCTTTTTCGGAAACTTGGCCGTTTTTTAAATAAAAAATATTGTAATATTTGAGGGGTGGTTTCACCCTCTTGGAACTGGAATTTTGAAAAATCCCTTCTTATCGAACCTCTACACCCTAGAATCAACCTCTATGCAAAAATTGAGCTTCTTACGTTGAGTGGTTTGAGCAGGATCGTGATTAATCAGTATGTCAGTCACTTAAGGATTTTATATATTAGTATAGAATTCGAAAGATATATTACCCGAGAAAAATCTGGCCTACAAAGAGAAATGGAGGATGACCTACAAAAAGAAATGAGAAGTCCCGCAGCGCAATTCTTCCACTAAAAAAAGTAAAACAAACGATTTTGGTATAAATTGCCTAGTAACAATATTATACATCTTTATTTGTGTAATAATAATTATATCGACTTGGAAATTCCATGCCACTATAATTATAAAAGAATATTCTAATTCCTATAACCATTTAGAATTCTAAGTATATACATAGATGTAAACAGCAGTGCCACTTAAGAATAAAGTATTTTAATTAGTAGAATATCATACCGTGTAATTGCCAAGATGCGTCTGATAGCATACTGATGCATTATAGGTACAGGGTGGACCATTGTCCATTAGTGCGAGGAATTTCAATATCGTCGTTGTTGACAAAGATATGAAAACAAGTTTTATATAAATGTTGTATGGTTTATAAGTGCATATTCTAAAAATATTTTGCTGTATAGTATAGGGTGTCCCAAAAAAGTAATGATAAAGTTTTAAGTTTTTTAAATTGCAACCCCCATTTTTTTTACATAATTCGATTAAGCATAAAATTCTGCATAATATACACTATTTGTATTTGAAGCGCTATGCGGTGTGTTGCCATGCTATTTCTTATTTACCCTGTATGTATTATTTTACTTTTAGATGCAGAATTAAAAAAATAACATTTTTTGTATATGTAGTGTTCTTAATTTTTTAACGGTTTTGCAGATATTCGCGGAATAATACCGTATGATCGAAAAAAAGGCGACCAGTTGGCTTGGAAATGAACATCAATGACATTCCCCGTATAATTTTACATATAAAATGACAGCGATCTTCATTTCACTTCATAGCCATCGCTGTCGCCGTTTTTTTTTGATCATATTGTTTAACCCACCATCAACACTGAACCACCCTGTATATTTGGTTGAAAAAATTGGATAAAGTATATTTTTGAGCTATTCTTTCAAAATAGAAATCTACGTGACTAATATGAAACGTATACTCGATGGAATTATACAACAAAGTGATTTTAACCGTAACCAATTTTGTGGCGACTGAAACTGTATGAAAAAAAGTCAGTAAATTTTACTTTCTCTCTATTATGTATAGAAAAAGATTTTGAACCCAAATTTTTTTAAATAATTTAAATTTTTCAATAGTTTTAGCATAAAATTTATTTGTATTTCTAAACTACATAATAAAATCTGTAATGTAAGTAAAAAAATCAAACTACTGAAATTTTACGATGATTGAACTAAAATTAATAAAAATAACAAAAAACAACTAAAAAAACTTACTTTCTTTTAGACATCTCCTCCAATTGGATACCTGCATTGTTATTTCACAAAGCCTTTTCCTTATTTACCGGTGTTTTTGTGCTTAAACTAATTTAAGCATGAAAGAAATCTTGCGCGCTCTCACCTTTTGCGGTAAATTAGAATTTAAATTCAGTTATTCCCATGATTAGACGTTGAAAACATGTATGTTTTCTCGAAATCTGTTTTCTTTGCTTGTTTCAGTAAGTCTGTTATAAAATTATATTATTTTATATAACTATAAACATAAAATTTAAGTGTTAAAACAAATTAATTATATTTGTAGTTATTAGCGGTTTTTGTTATGAAAAGTTTTGTGAAAAATCCGATAGAGGTGACACCGGCTGTGACGAAAGTCCCAAAAATCATTTTGCTCAGGATGAAAACCTGAAAAGTTTAGGTAGGTATTAATGGATTTTAATAATATCCATTAAAAGCCTTCTGGAAAAAAATTGATTTAAATCAAAGAAAATTATGTTTTAAATTAATCGTATGTAGATAACCAAACATACACATCAGACAGAGTTCGCTATCTTTTTCTAACTTTTTAGATGGGACAAAGAAGGATAATAAATGTTGTGTTGATTATTTTCGTAACCTCAATTTAATCAGTTCTGAAAAAATGGTGGAATCGTGTTAACTTTAAAAAATTTAATATCGGTTTTTATTTCATGGTGGCGGGTTTATTTTACTTTTAAACAAATTATTCGTATTTATTATAATTCTCAAGATTTTTCACAATGAATATATTAGTTCCAAGTATTATTTTTATTTCGTTTTTATTAAATAATGTTTGTGCCATAGAAACAGGTATGTAAATATCTTTTTAAACCGCAAACACAATCATAATTTTAATTATGTTACAATTATATAGAAATAATCCAGTTTTTTAATTTATTAAAGAATATGAGATTAGTCACGTACTCATTTAGATCTATACATTTTAATAGCATTGGTTTACATTACAGATGTGTTATTTCAAAACTATTTTTAACTCTTTTATGGTCTTTTTAGATTCTTAACTTATTCCTCCGTCTAAATTTCAATTTCATTCCAAAAATTTTATTGCTGAAAATAACTTTTATAAAATTTGTTAGGGAATAAGTATTCTTTTCAACACAGGAAATTGAAGAAGATAACCATTCTGTTAACTGTCGGTGATGTAACGTCTGAAATAAATAAGCTATAATGCAGATGTGCTAATAGATAGAAACAAAAATATATAAATTGAATTTTCTTATGTTTGGTTTGTGTAGGAAATACAAAACTTAAAGATACAGGGTGGTCCAAATTGTAACCGGGAAACTTTGACAACATATTCTGATATTAGAAGAATAAAATAGATAAAATGAAGTAAACAAGTTCCTATAAATGTATGTCTTGAAATGCTTAGTTTTGGAGATACAGGGTGTAAACATTTCATTTTATTTTGTTTTTAATAATAAATTTAAAAAATTTTTGTGCTAAAATTACCTGACACTTTAGTTTCATCAAAATTTTAAGGTGCCCTTTTTTCATACCGGTGTGTGTATATTCCCGTGCATTATATATTACAATTTGGACCACCCTGTATTTATAATTTTTATAGTTTTGTGTGTTTTTTTGGGCCACATATACCGAGCGCGTCTCAAAAGTCTTTTCAGATAAAAAAAAACGATATTTGGTATGTTAGTATATGACATAAAATAGGATTGATTGACGTGTTCAATTATTTTTGGTCACTTCCTGTTTCACCAGAAATGACTACAACTTTTGATTTTTAAATGACATCCTCGTATATTTCTACTTTATTTGATAGAAAATGACAATCTGAATAGAATGACATTTCATATGTCAACTTTTGACATTTTTGCATTTTGTTTATTTGAAATTTTATCATGCGGACAACTTGACTCAAAATACCAAGCGTGTGGTACCAAATTATTCGTAAAAAATCGCTTTTTCCAAATATCCTAATGAGCCATCCTCGTTCCATTTGAAAAAAGTGAGATATGATTAAAAATACGATTTGGGCCTATTTTGAGGGTGTCATTATTTCCGGTGAAACAGGAAGTGACTGAAAACAATTGAATACGTCAATCAATCCTAATTTATGTCATATACTAACATACCAAATATCGTTTTTTTTTATCTGAATAGACTTTTGAGACGCACCCGGTATATGTGGCCCAAAAAAACACACAAAACTATAAAAATTATAAATACCTAATCACGTTTTTTATCTGATAAAATAAAAAGTTATAGAGGTGAGCCACTTTTGAGACGCACCCGGTATAACTAATGTTTTGTTAGAAAAACATGTAAACATTGTTATCTATTTTCACAAAATTAGATGTTGACTTTTTTTAGATGTTCTAGTCTTTACTGTTGCCACAAATGAAACAGACGGTTTCCAAAGATACATTAATTCAGCCCGAACCTTTGGTATCGAACCAGTGGTTCTTGGCAAAGGGGAAAAATGGAAAGGGGGACAAAATATTAAACTCTATGCTGGAGGAGGATGGAAAATTAACCTCCTCAAAGAAGCTCTAAAACAATATGAAGCCGATGATAATAAAATCATTTTGTTCACTGATGCTTACGACGTGATATTCCTTGGAAAACTGAGCGAGATCATTAATAGGTTTAAGGCTACTGGGGCTAAGGTGCTGTTTGGAGCTGAGCCTTATTGTTGGCCCAATGTAGACTTAGCTAAAGAGTATCCAGAAGTGGAGAAAGGCCAAAGGTAAAAAAGAGTCATAGAAGTTTAAAATGATGATAATTGAAGACCTTAAGAGTATTACGCTGTACTGGTCGAGTTGTTCTCAGGGGTCGGGTAAAGCGGGTGTGTGGCTGAAGGAAATATATATTATATTTCAGAAATCTGCCTAAGGCTTAGCCCGATCCTGTCGTGTTAAGCCACACCCAAAATTCCAAACACACATGCTTTGATTAAGGCTTGATTAAGGTTTGCAGAGCTTCAGCATTTGCCATAAAAGAGCGAGCAATTTGTTACAAAACCATATAAATTATATATCACTGTAATCACAAAACTTGAATCTATTTCCGTATCATAACGGAATTTTAAATTATGTCTTTATTTTCGAGAAAATTTAGTCCAAACATAAGGAATATATTTTTTTGGTGTTTAACCATCAGAATCTTAAAGATAAAGAAGTCGTCTAAAAATGTGCTATAATACGGATATAGTATAATCCTTTATCTTTAATTTCCTTCTTGTGTAAAAATACCTAGCCAGTTTTACATAAAACGTTAAATGTCGAACGCTTATTTTGCAACTTTTTCGGACTAGTGAAATGGACTCTTAAGGCTAACTGGCAGTAAACGCCACTAAAAAATAAAGAAGAATACGGATGAAGTAATGACGTTTAGGGCTTGACCTCGCCAAAATTATCAACTATTGCCATTCCCAGCCTTCCTCGACGCGGTTTTTTTTTATTGTATGGTACTTATTATAAATATACGTACTTCAATACTGCCACTCCATTTGTCAACTAAACGATCGATTCTTATTTCTCCATAAGGACATAGCAGAGGCGCTAATTTCATTTGTCTATTGTAACTACAATTTTAGGTTTAAGCACTTACTCCAGTTCATATATTATTCATAGTGGCCTTGAGCATATTTTAAAGATAAAAACACAATGTTCTTTTTTTTTGTACTTTAGCATGTTTCTAACTTATGGTCTTCAATGCTTTTTTGTAATTCAGCTGTATTTGAATAACATAATTCATAATATTTTCAGGTTCCTTAATTCAGGTTTATTTATTGGATACCTACCTGAACTCTATAAGATTTTGAATAAGGCTGAACTTGAAGACAACGATGACGATCAGTTATATTATACCTTAGCTTATTTAGATAAAGAATTTAGAGACAGCAATAAAATTAAATTGGACCACACCAGTGAGATTTTCCAAAATATTTTCGGGGCCGCAAGTAAGTGTAGAAATTAATTTTTAAATGTTTTCCTACTTTAATTTTTGTCATATTTTTATAACTATCTTGCATAAAATTATTCAATTTCTATATAAACACTAGCAGACCCAGTCAGTGATGGGCAAGTACCTGGTATATTGAAATTTGAGTAAATACCATTATACCCGGTATATACACGAACATACCCACGTTTTTAATTATTTAAGGTATTCTAACAATTTTTAAAAACAATTTGTTGTTAGATTAACATTATTGAATTACTAATATTGCTACTAAAAAATATGGGTTGATGGTAGAAGGGTAAAAATTTAGGGTTGTATGTATTTCCTAATGCCAAATCATGAAGTTTTCTTAGTCTCAGACCCATTGACTATACATATAAAATTTCATCGAAATCGGTTAAGCCGTTTCGGAGGAGTAAGGTAACAAAAAAATTTAAAAAACCTATTAAAAAATAGGGGTTGGTGGTAGAAGGGTGAAAATTTAGGGTTGTATGTATTTTTTAATGCCAAATCATAAAAAAATTGGGGTCGGCCAGCCTTATCACTTAGGGGTATAAAAAATGGATAAGATCTTAGTCTCAGACCCACTGATTATATACATATAAAATTTCATCAAAATCGGTTAAGCCGTTTCGGAGGAGTAAGGTAACAAAAAATTTAAAAAAAAACTATTTAAAAATGTGGGTTGATGGTAGAAGGGTGAAAATTTAGGAAAAAATAAAAATTTTGTCCAAAAAATAAAATAAAAATTTACACCCTTATCACTTAGGGGTATAAAAAATCTAGAACAACCTAGTCTGAGACCCACTGATTATACCTACATATAAAATTTGATTAAAATCGGTTAAACCGTTTCGGAGGAGTAAGGTAACAAAAACTGTGACACGAGAATTTCATTGTATATTAGGTAGTATTTGTGTTGTTGCCAATAATTATACACTCTGTATTTTATTTTTATATGATTGACGATCCCATAATATAGAAATATTTTATATGCTTTTATATTGAAAGGAATTGATAAACAGTTATAATTATTATTTTACTAATCTTATAATAATTGTTAAATTTTAGATGACCTGGAAATTGTCACAATTAACGACAAAGATGCAGCGGCCGAAACGTATTTATTGAAAAATACCAAAACGAATACACAGCCTTTGGTTGTTCACGGTAATGGTTTCTCAAAGCTCACCTTAAATTATTTGAGCAATTATTTGCCTTCGGGAGTGTGGAACTCGTACGAGGGTTGCGTCGCTTGCAAACATGGAGAAATCAATCTAGAAAAAATACCTAGAGCCACATGGCCAGTAGTTCATATGTCCCTCTTTATCGAAGTGAATACGCCATTCATTGAAGGATTCTTCAGTAAGATCTATCAACTAGAATATCCCAAAGAGAGAATACATCTTTTTATCCATAACACGGTAAATGTTTTAGCGAAGTATCTTACGAAAAATCGGCGCCACAGTGGTTTTTGAAATGACAATTAAAATATACAGGGTTTCGCAAATTCGAATGTGATTATACTGTTCTCCTAAAACCAAAAAACCTATCTGCAATTGGAAGATTTAGGCTGGTTTTATCATATAGGTAGGATAATTTCTCCATAGCAACTGTTAAAACTGCCTTATATCTATCAAAAATAGTAGATAAAATAGTACTTTAACCGCAAGGGTAGATTAAATGATACTTTAACAGCGAAGATAGGTTAAAAACTTTATTTCTTCTCGCACGTTTTTTAATTGCTTCCGTTTTTGAATTTTTTTGTATTCCTTTTCATAATTCGGGATTTAAATGGAAGTAGTTTGGATATGGCGTTTGTCGCTTCAGCCTGAATATCTGTTGGTAATTTACTTATTTCTTTTTGAGCCATTTCTGGCTCCAATTCAATCAGCAATCGAGACGAAAGAGAATTAAAAAATATTGACTCAAAACTGACAACTAAAGAGACAGCTTTATTTATTCGTCAAATTACATAGAAACCAACTCCAACCCAGCACAATATTTTTTAAAACGTAACTCGCTATGGAAAAAGATATTGTTTTATACACGACGATAAAATTGCATTATCGTCTTCCGAAATTAATGCCCTCGTCATTTCATCGCTTGTGCGATAATCTTTTCGGTCGACGATAAAATACCATTTTATCGTCTTGTATAAAAAATAACTATTAGCGTTAGATGCTGTATTATTATTTAGGATAATCTAGCATTTACAGAGCACCTAGGACTTTGTACTTTTGCATCTGTATAGAGACGATTTTCAAGGGCCAGTTAGGCTAAAAATATTCTTGGAATTTTGCAGATATAACCTTTGGTTTTAATAAGAGATATCTCGGAAACCATAAGAGATACAAAGGAGGTAGGTAGAGCAGTACTGTAATTTTCAAATAACTGTTTTTTCTTCTCAATATTAATGGACTGTTCGCTGCTGGAAACACTGCGACCTGTAAGGCCTGTTGTGTGTGTGTTTGTCCCCTTCCTATGTCTACACCCACTCCTATCATTGTACCCTGCACCCAAGGACTGTATATATTCTAAAGGACTGTTCGATCGCGCCAAATCGCCGCTGTCGTAGTCGCCGTGGAATGCTACGTCACGCGCTGACCAGCGCTCCACAGTGCGGCGGATGGTTATTCTAGCGGGACAAAATCTCAAGAGCAATGTTTGGGACTTAAAATCTAAGAACGTAGCAAATGGTCTAATATATAGCAACTATATGGTTAAATTTATTTATTTATTAACAACTCAATTTATTAATAAATAAATACAAGGTAATAAAACTATGATATTATTCGTACATGACACACAAAAACCGTATTGTAAACTATTGCCAAATACATAACATTATGATATCAAAAAACTCTTTATCAGTTTTTTTTTAATTAATTTGTAATCTTGTGACACCCTCTATAATTTATTTTAAAAAAATATATTTTATTTTGAAAATAATAAATAAGATAGATATTTTAATTTTAACACTCGGTAATTGTAAATTCATATATAGTAAGTATCTAAGACAATTTTTTAAACTCAGTGCCTTTTGATGGAGTTGTTTTGTTTTTATACTATCCGATTGAAATGAATCTTTTTGGACATTCACCTGTTAAGCTTGAACTCCCTGTGACTACCTGTGTTGGTAACTATTGGTAACTCAAAAGATCTACATCATTCAATATATCGATATTTGAAAAAAAAGTGAAAGTTTGATATCTGCAGAACAAAGGCACGAAGGATTTTAACAAATAATATACCTACAGTAGAAAAGTACATACCTTTGGCAATCTTCAACATAATTTGGCTTTCTAATAAAATGTATAAGCACTTGTAAATATTTTATTTTCGTATGATCTCTGCCTTGCTGAGCAGAAAACGACCAAATTTGGTTGATAAAAATGTATCGAAATACAAAGAATATTCATGCATTTTTGTATCAATTGGAATGTTTACTATTTATTCTTATCAATACACATTTTTTGGCTTATTTCTAACCAAACGCTTTTGTCCCGCTAAATTTATCTTCCAACGCACTGTGCGCTCGTCCGTCAAATGCAAAAATAACTGTCACTGTCTAAAATCTTTAGCGCCAACTTCAACTCGGTCAGTAGATGACGTAAAAAAACTGACAGTGGAGGAAGATAGGAATCGAACTATCCTTATCTCTATAGTATCCTTGCCCTGCACCAACCTGTGCAGGTCATTGATAGGATGGGAGCAAAGTTACTAGGTACCTTCCCAAATAGAAAGTGTCGCTTGTGATTGAGAGCCTCGCAGTGATATTTTTTGTGCTCCGCTGTTACGGGATCTTTATCGCAAAGTCTGCAGCAAAGACTTCCTTAATACAGCTTGTTCAGGTAGCACTCGACAGCTATATGTCCTGTCAAGAGACCTGTTAAATCACACTGTGACCGTGATTTTTTAATATCAGTGATTTAAAAGAGCGTCATCACTACTTTCATATTTTGTGTGAACAATTTAGGTGTCTGGAAACTTAATTTTTGTTTGCGTTGAATAATGATTTGTACGTGAATTTTTAATAAACTAGCATAATATATTGTCATTTAAAAAGGTCACTGTGATGCCCATTTTTATCGGGAGTATGTAAAGTTTTATTAATTAATGTTATTATTCTAGATGAAATACCATTCAGTGCACGTTAAAAATTTTACAGAAAAGTTTGGTTCTGAATATTTGTCATTAAAGGAAATTAAACCTGAGGATGGATCACCAGAATGGTCTGCTAGGGATCTATCATTGTATGTATAAGATTTAATAGGTTTAGTTTGTGATCACAAGGTTGACAGCTAATATGACACTGAGTAAATTGTATTTTTTGACATGTCGTCTATCGAAATATTTTCTTTGACTCATTGGGCGGATTTTAATGATTTTTATTGTTAAGTTCAACAATACTGTTATAAATTATAAATAATAATGTCCATAAACTAATGTCAACTTTGAAAATAGTTACTAACTGTCACTAGAAAATTGCCATGGCAACACCAACCATCTTGATTGCAATTTTATTTAAAAATCGCTTTTTATTCAAAATCTGAGCTAGATAAGTATAGGAAACCCTAATATAGTTTGAAAGAGCATTTGAATCTGCTTCGATTTATTTAAAAAAATACAGGGTGTTGTATTTGAAATAACGAAGTTTTTATATGAAATATATCCTTAAAACAGATCAGCAACTTTAGTTACTCCTGTATACATTTAAGGGAGCAATATCATTTTTTAGTAAAGTTTGTTGCTCTGGCTTCAAAGTCACTACAAGAATTAACTCTGAAAAGTAATGTACAGGGTGTTGAGAAACTTTTTTATTATAGCATGCATATTTAAATATTGTTACGGATTCCGTGGGTCCACTATTTAAACTCACGATAAAATACTTAACGAATTTATTTGTTTCACTCTGTACACAACTTATACTATTTACAGCACAACTTATGCAACTACTATTACTCTAACGGTATTTCGCGGTATTTTCAAACTTCAGACTTAGACTTCAAACTTCAAACTTGTCCAACTGTCAAAGCGCGGGCCTTATATACCCCCTGGCGGTTGTTTCTAGATTTTTCTAAAGAATTCTATAATTTTCTTTACTTTCTGGCGAATGCGCCAGGTTCCTCAATGCACATTGCGATTTTTTAGCAGTATGCAGTTATGCAACCAGTAATACACCTTGACATTGCCCCCTTCTCAAATTTGATCGTCCCGATCAAGGTTTCCTGTCTGGTATCTCTTCAATCGATCCAGATGAACTACTTTCATCTTACTTCTAGGGCTGCGATGAATCCGGTACACAACATCATTTATCCTCTTGATGACTGTATAAGGACCTTCCCATGCTGGAGTTAACTTTGGGGACCTTCCTTTCTTGCGCTGTGGGTTATACAACCATACCCTATCGTCCTGTTGAAATCCCGTAGAATTAGCTCTGAGGTCGTAATGAGCTTTCATCCGGTCACTGGCTAGCGCAATCTTACTTCTAACGGCCTTATGAATGTCCAATAATCTTTCCTTCCTAGCGATTCTTTCGAACGACAGTCCAACGCTATCCTGTTCCATTTCTTCCCCAGATCGAGTACTTGGTCTTTGTCTAGCTGCGCAAATCTTACAACGTTGACACCATTTCTTAACATCTTCGCAATAATCCACCCAGTAAAAACGGTCTCTCAGCTTACTCAAGGTCTTGTTTACTCCAAGATGGGCTCCAGTTTTACCACCGTGAATTTCTTCCAATACCTGGGTGACTTTCTTCCTTGGTACCAGTAACTGAGTTGTTACTGTCCTGCCATCCGCACTTTCCCACGTGCGCTTTATCAATCCATTCTCAATCACCAGTGAATTCCACTGAGCCCAGAGAGCTTTGAAAACGAGCCCTCTGTCCGCAATATCCTGCCACGGTGGTCTCTCGCCGTTACCTTCCTTGAGCCGTAGTATTGCTCCGATGTCTGGATCTTCCATTTGATCTTTCCTCAACTGTATCGTCGTCCATTGTTCGTCAGTTCTCAGTTTAAAATTCCTTACTCTGATAGTGCTTTCGCGATGTTTCATTTTCTTGCCCAAAGTAGCTCGTCGTCGATCTGGCTCGTTGTCGATAATTTGTACCCGTCCTACACGGCACTCAGGGGTTTTCTCCATTTTCCCGAATACAGTCTTCTTGGCATCACCAGGTATCATCACAATTTCCGCTGATCTTGCTTCCATATTTCCTGGTCTCTTCTCTTTAGATACAGAAAATTCCTCATTTCCGATTTTCAGGATGTTTCTATGGTGATCAAACGAAAAACCATGTTGACTGATCACATCCATACCCATGATAAAATCATCTTCAATGTCTGCCACTAAAACGCTATGCCGAAACTTCAAATTCCCTAACTCCAATTCCATGAAAGCCTCTCCCCGTACAACGGCCATTTCCCCCGTAACTGTACGTAAATACACTCTTCTTCTAAGAGGCGTCATCTTCAATCCTTGCACTGAGTTAGTCCGCACCAACGATACCATAGCGCCTGTGTCCACAGTCATTCGAATTCTTCTACCATTGACCTTCCCGTTGATTACCAAACTGTCAGCGGTTTTTCCTAGACTCCTAACGGAAAACATCCTAGGGGCTCTGTTTTCTTCAGCCAATACTCGCTCATTAGTGTTGATTTCCTGGTGCCTATGTTCTCTCGATGGTAAACGGAATCGCATTTGGACGCGGCAATCCCGTTTGATGTGGCCATTCCTGCCACATCTATAGCAACTTATGTCCTGGGATCTGCCGATGTGCCGATGTTCTCTGGATGGTGAATGGAATCGCATTTGGATGCGGCAATCCCGTTTGATGTGGCCATTCCTGCCACATCTATAGCACCTTATGTCCTGGGATCTTCTCTGGTTCTCTGTCTGGTTATTGTTGACTTCCTTGTTTATTAGTAGCTCACATAGTTTGTCGAATTTTCTACACAGCTCCTCCAAACTTCTGTGGGTACTCTCGGGCTGTTCCTCTACCGTTACCGATCTTATCTTCGCTCTAGGGATGGCGCTAAAAGCAGGTTCGATTTCCAGCGCCCTGACGAGTACTTCGCTGCTGGTAGAAAATCGCGATATTTGCAGCGCCCTCTGTAATTCATTGTCCCTCAGTCCGCTGATAAAGCACTGAGCAGCGAGTTCCTCCCTAAATCCTTCCGGTGCTTCAGGATACGCTAGGTGTACCAGCCGACGTAAGTCTGCTTCAAATTCCTGCAGACTCTCTCCGGACCTCTGCATGCGTGTCTTGATCTGGGCCTGGTAAAGTTGACGTCGATGTTGGTCGCCATATCTTCTGTCAAGTGCAGCGACCAAAGTTTGGTATTCCTGCTGTTGAGCCGCAGGAATAGTTTGCAGGAGTTCCAGGGCAGGGCCTCGCAGCGCGATGACAAGTGCTGCTGCTTTCTCTTGGTCAGTCCATCCATTGGCAGCAGCCGCTGCTTCAAACTGGCGGTGGTACATCGTCCAGGTGGTTTGTCCATCGTAGGTCGGTGCCTTGAGGTTCGCAGTTCCAGGAACGCCAGGTGTCCTTACTTGTACCTTGGTCTTCTGTAGGCCCATCTCTAATTTTTCCATTTTTTGCTGAAGGCGTTCCTCCAGATCTTCTACGGCTTCTTGGAAGTGATTCTGCTGTTCCTGGCAACGCATTTCCAACATTGCTTGTTGCTTTTTTTTCCATGTCTCCGAAGCTTTTCTGAAGTCGAATTTCCTGATTTTCTAAGATTTTCTGAAGCCGGTCCTGTTCTTCTTGCTTTTCTCTCTGACGTCGCTCCTCCAAACGAATTTCCAAATTACCCAATATTTTTTCAAGCCGGTCCTGTTCTTCTTGTTTCTCTTGTTGTCATTGGATTTTCAAATCTTCGAAAATTTTGTCTTGATTTTCTAGAATTTTCAGTAAGCGGTCGTGTTCTTCTGCTTTCTCTTTTTCTAGTCGGGCTCGCTCTTCTTCTCGTTCTTTACGTAGTCTTTCTTGTTCTTCTGCCTTCTCTCTTCTCATATTCTCCATAAAATCGCCCAATAATTTGCTTACTTCTTCCATTTTCTTCGATTGCTCCCTTGTACCAACCATAAAAATTCCCAAATTCGGTCTAAAAATCTTCCAATCCACTTAATTTCTTCTTAAAATCCTCTTGAATCGCACTTCCGACACCAATTGTTACGGATTCCGTGGGTCCACTATTTAAACTCACGATAAAATACTTAACGAATTTATTTGTTTCACTCTGTACACAACTTATACTATTTACAGCACAACTTATGCAACTACTATTACTCTAACGGTATTTCGCGGTATTTTCAAACTTCAGACTTAGACTTCAAACTTCAAACTTGTCCAACTGTCAAAGCGCGGGCCTTATATACCCCCTGGCGGTTGTTTCTAGATTTTTCTAAAGAATTCTATAATTTTCTTTACTTTCTGGCGAATGCGCCAGGTTCCTCAATGCACGCCGCGACTTTTTAGCAGTATGCAGTTATGCAACCAGTAATACACCTTGACAATATGTTTAAATATCTCAAAAACCAAAGCATTTAAACATATTAAATCCTTATAATAAATGCCTTATTTTATGCCTAAGAATCCAAAAATGAAATGTTGTTAAAAAATAAAAAAATTGTTTCTACATCTTTCCGTTTTCGTATAATCAACCGAGGCGAATGAGGTATTACCACCCAGTATAAACAGTTATTATTTACATCAACAAAACTCACCTTCTTAACAGCACTTAAATAAAGGACCATTACTACCGCTTTCCCGTTCAAAATATTCTAATAAAGTTGCGATGAGTTTTTTACGGCTACTAGCTGTACAATAAAATACTTATACACTTCGCACTAAAAGAGGTTCTAAAAAGTACAATGTTCGATTGCAAGATCTGCTAGTAAACATTTTCAAGCTTAAAGTATCACAACACTATTTATTTAAACCAAAAACTTGTAATACAAAACTAAAGTGTCAAAACGAATGACGGTTCCAGTTAGTCAGCCCGACAGCGAATATGTCCATGGTTGGCAACATTGAATTTAAAAATTGCGCCCTCGATTACGTAACTAAAAGTTTAATTGGTATCAAGAATAGATGCAGTTTTTCTTAAACTAGTTAAAATACGCTAGTCCAAAGTTGTTTAAATTGGCATGTATTCATGCAATTTCGCTGTAAAATCAATTGGGGATCCAACATTTGGACGGTTCAAGAATTTTCGTGGGATTTCCAATGTTTTGAACGACGATGCACCACCATTAACTCCTATAATACCAAAGACAAAGTGCTGCCGCGTGACGTCATCGACCGTCGGCCTACGAGTTCTAAATGGTTCTAAGGGGTTTTGTGTAGTTTTCTACGTTTGAAGTCGATTTATACGATTTAGGTATAGCTTTAGGGATTAATGTAATAATAAATCTAAACATATAATAACAGCAAGGATCTATAAAAAACACAAACAATTTAAATGGTAGTTAAGTACGTAAGCAGGTATAGGTAATAAATATAATATGTACGGTGCACTTAACTGTTCGAAATACACTAGGTAGAATCTAAATTTAAGAATGCTTATTTTTGGAATTCTCAGACAGCAAGATACCATAACATTAATAAATTATATTTAGTAAGGCATCATGCAATTCATGATTGAATTTTTCGAATCAAATTTTGATTTTCCGAAGTTTGCATCTATAGTAGTTACCTAACTCTATACTCTATACATTGATTTTAAGTAGGTTTTGATTTTTTTCTTATTACCCTTACCTAAGCGGTCATTTTTTTACCACAGTAGTTTTTAATTAGTGTATTGGAAATACAACAATATGGATAAGCCATTCTCGTTAATAATGAAAAACCAACCAAGCTAAATTAAAAGACTGAAATAATGGTTTAAGTTCCTCAAAAGTTGTAAAACTCGTAAGTTTCTTATGTGTTAAATATTCTTGTTTGCTTTGTTCAATTGCTTGCTGAAAACGAATTTGATCTAATTCGTTAAATTTTTCGTCTTTGCTTTTCCGATATGATATCTATTTTGATAAATATTTGGGGCAATTCGGAAATTTACTTGGTACGCTAGTTTCTTTTAATCGGGGCAAAGTTAAATTAACTGAAACGATCTCACCGGTTTTTGTATCCTGTTGGGAAATTTCATAAATAAAATCCTTTTCAAAATAGCACTTACCATCTCACACACCCGATTATTGTTATTTGGCCCAAATTTTCGGGAGGAATTGCAATTAACCATTTTTTGCGAAGTTTTTTGTCTCTGGGAAACCGAAACACCCGCACTTTTGTACCGCTGGCATAAAATTACAATCTGGGACACAATTATGGAACAACATATAAAACACTACAAACACTACACTATCTAAATTTGTTAAAAGTACAAAAAACACAAAATAGTCCGTTCAATAATACCTAATCGATAAAATCGAGCGTATTCTAGACAAGGAAAGAGAGTCTCTCTTTCCTTCTCTAAGGACAAAATACTCGGAAGCTGAACCGCGCAACCGCGGTTCACGTCAAACTCTTTGCTGAACTTTACCGCTGATGGACTTTTATAAATATCAGAGTAAATTGTGGCCCTATTTAAAAACAAAGTTAAAAACTCATCAGCATTTCTGTATTTTTAAATCATACAAAAAATACTCATTAAGTTCAAAGAATTATTCATAATGTTCAAAATTCCTGCAAAGCGCTTCTCGCCGAACAAAACCGAACTCTCCGTGTAGGATCCGAATGCTTCCGAGGTTTTCGTGATTGCGGTTGCGCGTTTCAGCTTTCGAGTATTTCGTAGTTAAACAAGGAAAGAGTGATGCTCTTTCTTTGTCTTGCCGAATTCGTGTTAGAATCGCTAGGCCCACAGACCGTGACGTCAGCATCACTTTTAATTTAAGCACTTTGTCTTTTTTGTAGGAGTTAATGGCACCACCCGGTAATACTTAAAAAAGAAAATATTTCTATTATAAGTATAAGCATCAAAATAATTTATTCTTTTTTTGCTGTTGAGCGTTTGAAACAAAATAATCATTTTTAGGAGCCAATGTTTAGCCAAAAATTGTGATTTATACTTTGCCGTGGACTCCACAGCCCACTTAGACAATCCATTCACGCTGAAATTGCTCATCGAACAAAACCGCACGGTGGTGGCACCTATGCTGGTGAGACCGGGGAAAGCCTGGAGCAACTTTTGGGGGGCCTTGACTAACGACGGTTTCTACGCAAGGTCCAACGACTACATGGACATTGCCTACAGTAATAAACGGTGAGTGTTTTAAATGTTTTATTCAACAAAGTTTAGCGAAATCTGATGTTACAACAACCTGAATTGATTTTTACTGACTCGTCTATATATTTATACACTTTAGGTCGTTCTAAATCCTTGGTCTAAAGATTAAGGAAGGAGTATAATGCTATCCATGTATTCATGCATGGTGAGCGGAAAAAGGACTGGGGTGGGGATCCTTGACAGTTCTGTTTGACGATTCATTTGACACATTTCAATTTGATTTTAAATTTTGTGAATTTGTCAGTATTACTGAGCTTATTTTATGTTATTTATTATTTATGCTACTACTGATAGTTGTATAAAAGTAGTAAATCTAGATGGAAATTGTGACAGAACTTCAATTAACAGTGACACTATTGCGATTTATCCAAAAAAAAAATGTAAAATAGTTGGTTGTGTAGCGTGCGGTAGATCTCGGTCAAAAGTCGAGTGAAATAATGGAATTACTTTTCGCTAATAAGTGACTATATAACGTGTAGTAAACCGATCATTTATGAAATTCACTTAAATTAATTAATTATATATTTTTTCTTGCATTTTTGCTTTTATTTACTACTTGTCAAAGATTAGATGTCAAAGAATTTAGATACGTCAATTTGACTTACCTGCTTCAGTAGCGTATCGGATGTTTGTGTTAATAAATAATTATTATAACTTATCTATTTTTATTAGAATTATATATTTTTATAACAATTTTAATAACTACCAACATTTATTCGCAACGTAAAATAAAACAACAAATTATTAAGTCTACCCCACGTCTACCCTACAGCATAGTTTTCATCACCCACTTTTAAATAAAATTAGAACGGCACTGATAAACCGGAATTTAAGTCGGCCATATTTGAGTCCAATCGCGGTGGATCTAAGATTTTTGATATGCTCCTTCCTTAATCTTTTTATTCAAAGGAATTTTCAAATTTTTCAAAATTTCAAATCAAATCAAATCAAACGTCACACAGGACTGTCAAGAAGAGGGTCCATATTTTCGTGTCTCTAATGCATTAATACACGAATATCATACTACATCCTATCATTATGTTAAAATCCAAACCACAGATTTAGGATGGCCTGAGGTCTATATGAACTAATTTCTGCGCTACTGAACAGAAATAGTCTAAAAATCTATCCCAACTGGCGGTAACTGCCGTTAATCGAAGGATATGCTGAAGTCGGTTTTGAATGATCTTCTGTCAATGGAATACATGTTGTCGGCCGTACATTCGTACAGCCCGGCGTCCATTTGAGTTGCCGGGTCGATTTCCAGTTTGCTTTTGATGGCGTCTTTTTTTATCTGCCATTCGTGTATCTACAAAATATTATTGAATATTCATTGAACACACCAAACTGGATCACTGACAAAAAATATAAGAGTAAGCGCATTTAAAGGAGCCAGGAGCTTTTTAATATGCACCCACTCTAGTTCTATGTCCACGGAATATGGGGACACCCTGTGAAGTTAAAACTTACGTGTAAATAAAGATGTGTAAAGATCTCGCTGCCATCTTTGTACCACGTTATGTGCGGCCTGGGATTCCCTCTAGCCACGCAAATAAAAGCGATCTTGTGCCCTAAAACGTATTCATAGTCGAAGTGGGAAGCTTCTATTATTTTGGCTCCCTGAAATTTTATTGTTAAGTTTCATTCAGAACCTCTCAATTAGTGGAATAAATTAGTGGTTTCAATTACACTTTATACTTGTTAGTTTACGATCATTCCCAATGTCTAAAAAACACAATTAAAATTAATATAATATCCTAGCAACAGTGTGCGGTAATCAGTTGTATCCATAAAGAAATCCTAATTTTTAGCTTATAAAACAATGTACTTTTAATTTCTAACCACATTATCTCTTGATGGATGAGAATCAAAGGCCAAAATGACATTCCCCGCAAATTTTGAAGTATAATTAGTGGAAAAATTAAAAGTTTGGTAACTTTTTCTACTAATTGAAAATTCCTACCCCTAATTTTAACGATCTGAATGCTTACATTCAAATTAGAGGAACAAACTTCCACCTTAATTGAAACCACTAATTTATTCCACTAATTGCGAGGTTCTGAATGAAGCTTAAGACTCAATAATTTTGAAAATGGTCGAAAGAGAAACAAAACACTTACGTTGTTGTTATTGTAGTATTTGTCGGATTCTGGGTCTCTGTATTTGCCGGTGATGGGAAGTCCTATTTGAAACTAAAACCAACACAAAATACTGTATTGAGAAAGCAATAAAAATTGGCGTGTATATAATCAAAAACGTGGAAACTACATATTACCAAATTAAATTTTTCATATATAAAAATTCGTTTGAAACTTGAATGAAAAACGAATTGGCCGATAAAAAAGGCTTGTAAAATGTTAGTAGTCATGCAAATATTTCCGCTGGTCATGAGGTTTTTCTTTGCCAATGTGATATTTGTCATTTTCAATTTCATTAAGGCTGTATTCCGTTACAAAACCAGGCGAACCAGACCGGTAAACTACGGTAAAGAGCGGTTCCTGAAAAACATCGGTTTGATACGGAACGGTTTGGTAAAATAGGTACTGGAAATGTCAAATGTTGACGTTTTCTAAATTTCAATACCTCTATTATAAAATTTATCATTTATGCATTTTTAATGTACATATTTTCTGCATTTACGTTTGCTTCTTCTTTTCAATGGAGTTTAATATTGAAAAGTACTTTATTAATAAACTGTTAAACTCGTTAGACAGCTCAATTGAAGATTTGCAGGTCCAATATTAAAACAGATCAATAGTGAATAAACAAATCTAATCAATATTTATATTTTTATAGCTTACAAAACATTCACGGTTACTTGTTGTCTTGTTTTTCATGTTTTCTTTAAATGTTCCTTACTTTAAGAAACAATGGCTGCATGATAAGTTTAAATAGTCCTAAAAAGTCATTCTATTTAGTTAATGAAATTTATTTACCTTTACTGCCTACCTCCATTGCTTTTGGATGTAAATACAAAATATTATTACAAATTTTAGAAATTAAATGAGAATTTCACTCGAACTTATATTTGCTTGATTTCTGTCACATAAATGACATTGATTGACAAACAAAACCAGAAAAACCAGCCTTCTCGCACTGGTTTGTTTGGTGACCGTTATAACCGAATTTTTCAGGAACCGTGTTCCGTAATAAGAAAACTTTCAGGAAACCGATAGAAACGGAACATAAAACCATAACCAAGGTAAGCAACGAAATACACCCTAATTTTTTCTAATTTGATATTTGTCATTGTCAATTTTATTCCGAGTTTTCTTTGACGAATTTGAAATTAAATCTGCGTTTTGTTTAGTTAAAACTGCGATTTTCGTTGCAACAAAATACCAAAAATATATGTTCGGGTCGCTCTCAGGGGTTGGGTTTGGTTTCTGAAATATATATTTCAGAAATCTGCCTAAGGCTTAGCCCGATCCTGTCGTGTTAAGCCACATGCAAAATTCCAAACACACGTGCTTTGATTAAGGCTTGATTAAGGTTTGCAGAGCTTCAGCATTTGTCATAAAATAGCGAGCAATTTGTTACAAAACCATATAAATTATATATCACTGTTATCACAAAACTTCAATCTATTTCTGTATTGTAAAGGAATTTTAAATTATATCTTTATTTTCGAGAAAATTTAGTCCAAAAATAAGGAATATTTTGTTGATGTTTGACCATTAAAATCTTAAAAATAAAGAAGTTGTCTAAAATGTGCTACAATACGGATATAATATAATCCCTTATACGGATATAATATAATTAATTTCCTTCTTCATTTGAGTAAAAATAACTAGCCAATTTTACATAAAACGTTAAATGCCGAACGCTTATTTTGCTACTTTTTCGGACTAGTGAAATGGACTCTTAAACAAGATATATCATGAACTCATTGAAAATACTATTATAAGGACGTTTATGAAACACACATTAAACAGCATTTACCTTGGATTTGGTTCTGGTTCTTGCTCTACCCCTTCTGCATTCGATTTCTGCTAAAAAAGCGACCAGCAAGATGAAGATGACCGACAGTGATAAATTCATTACGGCTATTTGAAGAGGGAAACCGGTCCAAACTAAGCGGCAAAACTTATCTTAGCCCCAATTTTGGCCAATCATTTCGCTCCCCTTTTGCGCCGAGCAGACATAGATTGAGAACAATTTGAACCAATTTAAAGCCGTATCGTTTCTTATATGAACTATCTTAACCGCGTTTCGTTATATTAAATAATGGGGAGCGCGGTAGTCTTCCGTCGCAATAGCATAAATTATTTGGCATTGGTATCATAGAGGACTTTAAAATATCGTCTGATCGAAAAAAAAACGGCGTCAAAGATGGCTGGGGAATGACGATCGATAATAATTTTGACGAGGTTAAGTACTAGACGTCATTTACTTAGCCCGTACTCATTTTTATTCTTTAATGGCGCTTACTGCCAGTTGGTCTTAAGAAGGTTGTATTTTTATACTGAGTAAAAATTATTTTTAAATAGTGTAGTTTAAAATTCGAGAAAACATTTTTTTTTAAATAGTTTTTTTAATGTTTCTATAATAATTACTAATATATACTATATTATTTTTTATGTCAATTTTTAGTAAATAACGTATTATTTGAGTTAACTCCCGTTTCCAGAACTACGTTCTGTCGCTGGCGACACTGGTTGACACTGCAAAGAACCAATGAGAGACTAATGGTGTACAACCAAGAGACTAATGGTGTATTCCGTTGCTTACCTTGGTTATGGTTTTATGTTCCGTTTCTATCGGTTGCCTGAAAGTTTTCTTATTACGGAACGCGGTTCCTGAAAAATTCGGTTATAACTGTCACCAAACTAACCAGCGCGGGAAGGCTGTTTTTTTTCTGGTTTTGTTTGTCAAGCAATGTCATTTATGTGAGAGAAATCAAGCAAATATTGGAAGTTCGAGTGAAATTCTCATTTAATTTCTAAAATTTGTTATAATATTTTGTATTTACATCCAAAAGCAATGGAGGTAGGCAGTATAAAGGTAAATAACTTTCATTAACCAAACAGAATGACGTTTTAGGACCATTTAAACCTTTGAATAAGAAGACTAAGGAAGGAGCATATCAAAAATCTTAGGTCCACCGCAATGGGTCTCAAATATGGCCAACTTAAATTCCGATTTATCAGTGCCGTTCTAATTTTATTTAAAAAATGTTAAACTATGATGTAGGGTAGACGTGGGGTAGCCTCAATAATTTGTTGATTTATTTTACGTTGTGAACAAATGTTGGTAGTTATTAAAATTGTTATAAAAATATAAAATTCTAATAAAAATAGATAAGTTATAATAATTATTAATAACCATAAACATCCGATACGCTACTGAAGCAGGTAAGTCAAATTGACGTATCTAAATTCTTTGACATCTAATCTTTGACAAGTAGTAAATAAAAGTAAAAATGCAAGAAAAAATATATAATTAGTTAATTTAATCGAATTTCATAAATGATCGGTTTACTACACGTATGTATATTATATAGTCACTTACTAGCGAAAAGTTGTTCCATTATTTCACTCGATTTTTGCCGAGATCTACCGCACGCTACACAACCAACTATTTTAGAGTCTTTTTCGATAAATCGCGATAGTGTCACTGTTAATTTAAGTTCTGCCACAATTTCCATCTAGATTTACTACCTTTATACAACTATCAGTAGTAGAATAAATAATAAATAACGTAAAATAAGCTCCGTAAAGACTGACAAATCCAAAAAATTTCAAATTCAAATGTGTCAAATGAATCGTCAAACAGAACTGTCAAGGATCCCCACCCTAGGGTCCTTTTTCCGCCCACCATGCATGAATACATGGATAGCATTATGCTCCTTTCTTAGTCTTCTTATTCAAAGATTTAAACTTATCGCGTTCATCAGGACGTAGCGCTACTGCAGCGATAACTAATTTTCTGCTGAACGCGCCGATTAGTTGTGAGCGCTCTGGGATCAGTCGCCATTTTTTCCATCATATTTAAAATACGCTACGCTACCGATGCATGATGGATTAAACGTCACACACGCCAAATGTCACAAAATGTTTTGGAAAACGAAAACAAGCCATTTTGTTTATTGTTCTCGGTTGACTAATCCCCTCGATTTGTGCCAAAAATGGGTGAAAACAATTTAATATGCATTACTTATGATTTTGATCTAACAAGCGCGTTTAGCAGGACAACCAATCGATGGCATATCGCTCACTGATCAACTTGTCCTGATGAACGCAACCATTGTTTCTTAAAGTCAGGAACCTTTAAAGAAAACATGAAAAACAAGACAACAAGTAATCGTGAATTATTGTAAGCTATAAAAATATAAATATTGATTAGATTTGTTTATTTTTTATTGATCTGTTTTAATATTGGACCTGGAAATCCTCACTTGAGCTGTCCAACGAGTTTAACAGTTTATTAATAAAGTACTTTTCAATATTAAATTCCATTGAAAAGAAGAAGCAAACGTAAAAGCAGAGAATAGGTACATTAAAATCGCATAAAAGATAAATTTTATAATAAAGGTATTGAAATTTAGAAAACATTTGACATTTCCAGTATTTTACCAAACCGTTCCGTATCAAACCGATGTTTTTCAGGAATCGCTCTTTACCGTAGTTTACCGGTCTGGTTCGCCTGATTTTGCAACGGAATACAGCCTAAATTTAAAATTGACAGCTGTTTGAATTTTCTACAAACCTTATTGGTTCATTTGACGTGTCGCTGGCAACAGTACGAAGTTCCGAGGACGGGGTTTTAGTAGTTGATGAGAACATAAGAATAACAATTACTAACACAGGAAAATACAGGTGTTTACGTTTTTTAGAGTGCATTTATTGTTTACATTGCATCAGGATTTTACCAATAAAAATCCGCTTATTTTTAATATTATATATACAATATATATTTTTTTAAATTATATAATAATAACAGAAATATATTTACAATCGTAAAATATAATTTGAACTAGTAGGTAAGCATGGCGTAGTCCGTTCTGAAAGCCCTGTAATCGATAGCGTACTGATTATTCGCCTGGCATTCGTAGAATCCTGCATCTTTTTGCGTAGCCGGATCAATTTCCATTTTACTTTTTATAGTGTCGTTTCCTTCAGTCCATTCATGCACCTAAAATAGAACAGGTATAAGCTTTCTTCGGGTTTTTGCATCTCAATCATCCTAGAACACTACAGCGCATGCCCAGAAGAATAAAATGCCATTTTTCCTTCAGCACATGCGTATCACGGTTCTAGGACGGTTCAGAATAGGTACTAAAGACCGCTTTACAGTTCGCAATTTTGCTTGCATGCTAGAAAATTTGCCTCAACTTTTCCTACAACCCGTGCGCATTCTAACATATTTGATAAGTTGCTGCAAATTTTCTTGCACTTGCAGATGATAGATCCGAACCTATAATATTTCAACTTGCGTGCAACTTTTGGATATTTTTCTAGTTATCTTCAGATATACTATAGGTATTATTCTTTTAAAACTGAATTGGTTAAATAAATAATAATTTTACTTGGAAGTATTTGTGATGATAGAGCTCTATGCCATCTTTGAACCAGGTTATTTCTGGCCTCGGTAACCCTAAAAAGTCTTTTATAATATGATTTATTCAAATTGGGAAAGTTATTTTACCTTGCGCCATACAGAAAAACGTAATCTTTCTCCCTAGCATGTATTCGTATTCGAAATGGCTGGATTTGACGATTTTTGCACCCTAGAAAAACAATGTTACAGTGAAGAAAAATCAATACATGTAATAAAGGGATATACAGGGTGCTACAAATTCGGTGTACGAGCATTTGTATCTTGGTAAATGTAATAGATTCATTAAGATGCAAATCAAATCTTTTTTAAAAAAATCAAGGATTGCTGAGTTTTTTGAAAATCAATTTTATTTTTTCCTGTCGTTACTTTTTAGAAAATCAAAAAACTAATTGCACATTCTCATAGCCACTTTATTAGGGCTATCTGGTACTATTTTTAGATTTTCAAATTAGCTGATATTTTATTGATTGAGATATCAAGGTCAGCTTATTTTTTTTAAATACGGACCTGCATTTTTTATTTCAGATTTTGAAAGAACTCGGTCTCCTGAGTACAATTATATGCCACACTTATATTATACGCCCATATTTTTTTGTTTCGGACATTTGAACACAATTTGTTTAAACTAACTTCAAGTTTGGCTCTGTTTTTTTTTAATATTTAATCTATTCATCGTTACAATATTGATAAGCTTTCAAACTTAATGACGTGGGGTAAAACATTGAAAACGGAAAATCAAATGCAATAAAATAATAACAAATAATATAAAATAAATAATAACAAATAATATAAAAAAACTTACGTCTTTATTGTCATAGTAAGTAGCGGATTGTGGATTTCTGTGTTGAATCATGATGGGTATTCTTGAACTATAAAGTCTGCCTCTGCCAAAATTTGCTAAAAAACGATTTTATTAATTGATACATTTGAACTGTTTTGGTTTTTATCGACATTTTTTCTTTACTTTTGTTTTATATAAAAGATTTACTATTATATTTAATGACCAGCATTCCAATATAATGAATTAATACCGGGTGCGTCTCAAAAGTGGTTCACCCCTATAACTTTTTTTATTTTTTTTAGATAAAAAAAAACGAGATTTGGTATGTTAGTATATGACATAAAGTAGGATTGATTGACGTATTCAATTGTTTTTGGTCACTTCCTGTTTCACCGGAAATGATGACAACTTTTGATTTTTAAATGGCACCTTCGGTATATTTTCACTTTATTCGATGGAAAATGACACTCTGAATAGAATGACATTTTATATGTCAAGTTTTGACGTTTTCGCTTAAAAGAAAATCGTATTTAAAATGGAACAAGGGTGGCTCGTTAGCATATTTGCAAATAGCATTTTTTTACGAATAATTTGGTACCACACACTTGGTATTTCGCATGTTACCAGTTCAAATAAACCATATGCTAAAATGTCAAAAGTTGATATATGATATGTCATTCTATTCAGAGTGTCATTTTCTACCAAATAAAGTAAAAAAAATACCGAGGGTGTCATTTAAAAATCAAAAGTTGTAGTCATTTCCGGTGAAACAGGAAGTGACCCTAAACAATTGAATACGTCAATCACACCTAATTTATGTCATAGTAACATACCAAATCTCGCTTTTTAACTGAAAAAATAAAAAAGTTATAAAGGTCGGCCACTTTTGAGACGCACCCGGTATATATTATATATATATAATTAATTAAAATAAATTTATAATTTTGAAAATAAATTATATACAATTATTCTTTTTATAATAATTTGCATTTATTGTTGAGATTGTTACTTTTGAGACGCACCCGGTATATTAAAAAAACTACAAATATTAATAAGTTGAAAATATTGTTTTAAACCACAAACAGATTTGTTAAAAAATAATGTCGGGAAAATGTATAATTGTATTTTTTTATCGTGATTAATCCCAAATTCTTAATTAGAATATACAGGGCGTGTCAAAAGTAAAAATTGGTATTAACATTTTTCATAATTTACATCACTGGATTGACGAAAATCTTCATTTGTTAAGAGGCTCAAATTCGCTAAACCAATTTTCTGTTATCGGCCGGCTGGTATTGGTGAACATATTATTGTATTGTATTGTATTTGACTAAGAGTGGGCCCCAGGTGGGATCCTCCACTGCGGCCGCGAGGGCCTATTGTGGCTCAGTTTCTACAAGCTCTTTAATAAAAAAAAAGAGCATTATAGTTCACCCTCAAGACCCAGCCTTTTAACAGGCCGTTATGTCCGAGGGTGATATGTCTTCTAGGTCTGATAGGTCTAGCGTGGGTTTGCCAAACACCTCAAACCTTTTCCTGCTCCCAGCGGGGCGGGTACACATAACGTGCTTCATTGTTTCGTCATCTTCCATACAGAGTTGGCTTTCGGCGTCTTCCAACAGTCCCATCCTCTGTAGGTGTGATCTCAGCCGGCAGTGGCCCGTGTATACTGCAGTAAGCGTACGCGCTCCGTTCCTACCAGCCTTTAGGAGTTCATCTGTTCTAGATCATATTATTGGACTGATTATAGTAAATGATTCCCCTGAGCCTAAGAAGAGCCTAAGAAAGAAGTCTGTGCTAGTAAGAAACAAAGTTCATTTCGGACATCGATGGATTGGTCAAAGGGTCTGGTAACATGGCCACCAAGATCCCCTGATTTAAGTTCCTTAGATTATTACCTTGTTTATAAGGCACCTGGGCAAACTATAGAAGAACTTTTACAAAGGTTAGAAGTGACGTTTATAAAAACTAGACAAGTCCTGATATATTGTTTGCCAGAAATCTACAGGGTGGTTGGAACTGTATTCCGGAAACTTCGGCAGCATATTCTGCAGATAAAAATAAGTAAAAAAGTTCGTATAAATGTATGTCTTTAAATGCTTAGTTTCGGAGATACAGAGTGTAGAAGTTTCATTTTTTGTATTTCGATTTTTTTCCAAATCATTTCTGAAGTAACGTCAATATGAATGGGATGAAAATTGGTGTCTGGGAGTTTTTTGACATGCGAAATTTGATTTTGATGTCAATATGACTCCTAATTGTAGAGGGCGCCACCTACATATTTTTTAACTGGTTTGAAGACTAATAACTTTTCGTCCGTACCTGTATAAAATTACTGAGTAAAAAATATACATTTACGACACTTTTTACGTAAAAAACGTCTCTTGGTAAAAATCGCTAGGAGTAATGGTTTTCGATATATTTGGAATCAAAATTATCAATACCTGTTATCATTGACTTAAATTAAACATGTTGACTAAATAGTTATCAAATTGAAATCATAATTTTGGAATATGTTTGTGTCAAAATTTCAACAGAAACTGTTTTACCATCATTTTTTCGCAAAAAAAATTATTAATAATTTAAAAAAATAAAAATTTCGCAAATTTATTATTTCAGTCAAATAATTATCTACTTAACGTGTTTATTTTTTTGTCAATAATGACATGTATCTCCATTCTAAATATCTTGAGAACGGGAAAAAATCGAAATAAAAATGAAACTTCTACACCCTGTATCTCCGAAACTAAGCATTTTAAGACATATATTTACTAAACTTTTTTACTTATTTTTAACTGCAGAATATACTGCCGAAGTTTCCGGAATACCGTTCGAACCACCCTGTAGATTATATTATATGTTTTGTGTAAAAAAAAATAAAAATAATCAAGATTTTTTTAGTTTAACCAGCAGCACAAAATAATCTAACAAACATGTGGTTACCTCCTGCCTTGCCACCTCCTCCAATTCTAGCCGGTAGGCATACGATGGTCGATACGCCAATGGCACAAATACAAGACCACACCAACCATCTGAGGCACACCATCGTGACGTTGCGACAAACTGTATTTTAAAGAGCAGGCGTACATTCATACTGGTCCAAACATCGGCACAATCATCGGTCCAAGCGAGCTCCTTACGAGTTTGTTTTGCTCAACATGTTTATAGGTCTTGTTAAGGAATCGATTATAGTGTTTTAGCGAAGGGAAGTGATATATTAATGGGGAATTAAATTTGTTGTGAGAATGAGGGATAGAGATAATTTGTGTAACAGATTTATTTATACAGAGTAACCTACTGTTCCTAGAAAAAACTTTATATCAAGTATAGGGTGTCCCATTTTTGTGTTTGACAGGATTTCTCGCTTATGAGTAAAAGTACAAAGATGCCGTTTTCACACTATACTGTATATCACACAAATATGAGGCAAACTTACGTTTTTTTTTAAATGAGACACTCTCTATATTATTTTTTTTATTTTATTTGCTTTATTATGAGCTGTCTAAAAAATAATATACTCTATATTTGTTTTCATTAATAAGGCAAAAAAATTGTTTAACTTTTTACATATGTCAACCTAGTTTAAAAGAGTAATATTATGTTATTTTATTTAATTTAACCAGATAATTTTGCTTTCCATCGTGTTATCTCAATAAACTGCACTGAAAATAATCTTGTGCAGCTTTTAGGTAGTACGCTGTTAATCAGAGTTTTTGATATTTTTGATGCGCACTTATACGTCGTACAAAATAAAAACGGTTGCGGGCTATCGATTAGGCTAATAAATGTGTGCAGTGCTACCGCTACACAAATATCGCCTCTATGGGACGTTTTCAATGAGTTTTAATCTCCCACTCGATATTGTGTTGGCAACGGCGAGGAAGCGGTTGCAGCGGTGCCACGTTTATTTGACAATTGCCAGAATTTTCTGAACGTTAGTTGAGAGTTGTGTCTCGTCAGTATTGTATCTTGTATCTTTTAAAACCTTTATTTATCGATCGAAAACTGTTGTTTTCAGAATATTTTGTGTAGTAGTTGTTAGTTTTTTCTTTGAAAAATGCCTAAGCAGTTAAATAGTCGGTGTCAAGAATTAGTGTCATCTCTAATACAATATTTTGAGAAAGAAAGGGACAATAACGGTCCGTTATATTATAATAAAGTATTTTAAAGTAGACCAGTGAAGTGAGTTTTTTTTATTTTGACAAACAAAACCTACTAATCTTCTATGGACAATACTTATTAATTCTTGAAATATTTCAAAAAGTTGCCTATATATTTTATAATCATTTACCACTCTTTATAATAGATAATATTTTGAATTGCCCGAAACCCAGACTGTTATTAATCAAACAAAATGTTTAAAACAATGTTTTTAAGACACCATTACTTCTTTTAAATATTTGTTTAAAACAGAGTATCAAATAGGTTTGGTGTGTAGGTGTTATTTTAATAAAAAATGAGAAAAACTCTTTCAAAATAAAAAAACAACTATAATACAACAGGAATAAAAAACAGAGTAATCAGCTCAACTTAATATTGTCTAAATAAACTATTAATTCTGTACTACTACTTGGAGGAGCACCATTAAGGTTTCTAAAATCAAATTTAGTTTTGTCCTTTGGCTTTATCATTACTCAACATGATATGGTTTAAAACAGAGTATAAAAGTGTTGTAAACATATTTTCGACTTTGTATTTACAATGTTCTATAAAACCATAGAAATTTGTTTTAAACAATAAAAAAACATGTTTTGTTTAAAAATATTTCTTTTCAGCGCTGCTTGAAACTATTTAAAACTGTTAACAATTTAAAGTTTATTTTAGAATTTTTAATAGATCTTAGATATAGTAAATTTTTCAAAAACATTTCTCATCCGATTACAATCTGGCAACAATGCTGTCTACAATCAACGCACGTGCTCGATGACATGCAACGGTTTTTTTTGTACGACGTAATGAAATGATTCTACACGCAGAAACTAGCGTGAAATATGCAATAATCAAAATTTGATGTCGAATAAACTATTTGATTATATTGATTACGTAATTTAAACCGACCGCCTATGTTAAAAAGTTAATGCATATTTTACCTTGGTTATGTGAATATGTATAGAGTATATTATAGTTTTAGAAAGTTCAAAACACAAGGCAAATAAAATAAAGAAATAATACAGAATATTCCATTAAAAATATAAGTTTCGCCACTGAATTCGACGTAAAAAAACTCTAAGAGATAAAACATAAATTCCCATGTTAATCAAATGGAAAATGGAAATTTCCGATGCGGCACCTCTTAATATCAATATGAAGGTCTCAAACTTTCACAAGATTTTTTTCTTTTCATTTGCTACATTTTCGATATAATTAAGGCAAAAAAATAGTACTTTATTATTGAAACAATTCCTCAATCCAATTTATTGTTAACATTCCAGTGGTTTGTGGAACGTTCCCTTCATCAACGCAGCCTACCTAGTCAACGCCAGTCTCCTAAAAACCTACGACTCGTCCCAAATCACCTACAACTTACCCAATGTGGACGCAGACATGGCCTTTTGCTACAGTTTACGAAAATTGGACGTGTTCATGTACGTTTCCAACAGGGTGGATTTCGGACATCTGATTAACTACGAAACGTACGACATCACAAGAGCCGAACCCGATATGTATCAGATTTTCGAGAACGAACAGGCGTGGCAAGAGGCGTTTATTCATCCCGATTACTTCGACAATCTCAATCCGGATAAGAAAAATCTACAGGTAAGATTAAGGCTCTTAATGGCTTTACATTGAAAACCTTAAAATTAGTAGAATAAATTAGTGGTTTCAATAATTATACTTTATACTTAAGGGGAGTTTACGATCATTCAGAATGTCTAAAAAATGTCTAAATAGACTTCCTTGATACAGGTTTAATCCGCACTTTATTCCTACCAAGCATTAGCAGTTCCCTTGTAATTTTAGAATTAGATCCTTGGACAAGGGCCTTGCTAAAATATGCATATGCCGCTATCTTTTTCTCCAGTGGACATTCTGCTTTTCATTGATCCAGAGGATTTTAGGATTAGTTATTGGTTTTCTCCATTTCCATATGCTAAAAAATATTGTTATAGCAAAATCCATACATACATACTGCCATTACTCGCTGACGAGTATTTGACACTTATCAGAAGATGGTTACGCAAGGCGTTTCCGTTCATGAGCTTTTCTATGACTGAAAAGCCCGATATGTGATGTTAGATACGTTTGTATACTCTTCTGCACTCCGGACATTCAAAAACCTCATTGCTTTTTGGTTGTCGCTGTTAACTGAGTTTACAATAATTCTTCTCCATTGTGTTCTATTGTACGCTGCTTCTTCCTACTGATTCTTTATCTTTATCCCCTTTAAGTTTTCGTGGAAAATATCCTTGTACCTTTTAAGTTATCAACCATATTTTCTCTTACCGTCTACAAGCTCACCGTAAAGAAGAGATTTCGGTAGGCGGTTTTTTTGCATCCTGCATACGTGGCCAGCCCATCTTAAGCGGGATTTAGTAATCATGACTTAAACGCTCTCACAACCAGCTTTTTCAAGGACCGATACATTTGAGACATGGTGGAACTATTTGATTCTTAAAAGTTGTCTAAGGTGTCCCTGTTGCAACTTGTTTAATGCGTTCATGTGCCGGCGGTACGGCACCCAGGGTTTCGCTTCCATATAACATGGCGGGGATTATTATTGCTCAGTACACTGCAAGTTTCGTTCTTGTGCTCAAGTCATGATTGTACAAAACCCTGCCTTTTAATTTCCAGAATGCTCTTGAGGCGCTACTAATCGTATCAAACTGCCGAGATAATTGAATTCCGCTACAAATTCCAATAGTTCTTTTCCGATTTTTTATAGCATTGTAGTGATCTTCCGGGGGAGTGCACATGATTTTAGTTTTATCGATGTTCAGCTTAAGGCCCAAAGCCTCGTATGCCCACGTATATGTGTTCAGCAATTCTCGTAATTGCTAATATTAAACGTTTTTGCAACTAGAGCGCAATCACCAGCGTATTTAAGTTCTGTGATGAATTTTTTACGTGTTTTTGCCCTAAGTCTTTTTATGTTGAGACCGCCGTCGTATCTGTATACAATGCCCATTCTTCTTTCCTGCAATTTGGTGTCCACTATAATAGAGAGCCCTGCCATGAATATGTTGAATAGGAGAGACGCTAAGACACACCCCTGCCTAACACCTGTATTTGTTACGAAGGGATCGCGCTCAGTGATCCATGATGTGACACTCTTGACTTGTTACGGAGGCTTTTACACATTGGAAGAAATTTGTTGGGTACCTCGAACTTTTTCATAGTTGCCCAAAGTGTATCTCTGTTTACAGAGTCGAAGGCTATTTTTGTTTACACTGCTGCTCTTTTACTTTTTCCTGTAGTTGGCGGACGGAGAATATGTAATCAACGGTAACGCGGTTGGTGCGAAAACCCGTTTGCGATTCTGGGCGGATTTTTTCTCTATAAAACAGAACAATAAAGCAAAAAAAGCTTGATAATAAAAGAGAATCTCTCATCTGTTTTTTAGCCTTGTCCAGATGTATACTGGTTCCCGATAGTGAGCCGCAAGTTCACTAATGCTTTGATCAACATGATGGAAAGTTTCGGTAAATGGTCGTCGGGCAATAACGAAGATGAACGGCTGGAGGGCGGTTATGAGGCAGTGCCTACGCGCGACATCCACATGAACCAAGTGGGATGGGAACGCCACTGGCTGTACTTCTTGCAGAAGTACGTCCGGCCTTTACAAGAACACGTTTTTCTGGGCTATTTTCATGACCCGCCCAAGAGTTTGATGAATTTTGTGGTGAGGTAAGTAGAAAAAGCTAATTTCTATTCTATTTTCTTTCTAATGCTAATTTCTATTTTCTTTTTCGAACACATCGAAATTAGTTAAATCAAATTGTTTAGGTGATATTTTCAAAACTCAATAACTCGGAAACGGTTGGTTTGAGGTACATTGTGCTTAGAATTGAAGAAAGAACAGAAATATGTAATAATATACAAGGGATTCCATTTAAAAAACTTGATGTGCCACGACCTTATGACCGACCCTGTATACTTAAATTTATGACCTGCTAATAGATATTTAAGAACCCTATAACTTTTATATATAACTTTTGGCGGTATCTCTTATATTTTACCTAATAATCGACCATTCATATCAGCCACCCTGTATATTAGGATAGATTGACGGCAAAATAGATATGATCGTCTAATGTTCTTCGTGTCTTGTCCTGGCCCGTTAAAAGATGCCCAAATCGTATTTTTAATCATATCTCATATTTTTTTCAAATGGAACGATGGTGGCTCGTTGGCATATTTGGAAAAATCATTTTTTTATGAATAATTTGGTACTACACACTTGATATTTCGAGTCAAATTGTCGTTACATTTTTGGTCTTGGCACTCTAAATTAAAATTTAAAATGCTATTTTTTTAATTGAAAATGTCAAAAGTTGATATATGCTATGTCATTCTATTCAGAATAACATTTCCTATCAAACAAAGTAAAAAAATACTAAGGGTGTAATTTAAAAACAAAGAGTTTTAGTCATTTCCGGTGAAACAGGAAGTGACCGAAAACAATTGAATGCGTCAATTAATCCTAATTTATGTCATATACTAACATACCAAATCTCGTTTTTTTGTCTGAAAAATTAAAAAGTTATAGGGGTGAGTCACTTTTGAGACGCACCCGGTATATTCTTTCTCTCTTTTTATGCCATTAAAACATTTTTTTGTTTTATTAATTCTGCCAGATATCGTCCAGATGAACAACCTTCTCTCAGACCTCACCATGACAGTTCTACGTACACTATAAACATAGCTTTGAACGAAGTAGGTAAAGACTATGAAGGTGGAGGTTGCAGATTCATTCGATACAACTGCAGCGTAGTAGACACACAAATAGGCTGGATGTTGATGCATCCAGGAAGGCTAACCCATTACCACGAAGGACTGTTGGTTACCAAAGGTACCAGATATATTATGATCGCGTTCGTGGATCCTTAATCTGAAAATGAAGACTTTTTGATACCAAAACTAGATATAATTAAACACTCAGACAGATTGCAATAAAGAAATTTGTTATTTAAGGCATTTAAAAAAATTACAAAAATAATCTTTTTTTAGTGCCTTTTTATAAGATTATATAAGCTTTTTTGTGCAATTTTTAGCCTCTAAGACTAATAATTAAATAAAAGAAGAGAAAGTAATAAATAGCAAGTATTTTTATATTAAGATTGTTAAAATAACTAACAAAAATAACTAAACCTTAGATTATAGTTTTATTACTCACTGCCAAAAATTCTCTAGTTCGAATATTTTTCAGTTTTTTTTTAATTACTTTTCTCTAGGTACTTAAGATATTTTTTATGCTTTAAATAATAGCTATGATCGTTTATGTATTGTTATTATATTATGTATTAAATATGTGCATTTAAGATTATTTTATAAAATAAATTCTATAATATAAATTTTAGTTTGTTTATTGTTTTCCTTTACTAGCTTTTTCCTTGAATGTTCAAATACCATATTTCAGGGGAAAAAAAACGGCGTCACAGTTGCCTTTGATATGACAATCATTTATAGTTTGGTCATTTGTCAAGCCAAATCTCACGTAGGGACGAGAAGGGGTTTCGGCAAATAACACGTAGTTTTTTTCGTGCAAAAAATGGTAAAATAAAGCGACGTTGCTTCAGTCTCTAATGTTACGTCTTCTTTAATCTATTTCAAAAGTTACTATAATAACTATAATACGGTTTTTTAACTTATGTTTATGCAACCCAAATAACGTTGATGTATTGCGCTCGCGCGCTCGTTATTACGTTTCTTCATTTATGCAACTAGTAATACACTATCATTTTCCAATTCTAACCTAGAATTTCCACATGATTGTTTTTTTGACAGTTTGTTGTGAATCGTGCGAGCGGTAACAAACACACGGTCAAATTTCCAACGAATTCAATAATAGTTTTATTGAATAAAAATAGAGCTTCAGGCGAAATTATCGTTACTAAAGAGCGATGATATCGCGAGTGCAAAATACCCCATAGTTTTTTAGCGTGTCATTTCGAAGGGTGGACATGTAATTAAATTGGATGTTCCTCCAAAACAAGGTAAACAGATTTTGTTTTCTGTTCTTGCTATTAGGTCATCGAGTTAATTTTATACCTAGTCCATTATAAAATGATAAAAAAAATCAGGAAGTTTTTTATAATGTTGTCATTAAGAAATCAGTAGTTAATTTTAAGCGAATGCAAGTGATAAAATAGCTATTTATAGTTTAGAATTGAACTAGATAATGTTGTCGGTACACAACTTTAATTGCATTGATTAAATTTCAAAACCTAGTCATTCTAATTTTACAAATTTTGATAGAAAAAATTTGACTTGATTGAAAAATGTTTTAATCATTATTTCAATATTCACTAGTTAGTTCTTCTTAAATAATGAAATTTAATATTTATGAAGTCCTATTACATATTTTTTTAGGGCAATGGCAAATTATTGGGTCTGTGCCGCTCTATTTAGATGCCTCCTTCCTTTACTCATAGGATCATGTAAGTATTCTCAATTTAATCTATTAAATTATCACATTTTTAAAAAATAACGACCAATAATTTATCTACAAACAAGAGAAAAATCGTTATTTTTCAAAAAAAAATCTAACATTAAAAATTAATTTATTGTAATAAATAATTGTTATAAAATAGGTGTTTATAATTTATTATTAAAACAAGATAGTATTGTAAGACATAATGAGATCATCTCTGTTAATAAAAGCAGATAATCAAATTACATGCTTTTTGATTTAAGAATTTTTAAGGTCATTAGAATGTGTTAAGCCAGTGTTAAGCACTTAACTTTGACTTGCATTCATTTCCATATTTTTCAAAGTAAATTGATTATTTTAGATTCTTAAAAATATTATTATTCTTAAATATCCTTAAATGGGCATTTTTTGCTTATATTTTATATACTTACGATCCAAGAAAAAACGGCATCAAAGTCGGCTTGCAAATGAAAATTTTATATGTAAAATAATATTGGGAATACCATCGATCGTCATTTCCAAGCCAACTTGACGCTGTTTTTTTGTCGGTCATACAGTATAACCATAGTAGAAGGTATAACCACAAATCTGGTAGGATATTTAATATCAGTACATAATAATATTTTTGTGCAGCTAAAATGCTATTTTTGCTTATACCGGGTGCGTCTCAAAAGTGGCTCACCCCTATAACTTTTTTATTTTTTCAGATAAAACAACGAGATTTGGTATGTTAGTATATGACATAAATTGGGATTGATTGACGTATTCAATTGTTTTCGGTCACTTCCGGTTTCACCGGAAATGACTACAACTTTTGATTTTTAAATGGCACCCTCGTTATTTTTTTACTTTATTTGATAGAAAATGACATTCTGAATCGAATGACATATCATATGTAAATTTTTGACATAGTCACTCAAAAACAAATATAATATCTCAATTTTTTCAAATGGAACGAGGGTGGCTCGTTAGCATATTTGGAAAAGCATTTTTTACGAATAATTTGATACCACACACTTGGTATTTTGAGTTAAATTGTCCTTATGAACCGCATGTTACAATTTCAAATAAACCATATGCCAAAATGTCAAAAGTTGACATATGATATGTCATTCGATTCAGATTGTCATTTTCTATCGAATAAAGTAAAAAAAAATACCGAGGGTGCCATTTAAAAATCAAAAGATGTAGTCACTTCCGGTGAAACCGGAAGCGACCGAAAACAATTTAATACGTCAATAAATCCCAATTTATGTCATATACTAACATACCAAATATCGTTGTTTTATCTGAAAAAATAAAAAATACTAGGGGTGAGCCACTTTTGAGACGCACCCGGTATATTAGAAAAATCAATAAACATTTTTTAATAATCCACCAATAACTATGGTGTATAATTCTTAATCTAAGGATGTATCCATTGAAAGAATAGCATATGGTCGAAAATAAGACGTCAGAGTGTCAATTTACTAAATGTTGACTAAAAAACACAAAAATTAATCAAAAAGTCATATTTATATGGAAAAAAAAATGTAAAAAGTTCACTCAAGTTAATTATTCAAAACAAATCGTTCAGCAAAATTAATCTTTTTGAAATTAGACTAGTGCCTAGAAACTTTTGATTTTTTCTGAATTTAAATATTAACTTTTGATATTATAAAATTGCATTTTGGGAAATGCATTTTTTAGTAAAATAAAAAAAAACATTGTTATATCTAGCAGCGATATTAGTGTGGGTAATTCTATAGGAATGTAAAGTAATTATTCAAAATAATACGTGGTTATCTTTTAAACGTGCATTTTTATGGGAATTAATATATTTGATCATCCAGCCTTGGTCGATTCTAACGCCCACATTTTTAATAATATATTTCCCCTATTGTGATGCTATAAGTACTTATTTATCTTAATGAATTATTGTATTATTGGTCTTATTATTTATTTTGAAAGAAATAGTACCAAAGAATGATTTCTATGCTAGGTAATAATGGATTCCAAAGAGATAATAATAAAATCAAAGGTATAATATATTGGGTGTAGGCGCTGGAATTTTTATTGCCTTGGCATGAACAGGATTTTTCTAAAAAATAAATTGATTTCTGAATCAGTGTGGTTTCGAGAAATGTGAGTTATCAGCTCAAAGTTTTAGTATAATAAGGGACGTGATGTAATACCGAGTATAATACAGTTTATTTTAAATATGCATAATATATTAAAATGATAATGTTAATTTGCGTTGGCGTGAGTAATTTTGTTCCACATTTTTCTAAAAATAATATTTTTTGCACTAGGTAGAAAAAATATTTAGATACAAATCTTTGATTTTTGAATTATTTCTAGTAATATTGCATAATTTGTATCTTTTTATCATCCTTAGATCATTAATAACTTATAAATCAAATAAACAAATCAACTGTTGATAAAGAAGTAAAATTATAGGGGGAATGTTTTTGATCGTGATTTCCAAGCCAACTGGACGCCGTTTTTTTTTCGATCATAGGGTACCTAGGTATATTAAAGAAATGAAATTTAACGAATGATAATGTCAATAACTGTGGTACCCTCATTGTTAAAATAACATTAATTGTTTTTATCACAAACAATGCTTTATTCCAAATCTGTTGAATGATTGTATTCCATTGTATATCCATTGTATAACACATAATATCGAAATTGGTAAACAATAGCATTTAAAGTGTTTTACTGGAATAGTTTGCCCATTGTGTCAGGAAAGATTTCGTCAGAAGACAACCAAAAAAATGACAGATAACACAATTTAGCTGTGAAATTAAATGACAGACAACTGTCACTGTCCCGGATCCTTTCGTTGGACAGACTGGACACACTTCGCTTCAGATAAATTAACTATTTATATCATCACCATATATTGATGATTCACGACTTCACGATAATGGTCGGCTAGACGTTTATGGAGACCATATCTATATAGAATTTTTTTGAAAATTTGGATTTTTAAATATCGCGCGCACAAAAGTATATGTTAAAAAAATGATTTGCGCGGAGCGGCGCAGCCGGGTGAACGCACCTTTAAGGCTGGCGCTCGCTAGACGGAAGCGCGCCGGAGCGCACGGTAGCGCGGCGAAAAGGAATTTTTATAATACATAGTTTTAAATCGTTTCGCTGCCGACCGCTGCGTTTCCGCCAAGTGAGCGCGCTCCCATTTAAAACTATGTATTATAAAAATTCCTTTTCGCCGCGCTGCCTTGCGCTCCGTCGCGCTTCCGTCTAGTGAGCGTCAGCCTTTACAGTGTTCTCGCTACGTTTGAAAAGTGGTAGCATCTTTGTTATTTGAAATGGAAAACCCGGTATATGCCCGGTATATTACATTTTTGGAAACTACTTTCATATCTCGTATTTTTTTAATTATATTATCCTATACGTATCTTTAAAGGCACATTCAGGCGAGATGCGACGGACGCTCGACGTTGTACTTTAATATTTTTCGATATAAAAAATACAACATACTGTTCAATTTGCGAAGTTTGAGTCTTTCGCAGAGGTCTTTCGTCACATATTGTCGTTCTCTCTCTTATCCATGTTTATCACATGAAATGGAAATTTTGTGTCAAAAACTAAGTCCATTATATTTCTTACATCATACGATTATTTTTTTCGTTTTACATACGGATCACTTTTATTACGTATAAAGAATCGTACTTCCTTGTCTAATGTGCATGTATAGAAAAAGGCAAACTTCATATTTATTGTATTACCCGCCGAAATCGAACAAAAGAATATCGCCGACTGTCAACGTTGTCGTGAAATTTTAACGACTCCGATAGTTTCCCGTAAATTTTTGTGGGATTTTCTGTGTTTATTTAGTTATTTGTGATTTAATTTGTGAAAAAGAACAACGGTTTATATTAAAAGTTTTCGAGTATTTGAAACTCGTAAAAGATGGTGGAAAAAACCCTTTTACCTGTGTCGGCTGTTTACGATGTAATTGGACAGCTACCGAGTTAATATGTTGTAACTTACTCGAAAATATTCACGTGTTTTATAGAGAGCATCGGAGGCTTTAGGAATTTCATGGTCGACTGTGCAAAGAATAAGTTCCAGAGGAATCGTGAAAGAGAAAGAACAAAAAGCAGCAAAACAAGTCACAATATTCATTTGTCCCCTGGAATTCCTGCTTATAAGATCCATGAACATATTAATAGAGGACGTATTTATTCACTGCGGGTAGGCTACAACAAATTTGTCATTGTTTAATATTTTGTTATTAAATTTGTTATTGTTAGTTTACAACCAGATATATAAACAACTGATGGACTAAGTCAAGAAATACGTGAAAACCAATATGGCGCCGAAAATGATGACGAAAGTTACAAACTTCGCAAATTGAACAGTAGATATATAAATTTCATAAAAATATAATTTTGAATAAGCATTGGCAAAAACATGAATTATACTACATACATGCTGAAATTTGGATTATGGGATAAGAGTCCATTTGACTAGTCCGAAAAAGTAGCAAAATAAGTGTAAAATCGCTTATATCCAGGATTGGCAAATATCATGATATTTATATAAATATCAAATATCGGTTATATATCCGATATATATCTGATATATATCGGATATACTATATCAAGTTTTGATATTTATTTTTGTTTTTATTTTTTATGTAAAACTGCGTTTAGTATCAAGTAAAATCAAGAGCTTGAGAAAATATTTTTATTTCAACTTAATTACTGTTGCTTTGCACATAATAGGAACAACATTAAAACAAAAATATATAAAAAGTATAGAAATTCTAAAAAAATAAACAGAACTTCTAAAAAATAAACAGGAATTCTAAAAAATAAACAGAAAATTCTAAAAAATAAACAGAAATTCTAAAAAATAGTCAGGAATTCTAAGAAATAAACGGAAATTCTAAAAAATAAACGGGAATTCAAAAAAATATACAGATATTCTAAAACTAACAACAAACAAATTCATATTTGATTTATTAATTTTATTAATGGTAAATCATCGTCAGAG